GCGCCAGGCCTGCCGCCCACCGCCCTCACCCACATCAGCCGGTCCACGCGGCCGAGGCTGGGCCCGAGCCCCGGGCTGCGCCTTCCTTCCAGCACGCCTGGCGGCGCCCGGCACGCGCCTCGCGGTGACTGGCATTGGGGTGACTGCCCCCCCCAGCTGACTGTGCAGCACGGTGACCTCCCGCCCAGGACCCTGCAGGTGGCGCGGCGCCCGGCTCTGGGCCCGGCCGGCGGCCACCGGAGGAACCAGGCGGCTCCCGGCAGCGCAGCCGCCCCGGCCCTCAGGCCCTTCGCCGGTCCGCTGAGGGAGGCTGTGGGGAGGGCGGGTGTGGGGACGGTGCTGGGGCTTCGTCTCCCCTCACCTCCTGCTGCGGGTAAGCACGTCCCGGCTGCTCGTCCCCGTGGGAACTCCGGTCTCTCCCCTGCGGACCTCGGCTCCTCGGCGGGCGGCGCCCAGTGGGTCCTCACTCCTCACCGCCAAGCCCCCAGGTCCCGACGAGTGCATGCCCGCGGTGTCTCAGGCCCACCGCGCCGTCCTCACTCCCGTCACCCCTTCGTCCCCCTCCTCCCTCTCCCCTCCTCCCCTGCGGCCTCTCAGCGTCCTGCTCCCCCAGGCTTGCCCTCCAAGGAGTCCAGGGGAGGGCCTTGTCCCTGTCCAACGCCTTCCTAGTATCCTCCCAGGTCCTCCCAGGTCCTCCCAGGTCCTCCCAGCTCCTCCCAGCATCTCCTAGGTCTTTCCAGCATCTCCCAGCTCCTCCCTGGTCCTCCCAGGTCCTCCCTGATCCTCCCAGGTCCTCCCAGCTCCTCCCAGGTCCTCCCAGATCCTCTCAGGTCCTCCCTGGTCCTTCCAGCATCTCCCAGCTCCTCCCTGGTCCTCCCAGGTCCCCCCAGCTCCTCCCAGGTCCCCCCAGCATCTCTCAGCTCCTCCCAGCTCCTCCCAGGTCCCCCCAGCTCCTCCCAGGTCCCCCCAGCATCTCTCAGCTCCTCCCAGCTCCTCCCAGGTCCCCCCAGTTCCTCCCAGCTCCTCCCAGAATCTCCCAGGTCCTCTCAGGTCCCCCCAGCTCCTCCCAGGTCCTCCCAGTCCCTCTCAGTGTTCCCTGAGTTCTCACAGCGTCCTCCTGTTACCCACCTGCAGGGGGCTCTCTGCTGCCCAGGTGGGAGCTCTAGAGCCGCGGTCGGCAAACTCAGAGCCAAACACCAACAGCACAACGACTGACATTTCTTCGGAGAGCCAACTTTTTAAACTTAACTTCTCCTAACGCCACGTCTTCAACACAGACGCGCTCGGGCCGTGGTGTCTGTGGAAGAGCCACACTCCAGGGGCCAAAGAGCCGCAGGTGGCTCGCGAGCCGCAGTTTGCCGACCACGGGGCTAGATCACCTCCTGACTTGGCCTAGCCCTGGAGCCGGACGGGCTCCGGACCCACAGAGCCAGGAGCCCTCACAGCCGCAGCCACGGGCTGCGCCCTGGCGGGCTGCACCCTCGCCCGCTGGGCAAACACACTCCACGGGCACCGCGTCCTGGACCCCGCCGGCCCGGGTGTCCCCTCCTCCCGCCGCCCGTCTGCTCCCCCTGGCCACACCCGCCAGCCCTGCGTCCCGCTCCCAGGCCTCCCGCCGCCCACCTGCACCCCCCTGGCCGCACCCGCCAGCCCTGCCTCCCGCCGCCCACCTGCACCCCCCTGGCCGCACCCGCCCGGCCTGCGTCCCGCTGCCCACCTGCACCCCCCTGGCCGCACCCGCCAGCCCTGCCTCCCGCTGCCCACCTGCACCCCCCTGGCCGCACCCGCCAGCCCTGCCTCCCCCTCCCAGGCCTCCCGCCGCCCACCTGCACCCCCCTGGCCGCACCCGCCAGCCCTGCCTCCCGCTCCCAGGCCTCCCGCTGCCGCGCCCGGATCCCCTCCCCGCGCTGCCTGCTGAGCTGGCTGCGTGCACTTCGAGGAACGGAAGCGGGTCTCCTCAGCCACGTTAAAATGTGAATCACAGCCTTGGAGAGAAGGAACTTGGCTGAGAGTAAGTGCCGCACGCAGCGCACCGCCTGTTTAAGCACAGGTCCTGCCTCCGCCCCGGCCCAGGCCCAGGCCCGATCCCAGCCTCCGCCCCCGTGCGGCTCCGGCCCCTGCACCCCACCTTCTGACCAGGAGGCGCTCCTCCCCGAAGGACCTGTTCGCTCCGCAAACACCAGGGTGGGCTTGGGCCGCGCGAGGCCCTGAGTCCCGTTAAAAGGAGTGGAGAAGGCGGGGGTGTGGGTCTGACCCTCCGTGCCCGCACCGGGTCCCCGGCGCCCCCTGGCGGAGAGGCCGGACCCTCCGTGTCTGCACCGGGACCCCCGCGCCCGGGCCCCCGGCGCCCCCTGGCGGAGAGGCCGGACCCCGTGCCCGCACCGGGTCCCCCGCGCCCCCTGGCGGAGAGGCCGGACCCCTCCCCCCCCCCACGTGCCCGCACCGGGCCCCCCGCGCCCGGGACCCCGGCGCCCCCTGGCGGAGAGGCCGGACCCCCCCGTGCCCGCACCGGGTCCCCCGCGCCCCCTGGCGGAGAGGCCGGACCCCCCCGTGCCCGCACGGGCCCCCGGCGCCCCTGGCGGAGAGGCCGGACCCCCGTGCCCGCACCGGGTCCCCGGCGCCCCCTGGCGGAGAGGCCGGACCCCCCCCCCCCGTGCCCGCACCGGGCCCCCGGCGCCCCCTGGCGGAGAGGCCGGACCCCCGTGCCCGCACCGGGCCCCCGGCGCCCCCTGGCGGAGAGGCCGGACCCCCCCGTGCCCGCACCGGGCCCCCGGCGCCCCCTGGCGGAGAGGCCGGACCCCCGTGCCCGCACCGGGCCCCCCGCGCCCCCTGGCGGAGAGGCCGGACCCCCGTGCCCGAACCGGGACCCCCGCGCCCCCTGGCGGAGAGGCGGTCTGGGCCCTGGACGCCGCCTCCTCCTGGGGCACCGCACTCGCTCCCGGACCCCGCAGCCGGACACGCCCCCGGCCCCTCCCGCCTCGCCCAGCGCCCAGGCGCCGCTCTTGGGTGAACCCACGGTGCCCAGGACGCAAAGTCCCTGGGGGGACCCCTGTGTGTGGGACCCTGTGGGGGACCCCGTCTTCTCTGGTTGCGGGTGAGAGACAGAAGCCGCCGCACCGTCGGGGGCGCACAGCCGTGGGGGCGCTGGGGGCTCCGGGCGGAGGGTGCAGGCGGGAGCCCGGGCGCGGGAGGGGCGGGGAGCGGGGAGTGAGGCGCTGTGCGCGGTGGCGCCGGCCTCCCCTCCGGAGCCCCGTGCGCGGACAGCGGGCGCAGAGCCAGAGGCCCGGAGGAGGAGGAGGAGGAGGGGGCGGAGGAGGAGGAGGACGGGGCGGAGGAGGAGGGGGAGGAGGAGGACAGGGCGGAGGAGTAGGAGGAGGAGGAGGAGGAGGAGTAGGAGGAGGGGGAGGAGGGGGAGGAGGAGGAGGGGAGAGGAGGAGGCGGAGGAGGAGGAGGAGGAGGGAGGGGGCGGAGGAGGAGGAGGGGGCGGGAGGAGGAGAGGGGGCGGAGGAGAGGAGGGGGCGGAGGAGGAGGGAGGAGGGGGCGGAGGAGGAGGAGGAGGGGCGGCGGAGGAGGGGAGGAGGAGGAGGAGAGGGGCGGAGGAGGAGGAGGAGGAGGGGGCGGGGAGGGGCGGAGGAGGAGGAGGAGGGAGCGGAGGAGGAGGAGGAGGGGCGGAGGAGGAGGAGGAGGAGGAGGGGGCGGAGGAGGAGGAGGAGGAGGAGGGGGCAGAGGAGGAGGGGGCGGAGGAGGAGGAGGAGGAGGAGGAGGAGGGGGCGGAGAGGAGGAGGAGGAGGAGGAGGAGGGGGCGGAGGAGGAGGAGGAGGAGGAGGGGGCAGAGGAGGAGGGGGCGGAGGGGGTGGAGGAGGAAGAGGAGGGGGCGGAGGAGGAGGAGGAGGGGAGGGCGGAGGGGGGGCGGGCCGGGCTGGAGGCAGCGGGCTCCCGCCTCCCCTGGGCCGGAGCGTCCCCGGAGCCGCCTGCCCGGACCGGACCGAGTGGCTCCCTCCGCCAGGGCCGCCGCCGGAAGTCCCCGCCGCCCGCCCGCCGGCTCTCTCTCGGAGCTCGGGGTCCCCAGAGCCCGGGCGGGGGGCGAGCAGGGCGGCACCCAGACGGACACCTAAGGAGCGGGGAGCGGCCCGCGCCCCTTCTGGGCGCCCCCGCCTCGCACGCAGTGCCCGTCTGGGTCCCTGGGGCCAGGCCCCCCAGCGCCCCCCGTTGTCCCCCTCCACTGTCCCCCGGTCCCCACTGTCCCCCAAACTGTCCCCCCCCACTGTCCCCCCTGTCCCCCCACTGTCCTCCCTGTCCCCCCCACTGTCCCCCTGTTCCCCCGTCCCCCCACTTGTCCCCCCCTGTCCCCCCACTGTCCCCCCTTTGTCCCCCCCACTGTCCCCCCCACTGTCCCCCCTGTCCCCCCCACTCTGCCCCCCCTGTCCCCCCACTGTCCTCCCCGTCCCCCCACTGTCCCCCGGTCCCCCCACTGTCCCCCCTGTTCCCCCCGTCTTCCCACTGTCCCCCCTGTTCCCCCCCGTCTTCCCACTGTCACCCCTTGTCCCCCATTGTCCCCCTCCACTGCCCCCCCACTGTCCCCGGGCCAGCCCCGCAGGTGTTTGCGCGGCGGAGCGGGTAGAACAGAGACCGAGTCCCGAGGGAGAGCGGAAGCCTCGCGCAGAGTCCGAGGCCGCGGCCTGGCCTCTCCCCCTCCCTCTCCCCTTTATCCCCTTTATCCCCCCTCCTTCCTCCCCCCCTCATCCCCCTCTACCCCCCTTTGCTCCCCCCCCAGCTTTCGGGGAACCGCGGGCCGGGGGGCCGGGGGGGCGGTGACGCCGGGGGGGACCCGGAGGAGGAGGCCCCGGCGCGCGGCGCCCCCGCAGCCCGGCCGGCCGCCCGCAGTCGGAGCGGGATTCCGCCCCCGCTGACGTCGGCGCGGCCCCTCCCGGCCGCATAAAAGGCGCGGCGCGCGGCGCGGGCGGCAGAGGGGCCGGAGGAGCGCGCGGAGCGGAGCCCAGCGGAGCCAGCGGAGCCAGCGGAGCCCCAGCCGAGAGCCCAGCCGCCGCCATGGCCGCCCGCGCCGCGCGCACCTGTGCGCTGCTCGCCCTGTGCGCGCTGGGCGGCCTGGCCCAGGGCCCCGCGCGCTTCATCTGCACCTCGGTGCCCGCGGACGCCGACATGTGCGGCGCGGCGGCGGGCGGCGCGGAGGAGCTGCGGGGCAGCGTGCTGCAGCTGCGGGAGACGGTGCTGCAGCAGAAGGAGACCATCCTCAGCCAGCAGGACACCATCCGCGAGCTCACGGCCAAGCTGGGCCGCTGCGAGAGCCAGGGCGCCCCGGCCCCGGGCCGCAAGCCGCCCGCCGCGGGCAAGCCGGCCCCCGGCGACCCGGCCCGCGCCGCCCAGGCCGCCGACGCGCTCGGCCAACTCGCGCAAACTTTGCAGGCGCTCAAGACCCGCCTGGAGAACCTGGAGGTCCGCGCCCGTCCCCCCGCCCGCGCCCGCCCGCCCCCTCCGCCCCCTCCTGCCCCCGCCCCGGCCGGACACCCTCCCCGCCCCGCGGCGCCGCTGCCCGGCCTCCCCAGTCTGCCAGGCCCCGCGCCGGCCCCCGCCCAGCGCCCGCCGCCCCCCAGGCTCCGGCCCGGCCCGGCCCGCTGCTCTGCCTAACTGTGCCCGCCCCCGCCCCGCAGCAGTACAGCCGGCTCAACTCCTCCAGCCAGACCAACAGCCTCCGGGACCTGCTGCAGAGCAAGATCGACGACCTGGAGCGGCAGGTGCTGTCCAGGGTGAACTCGCTGGAGGAGGGCAAGGGCGGCCCCAGGAACGACACGGAGGAGCGGGCCAAGATCGAGAGCGCCCTGACCTCGCTGCACCAGCGCATCAGCGAGCTGGAGAAAGGTAGCTGCCCGGGCCCGCGGGAAAAGCCAGTCCCCCCAGTGCCTCCCAGCCCCCCACTGCCCCCCACTGCCTCCCCAGCCCCCCACTGCCCCCCAGTGCCTCCCAGCCCCCCACTGCCCCCCACTGCCCCCCCCAGCCCCCCACTGCCCCCCAGTGCCTCCCCAGCCCCCCACTGCCCCCCACTGCCTCCCCAGCCCTCCACTGTCCCCCAGCCCCCAGCGCCTCCCCGCCCCCCCCCCAGTGCCTCCCCAGTCCCCCACTGCCCCCCACTGCCTCCCCAGCCCCCCACTGCCCCCCATTGCCTCCCCAGCCCTCCACTGTCCCCCAGCCCCCAGCGCCTCCCCGCCCCCCCCCCCCAGTGCCTCCCCAGTCCTGCAGGGCGTGGGGCACCCAGGGGGGTGTTCCTGGGGTGAGGGCTGGGCCCTGAGCTCTGGCTGTGCTTGGGGAAGGGACCATCTGGGGCCTCCTGCCCTCGTACACACACTCACACACACACTCACACACACACACACACACACACACACGCATGCACACACGCACGCACACACACTCTCAGGATCCTTCCAGCCCGATCTGTCCAGTCTTCAGTAACTTCGCCCTGTGGCCTGGGCAGCCAGGCCTTCCTGGACAGGAAGCCTGGCTGTGGGTCCCCCCATCCCCCATCCCCGCTGCTGGGGGCCAGGCCTGGTCTTCCCGGTCCCCACAGACCCGAACAGGTCTCCTCCCAGCCCTCCTGCCCCTTCCCTTCCCTCCCCCCGGACTTTGATCCTCTCTGCGGAGTGACCCAAAGCCTGCCAGCCTGCACCCCTGCAGCTCTCGTCCCTGATGGGCCCACGGCACCGCGGGCGCGGACGAGCTGGCGGCTCAGCCTTGAGGCGCAGCCATCAAACACGGTTGTAAGGGGGGGCCTGGGCCCGAGCCGAGCCACGTGACCGCTCCGACTGCAAAGTGTGCGATGGCTTAGACAGTGCCATCTTAAGGCCCCTTACGTAACTGAAAGCAGTTCGGAGGGGGGGGGCTGGGGGCATGAAAACAACCCCCACCCCACCCCCCAGAGGCCCCCACGGCAGGCGACTGGGCCCGCGACCGTGTGGGCAGCACCAGCTCAGGCTGCCTTCTAGAAACAACCCTGGCCTGGGGCCGGCTGAGTGCTGGGCTCCTACAGGCCGGGCCCCCTCCAGCCGGTGGGCCGGGCCCCCGCCCGCTGCTGGGTGCTGCGTGGGCGGGAGGGGGCGGTGCGTTCCCTGGAGACGTCCCCACGGGCGGGCGCTGGTGGCCGAGGTGAGGGGCAGCCGGAGGCACAGGAGTCGCCCAGGGTGGGTGAGGTGAGGCCTCCGAGCCCTGCCCTCGGCCCGGCCACAGGCCCCCTCCCTGCGGGCTCAGCGGGGCTCCGGGCAGCTGCTGGGGGCCTGGGGGCGCCCTCCCTCCGGGGGGCGGTGTGGAGGGGGTTCTGGAATAGCCGGTCCTCGGGGCTAGTGGGTCAGAGCCAGGAGTGCGGGGGGAGCAGCGTGCCACCCGGAGGGCATGGCTGCCTGGGCCTGGCTGCTCGGTGGGGACCGGGGGAGGCGTTTGAGCTCAGCAGCCGGCAGCCTGCATTCCGGTCGGGCCCCGAGGGGCTGCCCTCTTTCGGGGAAGGATACATCCTTCCTCGGGGCCACACCTTGGAGGTGACTCCCCCCCTCCCCAGCCCCCTGCAGCCCGGGCTCAGGCTCCCCTCCCCCCCAGCCCCCTGCTCCCGGCTCAGGCTCCCCCCCTGCTCCCGGCTCAGGCTCCCCCCCTGCTCCCGGCTCAGGCTCCCCCCACCCCCCCTGCTCCCGGCTCAGGCTCCCCCCCCTGCTCCCGGCTCAGGCTCCCCCCCCTGCTCCCGGCTCAGGCTCCCCCCCCTGCTCCCGGCTCAGGCTCCCCCCCTGCTCCCGGCTCAGGCTCCCCCCAGCCCCCTGCTCCCGGCTCAGGCTCCCCCCAGCCCCCTGCTCCCGGCTCAGGCTCCCCCCAGCCCCCTGCTCCCGGCTCAGGTCTGCGCCCTGGGACAGGCACCTGCCCCCGCCGGCCCGGCCTCCCTCAGCGCCCGGCGGGCGGAGGGCGGCTCCGGCAGGGACAGCCTCGGTGCCCAAGTCAGACCGTCCCGCCCCCCGCAGGCCAGAAGGACAGCCGCCCGGGGGACAAGTTCCAGCTCACGTTCCCGCTGCGCACCAACTACATGTACGCCAAGGCCAAGCGCAGCCTGCCCGAGATGTACGCCTTCACCGTGTGCATGTGGCTCAAGTCCAGCGCGGCGCCCGGCGTGGGCACGCCCTTCTCCTACGCCGTGCCCGGCCAGGCCAACGAGCTGGTCCTCATCGAGTGGGGCAACAACCCCATGGAGATCCTCATCAACGACAAGGTGGGCCCGGGGGCGGGGGAACCCTGTCCCGGGGGCCGGGGGACCCCAGTCCCGGGGGCCGGGGGAACCCCAGTCCCGGGGGCGGGAGAACCCTGTCCCGGGGGCCGGGGGGACCCCAGTCCCGGGGGCCGGGTGGGCCCCTGTCCCGGGGGCAGGGGGGACCCCAGTCCCGGGGGCCGGGTGGGCCCCTGTCCCGGGGGCCGGGGGGACCCCAGTCCTGGGGGGCCGGGGGGACCCCTGTCCCGGGGGCGAGGGGACCCCTGTCCTGGGGGGCCGGGGGGACCCCTGTCCCGGGGGCGAGGGGACCCCTGTCCTGGGGGGCCGGGGGGACCCCTGTCCCGGGGGCAAGGGGACCCCTGTCCCGGGGGCTGTGGGGCAGGTCCTCAGCGGCGTGGGGTGGCTCAAGCACAGGAGGAGGGCTGGCAGGCAGGGCTGAGGGAGGGGAGGGAAAGACCAGGAGCACCCTGGCCGGTGTGGCTCAGTGGCTAGAGCGTCGGCCTGCGGACTGAAGGGTCCTGGGTTTGATCTGGACAAGGGCACATGCTTCGGTTGCAGGTTCTCTGGCTCTGGTTGGGGTGCACGCGGGAGGCAGTACATTGATGTCTCTCCCTCTCCCACTCTCTAAAAAAGTTAATGGAAAAATATCCTTGGGTGAGGACTAAAAACACAGACACAGACACAGACACGCATACCTACAGACTCATACACACACAGACACACAGACACACATAGGCACAGACACACATGCAGACACACACAGACACATGCTCACACAGAGACACACACAGGCAGACACACAGGCAGGCACACACACACAGACATACACACGCAGACAGACAGACAGACACAGACACACACAGAGACATACATGCAGACACACACGTAGGCACAGGCACACACACAGACACACTCACACACAGACACACTCATACACACAGACACACTCACACACAGACACACACAGACACACTCATACACACACAGAGACACATACACACAGACACACTCACACATACACACTCATACACAGACACACACACAGAGAGACACACACATAGACACACTCACACATACACACACATATAGTCACACATACACATACACATACACACACAGAGAGACACACTCACACATACACACACACATACACACACTCACACATACACTCACACATACACACACACACACAGACACACACACACAGAGACACAGACACACGCGCGCGCACACACACACTCACCAGGAGAGAAGGGAGGGGCGCCCTTGCCTGACTCCATGATCGGGTGAAGCGGGAGCCCCCCAGACGGATTGCGAGGGAGATGGGGCTCCTCCCCACGATCAGTCCTGACTCCGCCTCCCGCTTGGGGTGCATCGGTGCTGGGGGGGGGCGGGTCCCCTAGAAATTCTTCCTGAGCCCAAACCCATCTGCTTAGCCCTGGCCCTCGGGGCGGGGGGGCAGCCTGTCCCTCGGAGCCGCCCCTTGGCCTCCGCAGCCGCGGTCAGCTGCCGGCCGGCCCACGCCCCAGCACCTATGCATTGTGGGTGGCGACGGTCTGAAACCCAGGCTGGAGGCCGGATGCCAAGCCCTCGGGCCTTGCCAGGGGGCCCTGCCTCCGGGCCCCTCTCCCCGCGGGGTGACCCCCAGGGGGAGCTTCGCAGGGGGCTGCCCCCCACCCCGCCCTGGCGTCTCCGATCCTCTGCCAGGCTGGGCGGGTGCAGACCAGAGGGCTGGAGTGATGGGGGCTCTCCGTCAGGGCCTGGTGTAGGCTGGGGGGTGAGGAGGACGGACGGGCCACAGTCCCTCTGCCAGGCCTCGGCCCCACGCACCGGCCGGGACTCGCCGTGAGGCGCGCCGAGCAGGCACTGACCTGAGCCGTGACCGCGCCCTCCCCGTCCCAGGTGGCCAAGCTGCCCTTCGCCATCAACGACGGGAAGTGGCACCACATCTGTGTCGCCTGGACCACCCGGGACGGCGTCTGGGAGGCCTACCAGGACGGCACCCAGGGCGGCAGCGGCGAGAACCTGGCACCCTATCACCCCATCAAGCCGCAGGGCGTGCTGGTGCTGGGCCAGGAGCAGGTGCGCAGACCGGGGCGAGTCGGCCGCAGGTTGGGGCTGACGGGGAGATGCGGGCGGGTGGGCGCGGTGGCCGCACCCCCGGCGGGGGAGGCCCCTCCTGCCTTCGCTTCTGGGGAGCGTGTCCTTCGGGCGCCGCGGGCAGGGGGCCCAGGCCTCCGGTTCCTGTGGGCGATGGGCCGGCAAAGTGGCCTCCCGGTCCCTGGACGGGAAGGGGGGAGCCTGGGGGTTCAGGGGAGACCAGGCTCCCCGCCGCTCCCCCCTGCTGGGTTATGGCGGCGGGAGAGGAGGGTCCTTGGCCAGCAGCACCCCTTTCCCGGCTCCTGGGGGGGGCAGTGTGCAGCCCCAGAGACCGGACCGGGGGCCGTGAGAGCCCGGGAGGGGGAGCCCCTCCCCAGCCTCCACCCCATGCCCCCCCTTTCCCCCGAAGGACACGCTGGGCGGCGGGTTCGATGCCACCCAGGCCTTCGTGGGCGAGCTGGCCCACTTCAACATCTGGGACCGCAAGCTGACGCCGGGCGAGGTGTACAACCTGGCCACCTGCAGCCCCAAGGCCCTGGCCGGCAACGTCATCGCCTGGGCCGAGGCGCAGATCGACATCTACGGCGGCGCCACCAAGTGGACCTTCGAGGCCTGTCGCCAGCTCAACTGAGCCCGCCGCCCCGGCTGTGTCTCCCCCAGGAATGCTCCGGCCATCGCCCTCGCGTGCACACACGCATGCACACACGTGCACACGCACGCACACCCCACACGCCGCCTCGCTGAGTCCTCGTGCACGTGCCGCAGCGACACTCAGCCCCGCAGGCGTAGGTGAGGCTGCGTGCGTGCGTGTGCGTGTGCGTGTGCGTGTGAGCGCGTCTGCACGTCTGTGAGTGCGTGTCTCCGGGAGCCTCCTCTCAGACGAGGTGTTTCATTTCCGCTCTGTGGCGCTGCCCGTTTGTCTCGTTGGCGGGCTCGTCTGGGGCTGCCTCCCGGGCCGAGTGCTCAGCGCGGTAAAGGCGGGGTCCTGGAGCCCTAGCTGGGGGGGCAGAGGAGGGGGTGGGGGTGGGGCGCAGTCCCTCCTCACACCCGAGAGCCTGGCTCCAGCCGCCAGCGCCCTGCCCCGCGGCCCCTGAGAGGGTGCTGCCCCCCCCCCCCGGCCGCCTCTGCTCACAGACGGGCAGAGCCCGGGGGCGGCTGGGGAGGGAAGTCCCACCTGGTTAGGAGCCAGCCATGCAGGGCCTGGTGGCCGCCAGCCCTGGGCACCCACAGCCATATCCCCCCTTCCCACTGGGGCCCCGGGAGTGGCTCTGGGGCGGGAGGCAGACATGGCCGGCCCCGAACCCATCCCCTGTGCAGGGCCCAGCCCGGGTCCGTCCCAGCTGTGACGCTGAGACCCACCCTGTTCAGAAGCTGTGACGTGTTTGCTCCCCGTGAAAGCCATCCTGCACATTCCTTCTGGTCCTTCCGAGGCGGGGAGGCGTGTGCGTGTGTGCGTGTGTGTGTGCGTGTGTGTTCGCACTAAGTGACCGTGCCTGGGGTGGACCCCTGCTTTTTGTGCAGCATCTGGGGGTCGCATGCCCCGAGGGCACCTGGACTCAACACAGCAAATGGCTGGCATGTTTCTGGGCCCCTGCCCCCGCAGCGGCAGGGGTCCCCCGTCCCGTCCCCCGGGGCGCCTGCCCCCTGAACGCAGGCCCATACTGTGTGGAACCCAGTGCACCCGTGTGTCTTGTTGGTGTCTGTGTCCGTGTCCCTGGGCGTCTGCACGGTGCCCACTGCCAGCCCACAATGCATCGCGCTCGTGGGGGGGGCGCGCCAGGCTGCCGTGGCCAGCAGTGGCTTCTGACCATGTGCTTTGTCCGGCCGTAGGCCTCGGCGCCGGGTCTGCGGGGCCTCCTGCTTGCATGTCCCTCGGGGTGGCGTCCCCGGCTCCTCCGTCCCACGTGGTCCCCTGCCTGCATGGACTTCTCCGGTTCTGTGTTCTGTGCCGAGTGCCACCCCTTGTCTGTGACCATCCATGTAGCTACGAAAACGCTGGGAAAGCAAGCGAGGGCACGGGGCCCCTCCCCGCTCCCACACCGAGCCGTGTAGAGAGAACAGGCTAGAGCACGGGAGAGAGCGAGCTTGGAAGCCCCCCCACCAGACCGCCCCGCCCCCAGCGGCAGGAGGCCAGGCCCAGTGTGGTGCTCTCGGCAGCGCCCCGCCCGCCCCGAGGCCGGGACCCAGACCCCAGACCCCCTGCCCAGCGGGCGCTGGGAGCTGTCCGTTCAGGACCACAAGCCATCCTCTGCCCTAACCCGATGGGCAGAGCATCCGGACACCACGTCTGTGTCCACCCCGCCCCCCGGCGCCCCCGGGTGCCGGGGCCCCAAACCGACATGGAGCTCCCGCCCCGCCCCCGCCCCCCAGCCCTGCCACGGCCCTCGACGCCCTCACTGTGTTAACACGTGGCGCGGCCTGAGGGCCGGGCGGCCACAGGTCTAACCGCTCGCCCCATCGGACCGCCGCCCCCACTGACCCCGCCTTCTCAGGTCAGCCATTTCCTACCCGAGATCACGCACTGTGGGCGCCCCGCCCGGGCGGGCCTCAGATCCCACTGGAATCGTAAGCCTTCTTGCTTTTGATAACGCGGTGTTCTTTCTCTTACTGTAGAAGACAAAGTTTATTACCAAAACAAGAGTATTTTTATGAAAGAAAAGGACAAACTACAGATCCACTCAAACTATCTTCCCGCCACCACCCAGGCCCGGCCGGGGGCTCCGTGTCCCCTTCCCGTCGGCAGACCCGCTCCTTCCCGACGGCAGAGGCCCTGCCACCGGCCCCGGCCACGGCGTCTCCTGGCAGCGGGGGGAGAGGAGAGGCTGGCGCGAGGGCCATGGCCCCGGCGAGCTCGGGGCACGGGGTGTGAGTGGGCCGGAGCGCCAGGCCTGGGTCTGAGCTGAGGAGTGAGGCTGTGCGGTGTCCGCGGGAAGGGGATGGAATCCCGTGTGACCTCGCGGCAGCCGGGCTGTGGCTCCAGGCGGGGCGTGCCGTGTCCTCTCTCCCCCCTTCGTCGCGTGTCCCTGTGCGTGGCTGTCCGTGGCCCGAGTGCTGCTGGGAAGCGGGCGGCGGCGGCGGCGAGGAAGGGCCAGGACTCACCCACTGTTGTCCGATTTGCCAAAACCAAGCCCAGCAGGGCGCCCGCGGGTGCTGCCGTGTACGTGCCCGTCAGGGAGGGATCGGTGTGCCCCGTTTTCATCATCGCCGCCGCCCCGGGAAGCGCTGTCCCCGCCGGTCTCCCGCTTTCTCCCGTTTTCTGCTGAGACATGAGTTGTGAGTTTATTTTTACACAGTAAAGAGTGAAGGAAGCCATGTGTCCCTGGACTGTCTTCCCGCCGCCCGCCCGGCCTGGTGCTGCCTGCCCCCCGGCACTGGGACATGGGGACGGAGAGGCACAGGGACGGGCCTCCCACCCCCGGCTCGCACACTCAACCCCCCTCCCCGTGTGCGAGCACACGCATACACACACACGTGGACTTGCACCCTGGGTTCCGGGAGGCGCCGAGACCCTCCTGCACACCCTCTAGGGGCCTGGACGCCGCCCTGTGCTCCCAAAGGCCCGCCCGGGGCTCAGTGTGGCCCGGAGCCGGGCGGTGTGGAAACGGCGGGCGGGGGGCCTGGGCTGGGCCGGGGCCAGGGCTGCAGTGCTGTCTCTGGGAGCTGGTCCGGCAGCACCAGGCCCGGAGGCCAGGCCCCGGCTCCCACGGTGTCACGTCAGGGAGCGCGGTCTGCGGCCGACCATGCCTCGGCACCGCGGGAGCCGGTCCGCCCGCTCTGTCTGCACCGGGACTGGTGGGTGGGCCCCGGCCCCCGGCCCCCGGCCCCCGGCTCCCTGCTCCGGCTCGGCCGGCTCTGCAGAGTCTGCTCTCCAAGAAGCCCAGGCTGCCGGTGCAGTCGGAGGGACGGGAGCTCTCAGATCAGCACCCCTGCTTCCCCCGGCAGCGGGGCGGGGAGAGGCTGGGCTTCCCCGGGCCTGGACGTGGCTGCAGGTCTGGGTCCCGGGTCTAGGTCCGAGGTCCCTGGTGTGTCCGCAGCAGAGGCTGCACTGTCCTGGCCTGGGCATCTGTGCTGCCTCCACCCCCACCGTGGGCATCCGTGGCCCCTGGGGCTCAGAGCAAGGAGCCTGGACCAGGCAAAGGCCGCGCCGCCCGGGCCTGCCAAGTGGCAGCCGTCCCTGCAGGGCCGCCTGGCACAGCCCTGGCCACGGAGGCTTCCCCCGGGCGACCCCAGGCCCCTGCCTTGCCAGGCTCCGTGCCAGGCGGTGCCCGCTCAGGCTGAGGGCGGGCGGGAGGCCAGAGCTGCTGATGCCAGGCCCGGGCGAGGGAGGGTGAGGGAGGGCAGCCCCTCCCGCTGCCCGTGGTGAGGCCCGGAGTGCAGAGCCAGTAGCCGCCCTGGGGACCTGCCCCGCCCGGGCACGGGCACGGGCGCGATGAGACCTGGCCCCACGGCCTCAGGCCGGCGTCCCTCCAGGAGCAGGGGCCCTGCCCATCACCGCCAGCCCCTCAGCCACAGGCGCACCCCCCCCCCCCCGGAGAGGGGGGCGGGGGCAGGGCCGGCTGGTGCCGTGTGCGCGCGCGCGTGTGTGTGCGCGTGTACGCGCGCGTGTGTGTGTGTGTGTGCGTGTGTGTGCTTGTGCACGCATGTGTGTGTGTGTGTGTGTGTGTGTGTGTGTGTGTGTGTGTCTGACGCAGATGGACGGCGGCCGGGGCAGGAGGGCCGGGCAGGCGGGCGCGCACGGCCCTGTGGCTCCGTCCGGCGGAGGCGCGCCTCAGGGAGAAGGCACCGGCCTCAGGTCCCCCAGCCATCGGCCCGGACGGGGCAGGGGCAGGTCGCGGGGGGACGGCTGCCCCGGGGCCAGGGAGTCTGCAGGACGCCCAGGCTTGGGCGCTGGGGGCTCGGAGGCGGCTTTTCCGCGGGAGCCAGGAGCCGGGAGCTTCCTGGAAGCTCCGAGCGCCGACGGTAAATGAGCCGGGGAGCCGGCGGGCGTGCGGGGAGCAGGGCGCACTCACTCCGGAGCCGGCCACGAGCGGGGCCCTGCCCCTGGCGCGGGCTCCCCGGGCGGCCTTCCCGGGCCAGGGGCGGCCGCTCAGCGCTCCCGGGCCGGGCCCAGCCGGAGCCGCAGCCGCAGCCGCAGCCGGAGCCGGGCCGGGCCGTGACACTCCTCGTGTGGGAGGTGTTTTGCCAAATGTTCGAAAGGAAAAAATCCCCTTTTCTTAGCTTTTTTTTCTTTCTATTTTGATTATTTTTCCAGATGACTTCATTTCTAAGAAGGCTGGGGGGCGGAGGGGAGGAGGGGAGAACGGGGAGGACATGGGCCGGGAGGGATGAGCAGAAGGACTTCTGGAAGCTTCTCTGGGGCAGGAGCTCCCACCCAGGTCAGACTGGAGCGGTCCCGGAGCTCCCTCCCGCCTGCGCCGGGACCAGCAGGCCCACGAGGCCCCCCGGGAGGGAAGTGCTGCTGGACACGCGGCTCAGAGTCCCAGCAGCCGGCGCTCCGGCCCCCAGGAGTGTGGACGGGCAGACAGACACCTCTTCCCGGCTCCGGCTCCGGCTCCGGCGCCCTCCCCGCCTTCAGCACCGTCTGCTCCTCGGCCTCCGGGAGCAGCAGCTGCTCTCTGCCCAGCAGCCCTGCGCCCCGACGGGCCAGGATTACCCCCCTGGGGGCAGGCCCCTCCCCTTCGCGGCCTTGGCCCCACCTACCTCTCTGGGGCGCTGTGGCCCGGCTGTGGGTCCGGCTGTGGCCCCGGCTGTGGCCCGGCTGTGGGTCCGGCTGTGGGTCCGGCTGTGGCCCGGCTGTGGGTCCGGCTGTGGCCCGGCTGTGGGTCCGGCTGTGGGTCCGGCTGTGGGTCCGGCTGTGGTCCCGGCTGTGGGTCCGGCTGTGGGTCCGGCTGTGGCCCGGCTGTGGGTCCGGCTGTGGCCCGGCTGTGGGTCCGGCTGTGGGTCCAGCTGTGGTCCCGGCTGTGGGTCCGGCTGTGGTCCCGGCTGTGGGTCCGGCTGTGGGTCCGGCTGTGGCCCCGGCTGTGGGTCCGGCTGAGGCCCGGCTGTGGTCCGGCTGTGGGTCCGGCTGTGGGTCCGGCTGTGGGTCCGGCTGTGGCCCCGGCTGTGGGTCCGGCTGTGGCCCGGCTGTGGCCCGGCTGTGGGTCCGGCTGTGGGCCCGGCTGTGGGTCCGGCTGTGGCCCGGCTGTGGGTCCGGCTGTGGCCCGGCTGTGGGTCCGGCTGTGGCCCGGCTGTGGGTCCGGCTGTGGCCCGGCTGTGGCCCGGCTGTGGCCCGGCTGTGGGTCCGGCTGTGGGTCCGGCTGTGGCCCGGCTGTGGCCCGGCTGTGGTCCGGCTGTGGCCCGGCTGTGGTCCGGCTGTGGGTCCGGCTGTGGGTCCGGCTGTGGCCCGGCTGTGGCCCGGCTGTGGGCCCGGCTGTGGCCCGGCTGTGGGCCCGGCTGTGGGTCCGGCTGTGGCCCGGCTGTGGGTCCGGCTGTGGCCCGGCTGTGGGTCCGGCTGTGGCCCGGCTGTGGTCCGGCTGTGGTCCGGCTGTGGCCCGGTGCGGCCGTGCCCGAGAGCGGGCGGAGAGGCCCAGGCCCGGTGGCTCCGGAGATGCTGCCCGCGTGGGGGTGGCCGCCCCTTCCAGGCCGCGGGGGGGGGGCCGGGGGGCTCGGAGGCTGGGGAGCCGTGTGGTCCGGGGAGCACCCGAGCCCGGCCCCGTCTGCCGCACCGGCCGTCGCTCTCACTCCCGGCCCCGCTCCTGGGCGCCAGGTGAGGCTCATCCTCATCGGGAGATGGGCAGCCCCTCCCCCCTTCCCCCCCGCCCCCGGGGCTGGGCTGGGCGTGTCTCCTGGAGAGCCCGGCGCCCCTCTGCGCGCGTGTACACACACACACACACACACACACACACACACACACACAATCTGTCAGCTCCCGCCTGAGCGCCCTGCCCGCCTCCCCCCTCGCCCCCTCCCGTTCGCGCAGGAGGCGGAAACTAGAGGAACCGGAGTTGGGTCGTTAGCCTCCAGGTGTTACTCCCTCTGCTTGGGCCACTGGCTGGAGGCCCGTCAGGCCCTCCTGGAGCTGCAAGGGAGTCGGGACGGGGCACAGCTCCGCCTTGGTGGGGGGAGTGAGGCAGGGACACGTGGCCACGCAGCCACCCGGAGCCTGTGGCAGCTGCTGAGCCGGAGGCAGCGGCTGGGCCTGCCTGGCGTGGGCACGGAGCCTGCGTCTCCCACCTGCCTCTCTCCCGGCGCCACCCCACCAGGAGGACCTCACCCCGCACCTGCACCGGCCGGGTCCCGGAAGGCCGCCTCTGAGGCCCGGGGGCAGGTCACCTGAGGGGCCGGAGCAGGCGGCGGGGGCGGAGGGAAGGGTGGCGGGCGGGAAGGAAAGCCTGGGCAGAGCCCAGCCGCCAGCCGGGCCCCTCCCGCCTAACGGGCGGAGGCTCTCCCTGCTGCTGGGCCGGCCCCGGAGCCGCGCTGAGAGCCGGGGCCCCCGCACCAACGTTGCGAACGGGAAGGCCGGGGCTGCCCAGGCCTCTCTGTGCCGTGAGGCTCTCCGGGGCGTCTGTGGCCCATGCCCTCCCGGCCCTCCCACGGTCCAGGGTCCCGGGGGCCGGGTCCAGGCGGGCCTCCGCCAGCACCCTGCCCGGAGCCGGCCCCCACGACCTGCCGACCGCAGCTGGTCCCGGAGGCTGCCGGCTGCGGTGACCTGCCCGGCACGCGCCACCCCAGCCCTCGCCCACGTGCCCGCGGCTCTGGCAGGCAGCTGGCATCCCGCCCGCCCTCGTGCCCTGGCGGGCGGCCTCTGCCAGCTGAGGACGGAGGCCGTCCGGGAGGCGCAGGGCCCGGAGGGGACGGCGCCCGAACCCAGGCCCCCGTCTCCCCTCTTCCCCAGCAGCCGCTGCCTCTCGGCCCCCACGCTCCCGGGAGGCTCCTATGGCTCCGTCCCCCGCACACACTGAGCTCACTGGCGGCCATCTGCCGGCAGCAGCGACACCTCCGTGCACAGCGGTGCCGGTGCCGGTGCAGACGCCCGCGGAGGCCGACGGGAGCCCAGCCAGCAGCCGCGGGGCTCACACAGCTCAGAGGGGGGTGGGGTGTGGGTGGGGGTGTGGGTGGGCTGGGCCCCCGGTCTAGGCCAGGCCAGGGTGCTGGGCTCCCGCGGTCTGGAAGCAGCCAGGCAGGATTCTGCAGCTCCCTGGGAAGGTCCAAAGTGGGGGTGCTGCTGGAGCCCCCCCGTGCCCCTCCCCACAGACAGGCCCCAGGTCTGCCATGCTCCTAGGACACCTGCAGGCTCTGGGAAGCGGCCGCAGCTCCAGCCCCTCCACCGGGCAGGCCCCGGGCCGGGCTGCTGCCCCCTGCAGTGCACACCCTGCAGTGCACACCCTTCACGGCGGCTCCCCGCCCGCTGGGCCACCCCAGCCCAGGCTCCCTCCGCCCGTCTCGAAGTTTCTTGACCATGGAGGCAGGTGGCGAGCAGGGGGCCTGGGGCTGGCCGCCTGGAGGTGGGCCACAGGCGCTGGGCCCCTGACCCTCCCGGGATGCGTGCGGCTGCCAGCGAAGGGCCTCGTTCCATGGCAGCAGCCCGAGCCCTGGGAAGAGGAGGGGCTGCTGGCTGGCGGCAGCGGGAGGGCCCCCGAAGGGGGTCTGGCAGGGCCTGGCTGGGGGTGCTGCCCCTGCAGTGCACACCTCGTCCGCCCGCAGCTCAGAGCAGGAGCTGGCTCAGCCGGAGCCTGTGGTCTGGCTGACGGAGGTGGCTTTGGATTCTCGGAAGAAAGAGCATTTCTATGGTCCCGGCCGGGAGCTAGCGCCCCCCGGAGAGCGGCGAGGGGACGGGTCACGTGGCCTCAGAGGACCCCTGAGCTGAGAGCCCCAAGCCAGGAAGCCAGGCCTGAGCCCCGAGCCTCTGCCTCGGTTCCCCCTCCCAGCGCCCCAGCGCCACGCACACACACACACACACACACACACGCACACACGCTGTGCACGCCCCCGGCCGCCTCTGCTCTCACATGTTGTGTTTGTTTTGCTCCAGTAGGACTGAGCGGGACACGCTGCTCTCACATCGGCAGCTCCCCCCCCCCCCCGCCCCCCCGAGCTGCCATATGTCCGTGCCATCAGCAAGCAGCAGGCTCGGCGGCTGCCAGTCACCCTCCCCGGAGGCAGGGGTGGGCTCGCAGGGAGGGCAGCTCTGTCGGGCGCGGGCCCCGCGCTGAGCTCTGGGGTCTGCACTGGGCACCGCCCGCTCCCGCCACAGTCCCGGGATGGACTGCCCCATTCTGCAGGGGGGAAACTGAGGCTCAGACGCTTTGAGAAACTGTCTCCAAGTCTCACAGCTCAGGTCTGAGTTCACTGCCTCCCCCTGGGCCTGGCCCCGCCCCCGCTCCCCCTGGGCCCACCCCCTCCCTCCCCCGTTCCCCCACCCCCCTCCCCCACCCACCCCGCCCCGGGCCCGCAGTTAGCGGTCCCTCTTGGCTGCCAAGGAGGAGGGTATGCGGCCGCAGACTCGGTCCCCACATGTGCCTCCCAGGCTGGCCGTGATGGACACGGACAGAGGGGGCTGCGGGGGAGCCAGGGGGAGCGCCCGGGGACTGCAGTGGCCGCTCCGCCCCCCGCTCCGCTGCCCGCTCCCCGCCGGCCCCCACCCCCGCCGGCTGGGCCCAGCGGCCACCCTGCACCAGGCTCAGGTACCGGCTGCCCACACGGAGGGCCAGCTGACACTGACACTGCCCTACTGGCCCTGAGCCACCTTCACGGAGACCGTGGCGTATGCCAACCGGACCCTCGCCCTCGGCGTCTGTGCCCACAGCAGGACGGGCAGCTCATCACGGAGCCTGGTCCCGGTGCCGCCCGGGGAGAAGCCGGACACGGATGGGCTGGGGGAGGCGGTGCTTCCGGCCTCAGGGATGGGCGTCCGGGCGTGGGCAGTGCTGACCGCCACGAGGGACCCTGCCCGCGCGCTCCAGCCCAGCAGTGGCCAGTCCGGCCCACCAGCCAGAACGGGCGGGCGGAGGGAGGGGCCTGCACACGCCCAGCTGCCCGGGGCGGGGCTGGGGGGCGGGGTGGTCGGGGAGTGAAGCCCATTCTCCCAGCCCCACAGGCTTCAGCACCACGGACGGCGGTCCCTCATGCCTACCCCCCTCCTGCCTCAGAGGACAGCGCCCGGGGGGCCCCCACCCCGCTGGACCCTCACGTCACCACACGGGACCGTGCGGCCCACGTGGAGCCGCTGGCGGGCGCCGCGGTGCCTGAGGCTCAGAAACCAGACCGAAGCCGCTTCCCGGGGCCGCGGGCGCTGGCCCGGGGCGGCCGGGGGGCCGGCTCTCGCGCAGGAGCCACCAGAGGACACGGCGCGGGCGAGGGCATGGGTGTGCCGGCGGCTCTGTGCCAGTGACCTGCCGCCTCCGGGGTGAGCGCGGAGCGGGGCGGCTGGGGTCAGGGCCCGAGGGCGGGGCCAGCGGGACGGCGCGATGGCTGGGTGGGGGTCCCGCTCCGAGCACCCAGCGCGGCCCGCAGACGCAGGGACCTTCGCGAAGCCGCCCGGCCTCCCGGGCGGTGACCTGGACGGCGCCCTCGATCCATCATCCCGACACCTCGCGCCTGGTCCCCGGGCGGGCGGTCCGTTTGGGGTCAGTGCAGCCCGTGCCCGGGCCGCTAATTACCACCAGCCGGGCCGGCCGGGCAGGCAGCAGGGCAGGACCCACCCCACTCAGCAGCACCGATTCCCTTTAGGGACCCTCCCGGAGGCAGGGGAGCAGGCCGGGGGGGCGGGGGGGGGGAGCGCAGCCGGGACTGGGCCAGGCCCTGGAGGGCTGGGACCCCCGAGCCCGAGGGGGTGTGATCGAAGGGACCGATGTTTGTGGCCGGAGGGGTGCAGCGGGGAGGGTCCTTGGGACAGCGAGGCCCTGGGTGTCCCCATGCCGGACTGTCGAGGGGAGGGGGCAGGCGGGGGTCCCGAGGCGAGGGGCCTGGGGCAGTGGGTGTGCTTGCGGGAGCCCCTGGGAATGGGGGAGACTGGGTGGGACACGGCACCGGCCGAGCCGCCATCTTTGGACCGGCTGAATTATTAAGGGCTCAGGCTATTCCGGGCTCGGGCAGTGTGGTCTGAGACGGACAGCGTCTCGGCTCTATTTTTAAGTTCTGCGGGAAGAGCCAGGCGCCACCCGGCCCCCGGGCCCTCTGGACGGGTCTGGGTGAGGGCAGGGCAGAGCAGAGGGCGAGCGTGTGGGCAGCACCTGCCGCTGAAGGCCCTCCCTCCTGCAGCCCGGGGTCTGTCTCCTGCGACGCCGCCCGCAGGTCCAGACCCACCTGGCCCCTCCGGGGCTCCTGGCCCCCTCCTGCTCGACCCCCGTGACCCCCCTCCCGCACTGTCAGGCCGAGACCTGTGCCCTCCCCACTTCCCCCCGCACCACCAGGCCCAGGTCTGTGGGCCCTCCATCCCCCAGTGGGTCTCCCCCGGAGCTGTAGCTGGAACTCCGGTCCCTTTAAGGTCAGGACCCTCCAGCCTCCTCGTCAGGCTTAACCCTCACACCGGCCGGAGCCACGGAACCCGGTCAGACCCCTCCCACCCGCGCGGGCCACGCCGTCGCCACCCGCTCGGGGGGCCCCGGGGGCTGCTGTGACGGCACCCGGAGCTCAACCCGAACAGCCGGCGGCGGATGCACCAGGGCCGACGGGCAGAGCTGTAACACCGCGCCCGCCAGCTGCTGTGAGCGCGGTTATTGTTTCAAAATCTATTTTTATTGATTTCAGAGAGGAAGGGAGAAACATCAGTGATGAGCATCATGGATCGGCTGCCTCCTGCACGCCCCCCACTGGGAATCAGGCTCGAAACCCAGGCCTGTGCCCTGACCGGGAATCAAACTGTAACTTCCTGGTTTCATAGGCGGATGCTCAACCACTGAGCCACACTGGCCAGACCCACGTGGGCACTTTTAGAACAAAGCAGACTCCCGGGACCCCTGGGAAAGCCCCGGCCTGGGTCTGTGCTGAGGGCTCCGCATCACCGGGCTGCCAGGCCCCGTGCCGAGACGGCGGACGGACGGACCGGCGGGGACAGCACAGCCACGGGAGCGGGCGCCCGGCCGTGTCCCAGTCGGAGCGGAGCGCGCCGCCGGCTGCCGGGCCGGTCCCGCCCACGGAGGCGCCGGGCGGACTGGCGGGCGGGCGGCTCTCTCAGGGCGTGGCTGGCTCCGCACCGGCTCTGGTCCTACTGCTCCTGGGCGCCTGGGGCTGGGGCTTCGGCGGGGGTGCTGGGGCCGGGGCTGTGGGCCGCGGGAGCCCTGTCCTCACCCGAGGGGCCTCCGGGGCCTCCCGTGGGCCGCGCCTTTGGCCTCTGAGCCCTGCTGGTGCGGACATGGAGGGGCAGCATCCACCCAGATGGCCGGCCTGCCCTGGGAGCCGGGGGAGGGGCGCCCAGACCAGAGACCAGGCTCCCCGAGCCGCTCCTCACTGCCCGGCCGCTTCCCGCCCTGCCCGAGGGGGCCGCACGCCCGGAGGCTCCCCGCGGACCCAGCAGCTAGGCATCCCCGCGCCTGCCGCACGCCGGGAGCCCAGGCTCAGAGCAGAGGACGGAGCCATGCTCTGCACCCCAGCTGAGGACGCTGGTGCAGCCTTGCGCTCACCTCTCCCGCCCGGGGGCGGGGGGCGGGGCGCCCAGGGTCCTGCGGATGAAGTCTCGGGAGCGGATGTCGGCCTGAGGAGAGGGGTGCGAGAGGCGCTGGGTCCCCAGCTGGCCTCTGGGAAAGCTCTCCCGCCACCTGCTCCCCCAGAAAGCCGGGGGACGCGGCCTAAGGTGGGATCCAGGTCCCCGTTTCAGCTGCAGCCACTCGGCTCCCCTGGCTTCGCAGCCAACAGCACCCTTAGGTGGAGCGGCCTGAGCCAAGGTCCCTGGGAAACCCCTTCCCCGAGGGCCCAGCCGCGCCCGGGCCCCAGGCCTCTCCAGTGGGAGCGGCAGGCGGACGTGCGGAGGACGGTCGGGAGCAGTTCCCGTCCCACAGCGGTGGGGCAGGACAGGCCCCTGGAGCAGGGCCACCACCGCACCCAGGAGCGCTCCCAGCCACGGAGCTAGGCCCTCAGTGGGGGCTGTGCTGCCACCTGGAGGCCGCTCCGCATGCTGCAGCCAGGGGCCCGGGCCCGGGAAGGGGTGGTGGCCCGGGCGCGGGGGCAGAGGCGGAGCCGGGCCTGGGTGAGCCGCCCACCCACCTGGCGCACGGGCTCTGGGACCCGGAACCGGCAGCAGCTGCGGGTCAGGCGCACGGCCGTCTCCAGGCTCATCTTGTGGCCCACGGAGATGTAGAGCGGCTTGGAGCTGCCGTCGTGGCTCCGAAGGGCCTGGGGCGGGAGGGGGTCAGGGAGGGGTCAGGCCTGGGGCGGGAGGGGGTCAGGGAGGGAGGCCTGGGGCCGGAGGGGGTCGGGGGCTGTCCTGGGTGCAGGAGGGACCTGGGGGGTCAGTGCCCGGGGACGGGTGGGCCGCTCTGCCGGCTGCGCCAGCCAGGGGGGGGGTGCAGGCCGTGGTGCTGACCTGGGGCCCTGCTGCCCGTCCCCGGGGGCACTCACCCGGCCCAGCACGGCCCCGGAGCGGCCGGTCAGCGGGAAGGAGTCGCCGCCGGCGCGCAGGAGGCGGATCTGGGGAACAGGACACGGTCCCTTCACAGCCGGAGCGGCGGGCGGGCCCGGAGCACCGGGAGCGACCTGCCCGGCGAGGGCCCTGGCGGCCCTCGGAGCGCGGCCCCCTCCCGGCTCAGGGCGAAGGCGGCACCGCGCTGGAGGCTGCTCCTGCCACGGCCTTCGCTCCTGCCAGGAACCTGGCATGTCTGCTTCTACCCGAGGACGGTCCTGGGGGCGGCCGTGGCCCCTGGGAAGGCGGGGTCCCTGCCCACGGCCCACGCAGACGCAGGGCTGCCCCCAGCGAGACGCGTGCCGACCCGGCGCCTTCCCAGAGGGAGCCAGTGCCGCCCGCGGTCTCGTCCCCCCGGCCCCCCTCCCCGTCCTGGTGCTGCCCAGGGCAGAGCACGGAGAGGCCGGGCGGGGAGCTGGGAGAGGGGGCTGCGAAGTCCCCGCACCCACAGGGAGACGGGGTGCTCCTGAGCCTCAGCAGGGACGGGGGTGGGGGGGGCACACCTGGTCCTGGTGCAGGGCGTCCTTCTCCAGCCCGTCCACCTGCAGCAGCTTCTTGGCCACCCCGACGCAGGGCAGGTCTGTGAGGACGCCCAGGTGGCAGGCCACCCCGAAGCCTGGGGGGGGGGGGGGGGCAATGAGCCAAGCGGGGCAGGGGCGGCAGGGGCCTCGAGCTGAGGGACGGACTCCAGGCCCCCCTGACCCGTGGCCCCTCCCCCTGCCTCCCCTCTGTGGCCACCTCAGCCTCTGGGTCTCTGCCCGACGGTTCCCCTGACACTCGGGGCCTTGCCAGGTGGCCCAGTTGCTGTGCTGGGATCCCTGTCAGGCAGGCCCGAGGGTCCCGGGCCGGCCTCCAGGATGGTGTGCTCCCCACTCTGCCGCCCGACCCCCCCACTTCCAATCTGAGGGTGAAGCAGCCCAGGCCCCCACCCTCCCCGCTCTCTGACCGAGTCCCAGCGTCGGGGGCACGCTGCCCGGTTCAGGGCCAGCACCTCAGGCTGCAGGAGGCCACCAGTGGGACAGGCGGCTGAGCTCGGCCGTGGGGCAGGCGGGACGGGGTGAAGGGAAGGGACTTTCTGGCGGGTCCCAACAAGAGACAAAGGAGTTGCCAGCGCCCAGCTGGGGTGCACGCAGGCAACCTGAGCCCCCCAGCCCTCCCGCCACCTCTCGGGAGCAGGATCACCTCGGGGGTGGAGCACCCCGTTTCCATCCACCAGGAGGACCTGGAAGAGCCACGGGGAAGGGCGGTCAGTGGTGCTGCCATGGCCGGGTGGTCTGGGGGCAGGAGGCCCAGGCTTTGAGGTCCTCCCCCGCCCTCCGGGCAGAGCGCCTCCTCCAGGAAGCGCCAGGCGTCCCACGCAGGCGGGCCCCGGGGCACCTGCCTGGGGCGCGAGGCTGGGCGCCTCCTCCCGCAGCCGCCGCACGGCATCTGCCAGGAAGGGCGCCTCCCGGAAGGCCAGGAAGCCGGACAGGTAGGGGGCCGTCAGGTGGACCAGGCGGCTGTCCTCATACAGCACCTGTGCGGGAGCCAGTCCGGCCGCTGCCTTCGGCTGGGGATCCCTCCTCTGCAGCCCCCCCCCTCGCCACGCCCCTCCCTGCCTCACTGTCCGGGAGGCGAGCGCCCTGTGGGTGGGCTGGGGAGGCGACCTGTGAGCCGGAGCCCAGGCCGATGGGGAGGCCCAGGGGACAAGGGCAGGTGGGAGAGTGGGGACAGGGGCTGGGCAACGGCAGTCAGGGCTCCCGGATGGACAGCACACAGCCCCGTCACTCCTGGTCAGCACGGTGCCGGACCTGCTCCCGCACAGGGACCCTGCACCGGGGCTGAGGGCCTGCATGTCCTCCAGGCTCCAATAACCCTGCCCGGTCAGCCATCACTGCCCCTCCGCCCCATGCCGGCCCCGGCAACCACGGCCCTCGGCCTGAGGATTTGCCCACGGAGGCTGCAGATCTCGCCCGCGTTGGGGGCCACGGGCCACTTTCCCAAGACCCCCGGCTAGCCTGAGCCCACAGGCAGCTGACTGCGGGCAGCAGCAGGCCCCGTGCCCGTGCTGGGTGACCAGAGGACACGGGATGAGGCCCCCGAGCGCCTCGGTCAGGGGGAGACACATGGAGGCGGGGCCGGCAACCCAGCACCGAGGACAGCTGCCCGGCATGGCCCGAGATCGAGGCAGCGGAGATGGGGTGATGGAACACGGGACGGGTCTGGGGAAGCCAGAATCCCGAGGCTGACGCATCTATGGCGGGCGTGCGGGTGTGCCTGCTGCTCCGGGCGCATGGCCTCAGCTCAGCTCAGCTCCGGGCGCAGGTGCTCTCCGTCCACGGGAGGAAAGGGGGCGGAGCCTGGGGCGAAGGGGGCGGGGCAGAGCCAGGTGGGCAGCCAGGCAGCCCGTGCCCTTCCCCCAGGCCAAGCTCCACACTGACCAGGGCTCTGAGGGCAGCCTTGGCCGCTGCCCACCTCAGCACAGAGCAGGTGCGGGCACACTCCTGCTGGGTTCTGACTGAGGCGGGAGGGCGCGGCCTGCGGGAGGCGGAGGGCAGGGGGGAAGCCCTCCCCTCGCTCTTCCTTAGCCACGGCTCCCTGAGCTGGGCCTGCAGATCCTCCGCTCATCCCCTCCTTCCCGCAGCCACTCCCGTCTTCTCTCCAGGGCCGGGAGCTCGGAGCCCAGGCCGTGGCTGGGGGACAGGACCACACGGCAGGTGGGACAGGCTAATCCCATTCCAGAGAGAGAGAGAGAGAGAGAGAGAGAGACAGAGAGACAGAGAGAGAAAAGAGGGGGTGCTGGGAGCAACTCCTGGTCTTGTGGGATGAGGGGCGTCACCAGAGAACCTCAGAGAGGGGGAGGATGCTCCCGGACAGGAAGCGTCGCAGCGAAGGGCAGGCAGCGGGCAGCGGGGTCCGCCTGGGGGGTCCAGAGTCCTCGGAGGGGGCGGAGAGGGAATGGCTGAGCTGAGGTCAGACAGTGAGGGGCCTTCGCCCCGTGTCAGCAAGCGGAGGCACCAGCAGGGTCTCACGTGGACGGGTGTGCCCTGACCACACTTGCTTTTTAGGAAACAGCTCTGCTGGCAGCAGGGGCCCAGCGAAGACCCTGCGTTCACCGGCAGGAGGGCGGGCGCGCGCGGCGGGGATGGACAGGGGGACTGGGGCCAGCCAGCGGGAGGATGCAGAAAGAAACGCTGGAAATGGAGCCAGTGGCCCGGCCGGCCGGCGCGGCTCAGCAGTTGAGTGCCAACCTATGAACCAGGAGGTCACGGTTCGATTCCCGCCCTGCGCATGTGCTCAGGTGGCGGGCGTGATCTCTAGTTGGGAGGTACAGGAGGCAGCCGATCAGATTCTCATCATTGCTGTTTCGACCTCTCCCTCGCTCTTTGAAATCAATAAAAACATGTTTTTAAATGGAGCCAGTCTGTGACGGAGGGGAGTGGTCTGGGAAGACAGATTTCCAGCTTGGGCAACTTGGGATGTGTCCCTGCGGGTCACTGAGAAAGGGAGTCTAAGATGTCTCCTCGTTTTTGTCGCAGACCCCCCAACCTATTAACGAAATCCTACAAAACACCGTGTTCCCGTCCCCGAGCCCAGCGGGGCTGCCTGGCCAGCACCGCCTGCCCGGCCCCACCGTTACCTCCAGCTCAGGGTAGCTGAGCACCACGAGAGAGGCGCAGGCTCTGACACTGTCGCCCTTCACGAAGGACACGTCCACGCCCCCGACCCTCTGCAGCCCCGCGAAGGCGGGGTCCCGCTGCCACGCCTCGGTGTCCTGGTCCACCACGCGGGCCTTCAGCAGGGCTTGCTCCCTGAGGGCGGACCCGTGCAGCGGGCAGTCGGGCTCCGCCCCTCCGGGCGCCCCGCCCCTGAGACTACCTCGCCCCTGATGCCCCGCCCCCTGATGCCCCGCCCCTCCACTCCCCCTGATGCCCCGCCCCCGCTTCCCCGCCCACCCGCCCCTCCGGCCGCCCCGCCCCTGAGACTACCTCGCCCCCTGATGCCCCGCCCCCTCCGGCCGCCCCCGCCCCTGAGACTACCTCGCCCCCTGATGCCCCGCCCCCTCCGGCCGCCCCCGCCCCTGAGACTACCTAGCCCCCTGATGCCCCGCTCCCGCCGTTGCCCCGCCCCTCCACTCCACCTGATGCCCCGCCCCTCCACTCCACCTGATGCCCCGCCCCTCAACTCCCCCTGATGCCCCGCCCCTCCGGCCGCCCCGCCCCTGATGCCCCGCCCCCGCTGCCCCGCTGCCCCGCCCCTCCGGCCGCCCCGCCCCTGAGACTACCTCGCCCCCTGATGCCCCGCCCCCTCCGGCCGCCCCCGCCCCCTCTCCGCGACCCGGACGCGCGGGAAACGCGCGCCGCCGCCCCGCCCACTCAGTTCCCGAAGGCCCTTGGGTCCCGCTCCCGAAGCCGGCCGGTGACCCGCCGCCCCAAAGCCGGGGACCCCGAGGTTGGCGGGGCCGCGGGGGGCGGCATCGCTTCAGCCCTAAGGTCTTGCTCGTTCCCCGGCTTCATTACCGTTTCCAGAGCGACAGGGTTTCCTCGGGCGGCGGCCCAATCGCTTCCTGGGCCATGGCACAGCCCGACGTCCCTTCCGCGTGCGTCACTTCCGGTTTCCTGTGGAGGCGCTTGGTGGGGCCGCCTGGGGCGGGGCTCGGCGGACGGCGCCGCCTGGTGGCTGGAGGGCGCACGGGGCGCCGGCCTCGCGTGGACCGCCCCGCCCCGCCCCGCCCCGCGGAGGGAGGCGGCCGTGGGGCTCGGGGCCCGGCGGGAACGTCACACGGACCCACAGATGCACCGGAGAGCCCCGCGCTGGCCGCCAGGGACAGCAGGAAGCGTAGACTTTCATTTGCAAAGGAACGGGGCGGGGCAGGCAGGAGTGGTGAAGGGGCCGTATGTTTGTTTTTTAATCTCACCGCTGGCTCTTTCCCATTGACTTGTTAGAAAGAGTGGGGCGAGGAGAGAGACATGGATTGGTTGCTTCCCATAAGCGCCTCCCAGGGTGGAGCCCTTGATTCCCGGCAGGAGGTTCTAACCACTGAGCCACCGGCCAGGGCAAGAACCCACCCGCTGCTCAGACATCCTGGGCCCTGCCCCATCTCCTGGCGCCCAGGCTGCTGCAGCCCTCCCTCCCGCAGGGAGCCGTAGCACCGCCCACCTCTGCTGTTTCCGGGTGCGACTCGCCCTGAACCCCGTGGCGGGCACCTGCCTTCACCAGGCTTCAGTCCCAGTGTCTGCCGGGACGTTCCCAGGGGAGGGCACAGTCCTTTGCGAGCCGGACTCCTGCCCAGGCCAGGGCTGGAGGGCACCCTCTGAGGCCCAGGCTCCTGCTTCGGGCAGCGCAGCCCCTGCCGTCCTCCTGCCCGAGGGCTTCACCCTCGTGCTGAGCCGGGCTCCGTTTCCCCGGGATGGGCAGCTCTAGAGCGAGCAGAGCCCGCCCCCAGCGAGTGGAGGGCGCCGGCCGAAGGCAGGGCCTGCCCCTCAGAGGACTCTGGCTTGATCCAAACCCACGTTTATTAAACAAACTTACATTTGTGTGTGCTGGGCCAGAGGCAAACCAGACAGTGCTGGGCAATGGCAGTTAAGGCTTTGAAAGCACAGCGTACAAAGTCTTAATAAAACCCTTCATAAAAGTGGGGAGAAAGCCCTGCCCCGGCCCCCAGAGGAGGAGGGCCTTCGGCTCCTGCGTGGCGCCGTGAGGAGCCTGCGTGGCGCCGATGGCCACCATGGCGGCGTCACTCCAGGCCTGGGGGATCCAGGAGCTGCTAGTGCATGGAACCCCCTTCCCTGACTGAAGTGGCCCCCACCCCCGGGTGCGGACGGCATGGAGGGCCTTTGCAGGATCCGAGGGCCGAGTGCGGGCAGAGGAGGGCGGCTGGGTCACTGCCCGCTCACCAAGCACCGGAGTGGCCACGCGGGGCACCTGCAGCCGGTGGGGGCCGAGGGCGGAGCCGGCTCTTGCCGTGTGGCTCTCATCCCCACGGGCCCGCCTGCGAGCTGGGGCCTCCCTCGCTCCTGGAATGTGCACGAAGGTCTTTCCCTGAGTTGTCCACGGCTGTGGCTGTGGCCGTGGCCGTGGGTGCCGGGCCCCCCGGAGTGGGAAGTAGTCCTGAGGCCCCTGGCACCTCACTTCCAGTGACAGCAGGACGAGGGCAGGGCAGGGACCAGAGTCCTCGGGCACTTTTCTGGAAACTTCACGGCCTCGTGTCCTTCCTGAGTCTGCTTATGCCTCGGCTGAGACCGCAGGGACCGAGGTCACCGGGGTCCCGCTGACCGGGCAGAGCGCCGGGCAGTGCTCCCCCAGCGGTGCCAGGCTGCAGCCGGAGCCACGCCGCACCGACACCGTGCATTCCCAGTTTCAAAGCCCAGGTCTGCTCCTTCCTCGGACGGACGGACAGACGAGGACACGGAGCCCCTGAGGGTGGGCTCTATCTCGTCTGCCGGGCCCGCTTCAGCACAGCCGCCGTTTTCCACGCAGAGACGCAGTGGCAGAGCAGTATGTCCTCCGGGAACTGAGCCTCCATCTCGGGGGGGATGTCGCCTTCTTTCGTCTCCATGTAACTGACTAGGGTGTCTCTCAGGCTGGAAGACCAAGGGACAGAGCGGCACTTAGACCAGACTGCAGACGCCCTCAGGCCCTCCATCATCGGCCCCTCCTTCATCCGTCCCCTCCATCCGCGGCTCCCCTCTCCTGCAACCAGGAAGTGGGGGTCACCCACAGGCCACCCTCGGCGAGTGGGTCCGTGGGGACCAGGAGCCCGGCCTGAGGTTCTAGTGCGCCCGCCTCCCACGTGTGTGACGTGACCTGCCACACAGACGGCAGAGCCTGCGTCGTGTGAAAAAGCACCGTGGGGCCCAGGAGCGGGCTCCTGTCTCTACACCAAGTCCAGAAACTCAGCATCACTGTCAGACCTCAGAGGGAGGGGAGCGAGGGTGGGGAAAAGGAGGAGTGATCAACTAAAGGACTTGTGTGCATGCATACGGGCCTAACCAGTGGCCACAGACAACAGGGGGGTAGGGGTATACGTGGGGAGGGGTTTGGGATGGGAATGGGGGATTCAGACAAATTTGTGATACCTTAATCAATAAAGAAATTTAAAAATAATAATAATTTTTTAAAAATCTGGCATGGCCCTGGCCATATGTGTCAGTGGCTCGGAGCATCGTCCCAGGTGCCGGAAGGTCTTGGGTTCGATCCCCAGTCAGGGCACATATCCAGGCTGAGGGCTTGATCCCCAACTGGGGTGTGTAGAGAGGCAACCGATTGATGTTTCTCTCTCATCTCCCTTCTTCTCCCTCCCTCCCTCTCTAAAATAAATAAATAAATAAATAAATAAATAAATAAATAAAATCAACAAATACTCTCAGTTGAGAATTTTTAAAACTTCACAGATACCAGTGCACACAGGTCTACCCACACACATAACGGGAAATGAGTTAGAGTGTGGGGCGGGGGCTAACGGGCTCCATGGGAACAGGGACATCTGTAATATTTTCAACAGTAAAGACAAATTCTCAAATCGAATCCATCAGGGAAGCAGAGGAAGGGAACAGCAGCAGCAGACAGGTAGCAGGAGAGCTGACGTCAGTCAGCCGGTACTGGGCTCGGTGACTTTGAAAAGGCCCAGCAGAGCAGGCGGGAGCCCCCGCGGGGCCATGGGTAGCAATGCCATCGCCGCGGGCCACGTGGGTTAGCCACTTCACAGCTTCATCAACGCCCAGCGCCTGGCAGGGCCAGACCAGGGACTCTGCGGGCCTGCTCCGCCCGCCCGGGCGGACACCAGCCTGCACCGGAGACGCCCCCCAGCGTCCGCGGGGAAGCAGGGGCAGCACCCGGCTGCAGGAGCGGCGCCTACCTCCAGTCGGCCTTGAAGTCAGCCTCGGTGAGGGGGTTCTTCAGCTTCAGCAGGATCATCTCGTGCAGCTCCAGGAGGAAGACGTCCAGGCAGCTCTGGTTCAGGAACGCGCGCAGGTGCTTGGCGCTTCTGGGGCTGAGCCGCTCCTGGTACTTGGCGCTGATCTCCCTGAAGGGCTCCTGCAGCCGAGGACGCTCAGGGGAGGCCGGGGAGGAGGATGGGAGGGAGGAGGATGGGGAGGAGGATGGGAGGGAGGAGGCCGGGGAGGAGGATGGGGAGGGAGGAGGCCGGGGAGGAGGATGGGGAGGAGGATGGGAGGGAGGAGGCCGGGGAGGAGGATGGGAGGGAGGAGGCCGGGGAGGAGGATGGAGAGGGAGGAGGATGGGGAGGAGGATGGGAGGGAGGAGGATAGGAGGGAGGAGGCTAGGAGGGAGAAGGATGGGGAGGAGGATGGGGAGGGAGGAGGCTGGAGAGGGAGGAGGCCGGGGAGGAGGATGGGGAGGAGGATGGGAGGGAGGAGGATAGGAGGGAGAAGGATGGGGAGAAGGATGGGGAGGAGGATGGGGAGGGAGGAGGCTGGAGAGGGAGGAGGCCGGGGAGGAGGATGGGGAGGGAGAGGCCGGGGAGGATGGGGAGGAGGATGGGAGGGAGGAGGATGGGGAGGAGGATGGGGAGGGAGGTGGCCCGGGAGGAGGATGGGAGGGAGGAGGCCGGGGAGGAGGATGGGGAGGGAGGAGGCCGGGGAGGAGGATGGGGAAAGAGGTGGCCTGGGAGGAGGATGGGAGGGAGGAGGATGGGGAGGAGGATGGGGAGGGAGGAGGCCGGGGAGGAGGATGGGGAGGGAGGAGGCCGGGGAGGAGGATGGGAGGGAGGAGGATGGGGAGGAGGATGGGAGGGAGGAGGATGGGGAGGGAGGAGGCCGGGAGGAGGAGGATGGGAGGGAGGAGGCCGGGGAGGAGGATGGGGAGGAGGATGGGGGGGGAGGAGGATGGGGAGGAGGATGGGGAGGGAGGAGGCCGGGGAGGAGGATGGGGAGGGAGGAGGCCTGGGAGGAGGATGGTAGGGAGGAGGATGGTAGGGAGGAGGATCGGGAGGAGGATGGGGAGGGAGGAGGCCGGGGAGGAGGATGTGGAGGGAGGAGGCCGGGGAGGAGGATGGGAGGAAGGAGGATGGGAAGGAGGATGGGGGGGAGGAGGATGGGGAGGAGGATGAGGAGGGAGGAGGCCGGGGAGGAGGATGGGAGGGAGGAGGATAGGAGGGAGGAGGATAGGAGGGAGAAGGATGGGGAGGAGGATTGGGAGGGAGGATGCCGGGGAGGACGGGGTGGAGGAGGGCGGATGCCCGGGGAGGAGGAATGGGGATGGAGAGGAGGCCGGGGAGGAGGATGGGGAGGGAGGAGGCTAGGAGGGAGAAGGAAGGGGAGGAGGATGGGGAGGGAGGAGGCCGGGGAGGAGGCTGGAGAGGGAGGAGGCCGGGGAGGAGGATGGGGAGGGAGGAGGCCGGGGAGGAGGATGGGAGGGAGGAGGATGGGGAGGAGGATGGGGAGGAGGATGGGAGGGAGGAGGATAGGAGGGAGAAGGATGGGGAGGAGGATGGAGAGGGAGGAGGCCAGGGAGGGAGGAGGCTGGGGAGGGGGGAGGCTGGGGAGGAGGATGGGGAGGAGGATGGAGAGGGAGGAGGCCGGGGGGGGGGAGGAGGCTGCGGAGGGGGAAGGGAGCCACAGGGCTAGGAGACGGACTTACCTTCTGCAGGCGCAACAGCTGTTCAGACTTGTGTGCAGAGAGAAGCTGCCAGAGTGCGATGATGTGGCGGAGCCGACACGGGTGCAGGTGCAGGGCCTGGGAGGAGGGGGCTCAGGACGCGGCACTCAGAGTGCATCTGGCTTTCCTCCAGTCCCGCCTTTCCACTCACACCCCCACCACCCCCACATCCCCACCACCCGCGCCTCCGCTCATACCCCCACCACCCGCTCACACCCCCACCACCCGCTCCTCCGCTCACACCCCCACCACCTCCGTCTCTGCTCACAACCCCACCAACCGCGCCTCTGCTCACACCCCCACCACCCGCTCACACCCCCACCACCCGCTCCTCCGCTCACACCCCCACCACCTCCGTCTCTGCTCACAACCCCACTACCCGCTCACACCCCCACCAACCGCGTCTCTGCTCACACCCCCACCACCCGCTCCTCCGCTCACACCCCCACCACCCGCTCCGTGTACTCACACCCCCTCTAGCACCCGCTCCGTGTGCTCACACCCACCTTGGCCACCTGCTCGGTCTGGTCGCCCATGCGCAGCTTGTCCTGCAGGTACACGGTCAGGTCCATGTCCGGGTCCTCGCCCGCCGTGCTCAGAAACCCCAGCGTGACTTCCACGAGGGACAGAGCTTCGCAGGCGTCGCTGTAGGACTGCAGCTGCCCGCCCAGGGCGCTGGCGGCCGCGTGGGGCAGGGGGCTCTGGAAACGGGAAGCAGCTCGGGGTGAGACAGCTGACCTTCACGCCAAGGTCGCCCCCCGGGGCCAGCGCTGTGACCTGTGCTCCTCAGGATCGGCTGTTTCCCAGACACAGGTGGGGCTCACCGGACCCTCAGAGCCACTGTGAGCATGTGCACACGGACCCATGCACACGCCACACATGCATACACAACACGCCCACACAATGCAGCCAACACGCACATGCCATGCACGTGCCACACACACTCAACATGCACATGCCACAGGCATGCTCACTCCTCACATGCACACACATGCATACATACTCAACACACACATGCCGCACACAGTTCTCTGGCCTTCCACAGGCGCACATGGCAGTGACGCCAGCACGGCCCGGCCCGCCTGCCCACAGCAGGAGCGCGGGAGGCCAGGGGAGGGAGCCCGGGGACAGGGCGGCGGCGGGCTCACCTGGGGCACCCGGCTCTTGATGGCGGCGAAGAGGTGCTCGTAGTTCCAGTCGCGCCGGTACACCAGCGTGGGCAGGCCCCGGAGGCTGAGCCGGGGTTTGCCCTGGAGGAAGCGGCCGGTGACCTGGCGCTGGATCCGCTCCAGGTCCAGCTCCTGCAGGCTCTCGCCGCCCTGCGCCACCTGGTACTGGCAGTTGGCGAGGATCAGCGGCATCAGGTCCCGCTCCGCCTCGTAGCTGACGACGTGCAGGTCGGCCACCTCGGAGGCGTCCACGGAGTAGCTGCGGAGGGAACGCGGCCTCGGCGGTCAGCCCCGGCCCAGGACGGGGCCGGCGAGCGGGGGACACGGCACACGGCCTGCGGTGCCGGGCCGAGCCGCCTCCCGGGGCCGAGAGGGCCTCACCTGGGCTCCTCCTCGGAGAGCCGCTGCACCGCGGAGACCATGTCGTTGTGCAGGCCGATCAGGTAGCTGACCAGGGCGGTGGCGCAGAGGCCCAGGCCCTGGCGGCGCGGCAGGATGACCTCGAAGTCCGAGTCCAGGTCCAGGTCGGCGCGGCAGTAGTCTGCGGGCAGCTTGATCTCGCCTTTAAGGACAGGGCTGTTCTCCGGCAGCCGCTCCAGCTGCTTCCTGCAGGGCATCTGGCCGGCCCGCGGACGCCCCGCCGCAGACTGTCCCAGCCTCCCCCCCGCCCCCCAGGTGCCGCCTGCCCCGGGGCCCCAGCACCCTTGTTTCCACCTGGACAGACCCAAGAGGACCCGGCGTGGGCTTTGTTTTGTTTCCCGGAGGCTCGCGTGGCCCGCAGGGATCGAGCTGGAACTGGCAGTCCACCGCCGCCTGCCGCTACGCTCACCCAGCCCTGCTGCGCCCGCCGCGGGCTTGCGCCCAGTCAGCCCGATGGCGAGAGGCTCGCACGGCCGCAGCAACAGCGCCCGCCAGCCGTGAGCCCTGCGTCTGGCCCCCGTACGTTGGTCAGCTGCGCGGGGCTCCCACAGGAGCACAGGGACCACCAGGGGCAGCTCCTGCATCGAGTGTCTGCCCCCTGGTGGTCAGCGTGCATCATAGCGGCCGGTCATTCGGTTGCTCAGGCTGTTATACGTATAGAAGTGGAGCTCGCACTCACCCTGGGTCTCCAGCGACCTCCTCAGCTTGTTCCATGTGGACAGAAACAGTGTGACCCGGCTGAGGAGCAGCTGCTTCAGGCCTCCTGCCGAACACGCCCGTGCAGGTCAGACGGTCCGGCTGTGCTCCCCACACACCCGCGGCCCAACGCGGCCCAAGCGCCGTGGGAGCACCCCGGCCGAGTGCCGCGGGCTGAGCGAGGCTGCCGCCAAGCCTCCATGGCAGCCCCGTCCTCGTGTGAACAGCGCCCAGGGCTGCCCGCCCTCCCTGCCCCCAGCTGGAGTGACCCTCGAGCCACCAAACAGGCATCCTGACCTCCTGTGACGGCCGAGTCCTACCTGAGTCGTGGCTGTCAATGAAGCCTCGGATGGACTGGAACTCAGCTTCCGGAACATTCTGGAACCATTTCACCAGATCCCTCTGCAGGGCCAGGATCTCAGGCAAGAACTTCACGAGTCTCAGCTCTGCCTCCTGGGGAGGGAAGGCCGTGTTGGTCCGTCAGTCTCTCACCTGCCCAGAAGGTACCGCGGGGGCGGGGGCTTGGGGGCGGGGCCTCGGGGGCGGGGCCTCGGGGGAGGTGCTGGCTCAGGGCCAGTGTTTGTGTCTCCCTCTGGCCAACCTGCTTTGGTTGGGCATTGATCCATTAGTTTTTATTTTTTAATTTTTAAACATATTTTTATTGGTTTCAGAAAGGAAGAAGGGGGGGGGGAGAGAGAGAGAGAGAGAGAGAGAGAGAGAGAGAGGGGAACATCAATGATGAGAGAGAACCACTGATGGGCTGCCTCCTGCCCGCCCCACTCTGGGGATCGAACTCAAAGCCCACCATGTGCCCTGACCTCCTGGTTCACAGGTTGATGTTCAACCTGAGCCCGCTGACCAGGCTTCACTGAATTTTAGAGAGAGGAAGGCGGGGGTGGAGGAGGCGGGGAGAAAACAAGCCCCTCGATGTAGAGATAGAACTGTTTCACAGACCCCCCCCCCCCCCCAGCATCCTGAGCTGCAGGCAGGGGGCCGGATCCGCCGGGAAGCAGGTGCCCAGGCCCCCCAGGGACGAGCAGGCGGGCCGGCAGGCCGGGGCGAGGGCCCGGGGCGCCCGCCAGGCGCACCTTCTGCAGGAACCTCCAGAGCACCGGCACGCTCTCCCGGCCGTTCTTCTGTTCCACCACGTGCCGCAGGTGCTCCACGGTGAGCCGGGCGCGGCAGCTCCAGGTCCGGGAGCAGTGGAGCGCGCTGGCCCGGGGCAGGCGGCGCAGGAAGGCCGCCGGGTCCCCCAGCACGATCCTGGCCACCGGGTCCGAGCTGATGCGCTCGTCCCGGCTGATGAGGCCGTTCACCTCCAGGAGGGTTTTGTCCAGACGCTGCGGGCAGGACAGGCGCTGGCGTGAGGGCCACCGGGGGCTGGGGCCCAGGGCCCAGGGCGTCTGCTCATTATACTTATTTGCTTCCTCGGGAATCCTCACCGGAGGGTGTGTTTTTAGTTTTTCCATTGAAAGGAAACGTCGATGTGAGAGAGACACATCGATTGGTTGCCTCCCGCATGGCCCGGGCCGGGGCCCGGAATCAAGCCTGCACCTGAGGTCCGTGCCCTGGACAGGAATGGAATCTGGGACCCTTCAATGCAGAGCTGACGCTCTATCCACTGAGCCACACCGGCCAGGGCCGACCCGCTCACTTTACACCTCACCAACTAGCCACGTTGCTGGCTTTCACACTGGTTCTGTAGGGTCACGGCTCCCAATGGCACGAGGCTCAGGCCTGCATCTCCCTCCCGCCCTGCCCCTCGCTGACGCTCATTCCCTGACGGGCTCTGCTGCTCCCAGGTCTGACTGAGGGGCAGCTGCCTACGGCCACAGGGCACCTGGTCTGACCGAGAGGCAGCTGGCTACGGCCACGGGGCACCAGGTCCAACCGAGGGGCAGCTGGCTATGGCCACAGGGCACCGGGTCTGACTGAGGGGCAGCTGGCTATGGCCACAGGGCACCGGGTCTGACTGAGGGGCAGCTGGCTATGGCCATGGGGCACCGGGTCTGACTGAGGGGCAGCTGGCTATGGCCACGGGGCACCGGGTCTGACTGAGGACGGCAGGCGGGGTGGCCTGGGCCGGTATGGCTGGGTCCGAGGTGGGCCCAGGGCTCCGGTGCCTTTGCTGAGGTGCGTGGGCCGAGCCCAGGGCTCAGGATGACCCTTCCCACCCCCAGGCGGCGGCTGCCCCTCACCCACCTCCAGCTCAGGCAGCACGAGGGCCTGGAGCAGCTTCTCCCACGAGTTCCTCTGCTCTTTGGTGGACAAGGTGGCGCCGAAGCTGAAAGACCCTAGAGAAGGCACCGGCACGGCCGTCCCCAGTGAGCGCGCCAGCGTCCACCGAACCTCGCCCTCTGGGGGGACGGGAGGGGCATCTTCTTCTGAGCCACCCGAGGATTTAAACACGGCTCCTGCCGCCCGGAGGACACGGGCCCGTTCCGGTCAGGGCCCAGGCCCGGGCGTGGGGCGTGCAGGAGGCAGCCGGTCCATGATCCTCTCTCATCATGGATGTTTCTCTCTCTCCCTCCCCATTCCTCTCTCACATCAACGAAAGTATATTTAAACATGTCTCCTGCTACCCCGCCCCCATGTTCTCTGTAAAGATGCTCCAACCTCTGACACTGGAGCCGGCAAAGCCGCCCCACCCACCTTTGCGCACCCAACGGGGAGCTTGGAAGGGACAAGGGGCAGGCACACCGCCCGCTGCCAGCTGGGGCGCCGCACCCATCGCCACCCGTCTGTCTCCCAGGCCCCATGCTCTGCGGCTGTGCCCCCCCCTCGCCCGGCCCTTACCCCGGCCGGAGAGGGGGTGCTGCTCCCTGAGCAGGACGCACAGCACCAGGTGCACCACCTGCACCGTGTCGTCCGCGCTCTTGCCCAGCGTCCGCATCAGCTGCCGCAGGTCCCGCTGGAGGTGCTGCTGCAGGAAGGCACCCGGGTCCCTCACCGCGGGCTTGATGAGGAGGGTCAGCTCCTGGCGGAGGGACAGGGCGTCAGACGGGCGTGTGCGGAGGCCAGGGGGCGCTCTCACTGCGGAGGCGGCGGCGGGGCGGAGGAGCCCCCGGGGCCTCGGGACAGCGGGAGGGAACCGTCTCTGCTCTCGTGGCCCAGGAACGCCGAGGGAAGGCTGCTCTGCCCCAGAGCCACGGCCCTGACACGGGAGGGCAGGTGAGTGCGGCGGCCTCTCCACGCCCAGGTGTGCACAGAGTCGGGCATTGAAAATGGACCTGGCAGCCCAGCCAGTGTGGCTCAGTGGTTGAATGTCGACCTATGAACCAGGAGGTCAGGGTTTGATTCCTGGTCAGGGCACGTGCCCAGGGGAGGGAGGGGCAGGCGTGCAGGAAGCGGCTGCTCTAGGATTCTCTCTGGTCAGTGATGTCTCTCCCGTCCCTCAAACCAATAAAGTGTAAAAAACTAAAACGGACCGGGTAAAGGCTGGTGGGCACTCCGCCATCCTGCCAGGCGCCGCGGGGAGGGGCGCGAGGGGTAAACTCCGTGTCACCTGGGGGACTCGGTGGGAAGACAAATCTGAGCCCACAGGGGGCGGGCCCTGGGAGACAGCCGGGCACCCTGCGCGTACCTGGGGGCTGTGGGCCGCTCCCCAGAGCATCGCCAGGTGAGTGAGGAGCCGGGCGAGGAGGAAGGCCGCGGGGGCCAGCTCTCGGTCGGACACCACCGCCTCGTCCCCGGTGGCCGGGCTTCCCAGCACGTGGCCAGTCCGAGTTCTGTCCACATCGTTTCTGGAAAGAGCAGAAGAGGCCAGATGAGGGCAAAGGTCATCTCTTCGCAGATGGGGGCACCCAGGTCCCAGGGGCCCTAAGGCCAGGCTCCCGTTTGGGGAGAAAATAACATTAAAAGCACTTTTTTCTTCAGAACCTGGGCGATCTTCCTAAAAGTCTTTTTTTCTTCATTTCTTTTTTGTTTAAATATATTTTTATTGATTTCAGAGAGGAAAGGAGAGGGAGAGAGAGATAGAAAAGCAATGAGAGGGAATCATGGATCGGCTGCCTCCTGCACAGCTCCCACTGGGGACCGGGCCACACCAGCCGGGCCAGAGTCTCTCTCTTCCTAGAACCAATCTCCAGGTGACCGGGACAGGCAGCCTTCTCCGGGAAAAGTGGCCGAAGGGAGCGGCATTCAGTGCCATCCCCCGGGCCACGAGTCAGGCCGGCCAGACCTGCTTCCCCGCTGCAATCACGGGGTCAGAGGCTCAGGACAGCCGGTCTCCGGGACAGCCGACCTGGGCCTGGGACATGGCACAGTGGTCTCCTTTCCCCCAATCAACGCCTGCGACCAAGGGCGGGCAGAGGAGCTGGGCCACGCCCAGGGCGCAGGTGCGGCGTGATGGAAGGTGCCAAAATGCAGGGTGTCCCCACAAAACGTACACATGCTTTCGCAGCGGGAGCCCGGGTGGTGCTTCTTTCTTTTCAGAGTTGACCCACTGGAATGAACAATTACTCAAAGTGGGCGTTGACCTATGACCCAGGAGGTCACCCTTCCATTCCTGCTCAGGACACATGCCCACGTTGTGGGCTTGGTCTCCACTAGAGGGCGTGCAGGAGGCAGCCGATCCATGATTCTCACTCATCACTGATAATTCTCTCTCTCCTTCTTCCTTCCGCTCTGAAATCAATAAATGTATACTAAGAAATTTTCAAAGTGTGTATGCATTTTTGAGGGACACATAATAATACTCATTCCTATGAATGCCTGTTGGTGGTTCTAGGATAGTGGTCGGCAAACTCATTGGTCAACAGAGCCAAATATCAACAGCACGATTGAAATTTCTTTTGAGAGCCAAATTTTTTAAACTTAAACTTCTTCTAACTTCTTCAAAATAGACTCGCCCAGGCCGTGGTTTTGTGGAAGAGCCACACTCAAGGGGCCCAAGAGCCGCATGTGACTCGAGAGCCGCACTTTGCCGACCACGGTTCTAGGACATTCTGATGGTTTGTGGCCAATGGCAGCTCTGGCACGTCCACGTGGTATGACCACAGGACCGTGGCCTGACGCCCACCCGGGCACTGACCCACGTTTCACATTGAGGGTCAGCTTATCGGGTGGGAGAGAGACAGCCCTCGGCGGGGGAGGGGGATGAGCAGAGAAGGAACAGCCTTACGTACTGGGCGTCCGTGAACCCTCTGATGGACTTGTGGTCCTGCCCTCCGACGGGCGCGCCGCAGTCGATGCAGACGCTCTGCTGCATGGGCAGGCCGCACTGGGGAGAGGGAGTGTCAGCTCAGGGTGCGGGTGTCACGGGAGGGGCGGTGCAGACGGGGCAACTCAGCAGTGGGGCTCAGAGCTACACGTCTCTCTCCTCCTCCAGGCCCCTCTCTGCTGGTCTATCCGCTCTGCACTAGTAATCGGCTTCTGAGACGGTCACCACTTCACCGTCCCATGTCCCTGAGCCCACGCTGGGGCCACGGAGGTGGCTGGTGGTGGTTCCTAACCACAGCCATGCTGTCTCCCAGGGACCGTGGCATCTCTGGGTGCCGCACTGAGGAGATGGGGTGCTCCTGGCAGCTGGGGCCGGGGCCAAGGATGCTGCCCAGGACAGGCCCCCCAAAAGACGTGCACAAGGTGCCGAGCTGGAGCCCAGCTGGACCCCGTCAGCTCCGTGCGGGTGTTCGGGAGCGGCTGGGACGACCCTCAGAGGCGTCAGTTCCCCTGGGAGGTCAAAATGCCCCCCCCTCCTCCATGTCCCCCAGACCCAAAGGAACATGCCTTTTGAGCCCCCCAAACCTGTCCCAACACCCAGTCTCACCTCCCCGACAGCGCACAGATGGCCTTGGGGACACCCTGTGGGAAGAAGAACAGGGCTCGAGTTGGCCGGCGAGGTTTCTCGCGGAAGCACGTGGTGCACGGGAGGGCTAACCTCCTCCTGGCCTGACCCCCCCAGGAGGGCGGGCATGTGGGAAAGCCACGCAGAGCAGAATTCTCCAGAGCAGGAGATGCTGACTCCACGCTGAGCCAGGGCCGCTCGGGAGGCGTGCGGCCAGCGCTTTCCACGCACTGATCTCTGATCTGGGTCTCTGCCCTGAGCACGCTCTCCACCAGCTTGGGAACTAGGTTAAAGGCATTAGTCACTCAGCCCAGTGATTGAGTGCTGGCCTATGAACATGGAGGTCATGTTTGATTCCCGGTCAGGGCACAGGCCCAGGTTGCAGGCTCCATCCCCAGTGCGGGGCGTGCAGGAGGCGGCCGATTGATGATTCTCTCATCACTGATATTTCTCTCTCTCTCTCCCTTCCTCTCTGAAATCAATAAACATACATTTTTTAAAAAAATAAATAAAAGGTGTATAGAGTGCCTGGGAAAGGCTCCTGAGCTGATTGTCATCTGAATTCAGTGGCATCTGGCAGAGCCATACCTTGAGACATACCTTGCCAGAGGCAGGTGTGTTGTTAGCCTGACCTTTAGCTCAGGCGTCAGGGGGTGGGTTTCATTAACTAAGTTCAGCCAGGCACCAGGAATGGACGCAATTATCCGGGCCCAACCAAAAGTGATGATTACAAAGAAGCCTCATGAATGAAGAATTACAGCTGGATCTTTAACCAGGATTTCACATAAGTTCCTTTATCTTAAACTTCAGTAAAACTTCCTGGTATTATACTGTATAAAATAAATGTGCTGTGCTGGCTCTGGGTCACTGTCTCTCCATCAGAGGGACAGCTGTCCCACCCGGCCCCAGCTTTTCCCTTCTGTCTCTGTGTCTGTCTCTTTCTTTCATTTTCTCAATCCCCAGCCGCCCCTACTCAGGATTTGTGACAGCCCTCTAGCCGCGCTGGACTCGGTGAAAGAGAGAATACTTATAAGAAGGGTCATTTACTCAGGGCCCCGTAGACTTTACATAAAGCCATGGGCTATACTGTTCTGTCTCCCAGTTTCATTTTTCTAAAAATGCTGTCTTAAGGCCTGCCACTGGGCTGTGTTGTGGCTGAGCCTCGGACATGGCTCCCAGTCCCCTGCTCCCAAGCAGCGCGACCTGGGGGCACCGACCACATGGGCCCCTGCTCAGCCAGCGAGCGGCTCACGTGGCACCAGGAAGCTCGTCAGAGCGCAGATGACAGGACCGTTCACAGTGACACGTACTGTACCAGCGGACAGCCTCCAACCCGTGCCAGCGCCGGGCCTGTGCCAGCATGTCCTCGGGCATCGTCGGAAGGAACGCTGCCTAAAACACAAAGACGCGGAGCCAGCTTCAGACGCAGGCAAGAGGCCTGGCTTCCCCTCTCGTGGGCCTCCCGAGCTGTCTGTGCAGAAATGCAACAGCTCTCGCCCTGGCCAGTTTTGCTCAGTGGGTAGAGCATCGGCATATGGACCAAAGTGTCTTGGATTTGATTCCTCGTCAGGGCACAAGCCTCGAATCCCAGTAGGGGAGTGCACAGGAGGCAGCCGATCAATGATTCTCTGTCATCACTGATGTTTCTTTTTAAAAAAATAAAGTTTTATTTATTTATTGTTGTTATTTTTAAATCCTCACCCAAGGATATTTTTCCATTGATTTTTTTTTTTAGAGAGAGTGGAAGAGAGAGAAAGACAGAGACATCCATGTGAGAGGAACACATTGATTGGTTGCCTCCTACACGTGCCTTGATCAGGGCCTGGGCCAGGGAGCAGCCTGCGGCTGAGGAACATGCCCTTGGCTGGACGTGAACCTGGGGCCCGTCAGTCCACAGGCAGGGCTCTACCCACTTTTGGTCGCCAACCTTTCGGACCTCACAGACCACTGGCTGGTGATCGCTGGGCTAGGGCATCATGGATGTTTCTCTCTCTCCCTCTCCCTTCCTCTCTGAAATCAATAAAAACATATTTTAAGCCGAAACCGGTGTGGTTCAGTGGATAGAGCGTCTGCCTGCGGACTGAAAGGTCCCAGGTTCGATTCCGGTCAAGGGCATGTACCTTGGTTGTGGGCACATCCCCAGTAGGGGGTGTGCAAGAGGCAGCTGATTGATGATTCTCTCTCATTGATGTTTCTAACTCTCTATCCCTCTCTCTTCCTCTCTGTAAAAAATCAATAAAATATATATATTTAAAAACACACACAAAAAAGTATTTTAAAATACCCTATATAATAAAAGCCCAATATGCAAATTGACCGAATGGCAGAATGACTGGTCACTAAGACACACACTAACCACCAGGGGGAAGACACTCAATGCAAGAGCTGCCTGCAGGCCCCAGGCCAGCCAAGGCGGGTGCCAGTGGGGGCCCCAGGTCACCCCATAGAGGGAGGACACCAGTGGTGGTGGGGCTGGCCAGTGGGTGGCTCAGGCTGGCCAAGGTGGGTGCCAGCAGGTTGGCCTTGGTCACCGGCCAGGCCTAGGGACCCTGCCTGTGCACACATGTCATGCTCTGGGCCTTTAGCATATATTCGCTAAAAAGAAAAAGACACCTAACAGCTCTCCATGGCGACAGAGGGCGAGGCCTGGTTCTCCCCACACTGTGGACACAGGGATGGGCGAGATACAGGCCAGCGGGGACCGAGGACACAACTGGGTTCAACAGTCCCCTGCACAGACGGGGTATGTGGGGGGTCTGCGTGGCAGCCCTGTGGACCCAGCCGCGCAGGCTGGGGGCAGTCTTACCGCCATGGTGGCCGGGGAGAAGGCCAAGTTCCTCAGAGGCTCCAAGACCCTGTGCCGCCCGCAGAGGAGGGTGGCGGCGGCGTGGACGGCCAGCTCGGTCAGCGTGCCCGCCAGGCCACCGTCTCCGGGCCCCACGGTCCTCAGCAGCAGCAGAGAGTTGGTCACAAGGGCTGTGGCTAAATGTCTCGCGTCCGAGGACAGGACCTGGCTTTCTTCGACGGACTTGCACAGGGCCTCGAGTTGCTGATGGGAGAATGGGGTTCAGCGTTAAAACACAAGGAGGAGCACGCCATGTACCCAAAGGTTCGCTCTGCAGACGCGCCATCCGAACAGCAGACGCCTACCAGCCCACGTGTGTGCCTTCTTGCCCGAGCTGTAGCTGCGATCCTAGCAGCTTTGGGGAAACAGAAAGCCGCCCCACCCCCCACCCCCAGGAAAGGGTGAGCCCCCAGATGAAGCGGGAGGGACGGCATGCTTTGTGTGGTGACTTGTTAATCTGCAAGAGAGGATGGTTTTCCCGCTGGTTTTTAGAGAGAACGGGAGGGAGGGTGGAGGGTTGGGGGTGAGGGTGGGGGAGAGGAGAGAGAGGGAAGAGAGACGCCATGTGAGAGATACATCGACTGGCTTCCTCCTGCACACACCCCCTGGGGCCGAGGAATGAACTGCAGCCCAGGTGACCTGGGGCACGAGCCAGCGCTGTCCGCTGCACCACACGGCCAGGGCAGCGTCTGTGACGTGTACTTTGTTCAGACGGTCCCCTCTGACCCCGAGGCTGGCACTCACCTCCCGCTTGGGGTGCAGGTGGGTGTTGCGGGCCCGGTACAGCATGGCCACCTCGCGGAAGAGCGCCAGCAGCAGGTACGTGGCCTGGTGAGCCTGGGAGCCCCTGCAGGCCTGGGGCGAGGAAGGCGGGAGGCTGGGTGGCGCAGTCAGCGCCACCCCCGGCCCCCACCAGGAGGGGCAGGGAGACTCCCCAAGACCCTGCAGCCTGCACCCGAGGGGCCACCTCAGGGCGACAACACCCAGGCTGCGAGCTCCTTCAGTCGCTAAGCTCTGCGCGCATGTGCCAGAGGCCTGGTGTCGGAACCCATCACCATTGTTCCTTCTCCAGACGACGTGGTCCCCAAAACTCGCCCTGAGCCTAGGAAGGGCCCCCTTTTTCCCTTGCAGGATGCTGGGGTGCACGGGGCCCACAAAGGAAGCCCAGAACACTTTAAAGACCGGATTCCAGCCCAGCTGGCGGGGCTCAGGGGTAGAGTGAGCATCGACCTATGAACCAGGGGGCACAGTTCCATTCCCAGCCAGGGCACAGGCCTGGGGTGTGGGCTCCATCCCCAGCGTGGGGCATGCAGGAGGCAGCCGATCCACGATTCTCTTCCATTATTAACGTTTCTCTCTCTCTCCCTCTCCCTTCCTCTCTGAAATCAATAAAGATATATTAAAAAATTAAGAAAACATATAAAGATGAGATTCCAAAAACCCGGCGTGGCTCCCACCCTAAGCAGGGAGTCCACGGGGGCCCATAGTCAGCAGCAGCAGGACTGACTCCTTGCAGACGCTGGCGCCATTCCTCCGCAACCCCCCCCCCCCCCTGCCAGGTCCCATGTAACCAGGACAGGGCGTCCTACCTCCAGGGCGGCCCTGATGGTCGAGGGCTTGCTCTCCAGGACGGCCTTGCCCACCGCGTCGCGGACGGCCTTGTACTCCAGCCCGTGCACCAGGAAGCGGTCCATCTGGCCCAGAAGGTCCTCCTGCAACCCCGGGAGCAAGGTTCACCACGGGGTGTGTGTGTGTGTGTGTGTGGGGGGGGGGGGGGGTCAGCAGAGAGCCGTGTGTGTAGATACGAAGCAGGCCATCACTGCAGCTTCAGGGACACAGAGCCGAGGTTCCGGGTTGGCCCCAGGCAGCAATGCAGGGCTGGGTGCACGGAGAGGGGTGATGGGCGAGGAGGCGACGCCCCCTCCCTCCCCCCCCCCCCGGAGAGGGGCACCGGAGAGGGGCTCCAGGTGACAGTAAGAGCGGCCAGGGTCCTAGTGCCACTTCTAACCAGAGACAGCGGGAGGGTGCCCGTTTCTATGCACGGGACCGGACACGTTAAGGCCCCGAGGCCCACATGGCTCTGTGCTCCGACCGAGGGCAGTGAGGCCTTGCCCACAAGCGCAGGAACGTCGCTGCCCAGGAGGCAATGCCACGGGCGCTGCGTCCACACCCTCACCCGTAGGGAGGGGGGAGGGGGAGAGAGACATCGCTGTGCAGAGCCAGCGACTGGCTGCCTGAGCCAGCTTCGCGGGAGGGTGCCGGGCAGCCCCGTGCACAGGTCCCTTTCTCTAATTCGGCTGCTAAAGGTCCCGGCCCGCGGAGGGGGTCCCGGAGCACCGAGACCCTGGCCCGGGCAGAGCAGGCCTCTCCGTGGCCCCACCGGCTCCTCACCTGCTGCGCCAGGACCTCGTGGGGGAACACCCACTGGGCGGGGTGGCCGGCCTGCAGGAAGCTCTGCACGAACTCCAAGCCCTGGCGGCTCGCGAGCCTGCGCACCAGGTACACGCGGTGCCAGTCGTTCCCGCTCTGCGTGCAGAAGTGCTCCACCTGCTGCAGGAACTGCCGCTGCGCCTCGGCCGGCTCTGCGGGCCACGGGGAGCGCGGTCAGCGCCGGGCTGAGGGCCCGCAGCCCCGTCCTCAGCCGGGCAGACCCCAGGGCCTGGGCCCGACCTCCTAGCGCTGGGGTTCTGAGCCGCGGGGCGGGAGGACGGGGGGCGGGAGGACGGGGGGCGGGAGGACGCGGGGCGGGAGGACGGGGGACTTGCCCGAGTCTCCCTGCAGCTCCGAGAGGACCTCGCAGGCCCGGTCCAGGCAGAGGCGGATCTGGGCCATCTCCTGCAGGTACTCCACCGAGGCCTCCGGGGCGAGGTCCCTGCGGCGCCCCCTGAGCAGACACGCCTCCAGGAACTGGCCGTCCTCCCGGAGGCCCGTGGCCTCGTCCCGGGCGGGGAGCGCGCTGCTCCTCTCCTGGATGGAATCCTAGGGGCGGACAGAAAGGGCAGGGCTCTTCCTGTTTCCCTTACTGTGATCGTCACTCGAGGGTATGTTTCCCGCGGATTTCCAGGGTGAGAGGCAGGGAGGAGGGCCACAGGGAGAGAGAGAAACATCCATGTGTGAGACATCCATGGGGGGCCCCCTGTACACGCCCCGGCCAGGGTTGGGGATCGAAGCTGCAACCCAGGTCCATGCCCTTGGCCAGAATCGAACCAGGACCCGTGGGTGCCTGAGCTCTAACCACTGGGCTCGGAACCCTCCTGCTCATTTCACCGGTGTTGGGAGGGCTCTCAGAAGCGGGTCCGGGAACGAGACGGGCCGCACTCACCTCCAGGCAGCTGGTGAAGAGCATGTACAGCTCCGTCTTGTCCTTGTCCAGGTACGGCTTCCGCTCCAGCAGGGACAGGTAGTCCTGGATGTAGTCCTTCACCGCCGGAAAGCTGTGGGAGAGGCCGCCCTGTCCGCTCAGCCCCATCCCAAGAGGGACAGCGGGTGCGTGTGTGTGTGTGTGTGTGTGTGTGTGTCCCGGTCACCTTCCTACTTCTCTCTCCCCGTCTGCCCTCACACACAGTATGGGCAGTCTGGCAGCGTGACTCAGGGGCCGAGCCTCCACCTATGAGCCAGGGGTCACGGTTCCATTCCCGGCCAGGGCACGTGACGGGCTGTGAGCTCGATCCCCAGCGTGGGGAGGGCAGGAGGCAGCCGGGCCATGATTCTCTCATTGTCGATGTTTTCCTCTCTTGCCCTCTCCCTTCCTCTCTGAAATCAACCCATCAATATATAGATGTATACACACATACATACATGTACACACATGTATACATGCACATTCACGTGCACACAAATACATATATTATGAACACACATGTGTAATACATACACACACATATATATGTACATGCATGTGTATGTGTGTATGAAGTAAATGGAACATAAAATTGAGCACTCTGGCACCCTGCAGGCCTCTCTGTCCATTGATAGAGTCACAGGCGTGTAGGAGCTGAAATAGAGTGCAGAGGGACAGCGAGGATTGGGGGGTCCCGGTTACCTCCCTAAACATCACACACCTGTGGCCGGGATCACTCGCAGGCCCTGACTCAGGAGACCCCCTGGGTCCCGTTGCCCGGCCTCCTTCCCCGCCCCCTCCTTTCTTGTCCCCAGCAAGGCCTTGTAACCATGCTGACCCGCGTCTGCCATGTGTCATGCGTAAGAACGGCCAGCACATGCCTGACACAGCCAAGGGCAGGCTCTGTCAGCACAGCAGCCTCCCCAACAGGGAGAAAGCCAAGGTGGGGGGTGGGGAGGAGGAGGAGAAAGATGGGGAGAAAGGGGAAGAGAAGGAGGAGGGGAGGGGAAAGAGGGGAGGAGGAAGAGGAGAATGATGGGGAGGAGGGGAGGAGGAGGAGGGGAGGAAGAGGAGGAGAACGAGGAGGGGAGGGGAAAGAGGGGAGGAGGAGGAGGAGAATGATGGGGAGGAGGGGAGGAGGAGGGGAGAGTGGAGGAAGGGGAGGAGGAGGGGAGGAGGGGAGGGGAAAGAGGGGAGGAGGAGGAGGAGAATAATGGGGAGGAGGGGAGAAAGAGAAGAATGAGGAGGAGGGGAGGAGGAGAGGAGGAGGAGGAGGGGAGAAGGAGGAGGAAAGGAGGGGGAGGTGGGGAAGAGGAGAAGGATGGGGAGGATGGGAGGAGTGGGAGGATGGGGAGGAGGGGAGAGGAAGGGGAGGAGGAAGAAGAGGGGAGGAGGAGGGGAGAGGGAGGAGGGGAGGGGAAGGAGAAGAGGAGGAGGGGAGGAGGAGGAGGAGGAGGAGGAGAAGAGCCGCGCTGCAGGCCGCTGCGCTGACCTGTACTTCAGGAGCAGTTTCAGGACCACCGAGCGGATGACCGGCGTCTTGTCCACGACATCGTCAAATGGGGACAGGGACTTGGTGTGGCCTGAACCAGAGAGGCGGGGGGAGGACTGTGAGGTGCACGCCAGGGCGGGCCGGACATCATCCTTCGGTCTGGCCCTGCCACGGCACTAGGGGCAAGTTCACTGTTCACCAAATGCAGCAGGTTAATGTTTAAGTGGCTAATTTTTAAATGTTTTTATTGGCTTCAGAGGCGGAGAGAGAGAAACACCAATGATGAGAGGGAATCAGGGGCCAGTTGCCTCCTGCCTGCCCCCCACTGGGGATGGAGCCCACAGCCCGGGCCTGTGCCCTGACTGGGATCGGAAGCGTGGCCTGGCTCACAGGCGGGGCTAAGTGGCCCACGAATGATGTTACAAATATACAACGGTCCCTGGCTAGGGCGGCTCAGTGGTTCAGCGCTGGCCTGTGGACTGACGGGTCCCAGGTTCAATTCCCAGTCAGAGCACAGGCCCGGGCTGCGGGCTCCATCCCCTGTAGGGGGCGTGCAGGTGGCAGTTGATCATGATTGTCTCTCATCATTGATGAGAATTTCTCTCTCCCTTCCTTTCTGAAATCAGTAACAAATATTTAAAAATGAACAAAAATAAAAAGAATGTGCAAAGGGCCCTCGGCAGAGCCCGCCCCAACAGGAAGCCGCGTACTCTGGGGCGGGTCTCGGAGCAGCGTCTTCTCCGCGAAGAGCAGGGCCAGCAGCGCCTGGACCACGTCCCTGCTGGGCGGGCAGTTGTCCTTGAAGCACAGGGTGGACACCAGGTCCACGAAGAAGCCGGTGCACAGGCGGCGGAAGCGGGCGTGCTGCTCGATGGCGTCCCTGGGGGATGGGAGACCCCGGTCAGAGGCCGGAGGGCCAGGTTCCCCCCAAACCCCTTGTGTGGGGCACGGCCGGCGTTCTGGGTTCTGAATACAAAGATGCAGCATCTCCTCACCGGACGCGCCGGCTGGGAAGGCGTGCTCCCGCCTCTTCCCGGACCCGCCGGCCACACACCTCACAGCCTCCGCTCGCCCCTCCGGGCAGAGGGCAGGACGCTACGCCCTCCCCGTAACACCACCGTACCCCCTCCCCTCGGACTTCAACAGCCCGCCTGCCTGCCTGCCGGCTCCCCCTCCGGACTCTGCCGGGGACCTGACTTCCTGGGCTACCTCTGACGTCACTGCCCCCCCCTTCAGCGTGTGTGTTGGGGACGGGGGAGACGGTGATTCCGAGACACCAGGCCAGGGAAGAGCCTGCCACTGAGGTACATGCCCTTGACCAGAATCAAACCCGGGACCCTTTGGTCGATGCTCTATCCACTGAGCCACACTGGCCAGGGCCGGGCAAGTGTTTTACCTCGTCTCCTGGGAAACCGTGGGGGAGAAGCCGTCGGGCAGCTCCGTCAGGCACAGGGGGCAGGCCATCTGCCCCGCGGTGAGCCACTGCTTGACGCAGTCCAGGCAGAACACGTGGTCGCAGGGCAGGCAGACGGGGCTGCGCGGGTCGCCCAGGCAGACGGGGCACGGCTGGATCCCAAACCTGGGACCCAGGGCGGTGGTGAGCACTGGTTCGGAGATGCTGGGGTGGGGGGGTATGCTAGGAACCCAGAGGGTCAGACTCCCCTCCCTCGGGGCCGCTGGGAGCTCACCGAGCGAAGGTCCTGCTGGCCCGGTCCTTACACTCACAGAGCACGGTCATCACCGCCGAGAACGGGGGGAGCGTCTTGATGTCCGAGTTCCCCTGCAGACACTGGAGGGCAAGGCAGGGGCCGGGAGGAGGGTCAGCAGCGAGGAGGGCGGGTCAGCCAGGCCAGGCGCTGATGCCCACCCGGCCGGCCAGCGGACACCTGTGCGGGAGGCCGTGTGTGTGTGTGTGTGTGTGTGTGTGTGTGTGCGCGCGCGCGTGTGTGTGTGTCGCTATCCCACATGCTCTTGGTGTCTTGGTGATGGAGAGGGATGCATTCTTTCTGATTCTCACCCCAGGATTTTTCCATTGACTTTTTTCAGACAGAGTGGAGGAGAGGGAGAAGAGGGGAGGGAGAAAGAGATTGTGAGGAGACACATGGATTGGTTGCCTCCCACACATGCCCTGACCAGGGCCAGGGACTGAACCCCCCCAACTGAGGTGCCTGCCCTTGACTGGACCCTTCGGTCCATGAGCCATGCTCCAACCACTGGGAGAAACTGGCCAGAGTGTGTATGCATCTCCCTACCCTCCTACCTTCCTACCTATCATCTATCCATCTATCTGTCCATCTATCTATCTATCATCTATCCATTTATCTATCTATCTACCTACCTACCTATCCATCCATCCACCCACCCATCCACCTACCTACCCACCTATCTATTTACCTATCTATCTTACCAGAGAGGAAGGAAGATAAACATCCATGATGAAAGAGAATCACTAATCCGCTGCCTCCTGCACCCCCCCCCTCCCCCCGACTGGGGATGGAGCCCACAACTTGGGCCTGTGCCCTGACTGGAATCGAACTGTGACCTCCTGGTTCATAGGTGAACACTCAACCACTGAGCCACACTGGCCGGGCTCCTCTTCCTGTTTTTAAGGTCTAACCCCTCCTCCCACAAAAGATTTCAAACTTTAAATGATAACGTAAGGACTGCTGTGTATCGACCGCCCAGCCAGAGGAAACCAGGGCGGGAACATCGCTTTAGAGACACCAGGTCACAGGTCCAGCTGCAGGTCCAGCGGGCCCCCCTCCAGTGTCCCTCCGTGCCACCTCTGCACCTGCCCCCTCGCTGCATGCAGGCCCTCCCCGGGGAGCTGCCCGGCACCATGACGGCTGACCACGTCCCTGTTTCTGCTCTCGGGCTTTTAGAATGGTCCTGACTTTTGGCAAGTGGTGTGTGTGGGGGGGAGGGAGTGTGTGCCTTCTGGGCACGTGGCTTCCAGGCCGGATCTGCTCGGACCGCATTGAGGACAGGGCCCAGGACCCTGCAGTGACCACGCGGAGCCCGGGAGCCTGTGCGGGAGGTCGCTGCCCTTTGCACTTCAGACAACCTTGCGGCGCTGACAGGCGCACAGCGCCCTGCAGACAAGCGGAGGCCACGCCGCGGTCACTCCGCCCGCCGCCCGCTCACCTTGTCCAGAGAGAAGACGCAGTCGGTCACCAGCGCGCGCAGCTCGGGCGAGTGGTCCTCCGTCCCCAGCAGCACGTGCTCCACGAAGAGCGCCACCGAGAAGATGCGCGTCCACAGGCCCCTGAGGAGGCGCTCAGCTGACCCGGAGCCGGGGCGGGCGGAGGGAGCCCGGGCGTGTGGGGGAGGGGGCCGGGGGCGGGCGGAGGGAGCCCGGGCGTGTGGGGGAGGGGGCCGGGGGCGGGCGGAGGCGGGCCAGGGTGGCCCCATGCTGTGGGCCGCCCTCCACCATGTTGATCTCCCCCTGGGCCCCTTGGGGACGTCTGTCGCGTGGCACATGCTGGGCCAGCCTGTGTCTGGTGAGTCCCGCTGCGCCCACGCCCGTAAGCCCAGCCCAGGACTGTGCCCCCCACGCTGTCGTCCTGCGAGGGGTCCTTTCCGGGGGCCCGCGCCACAGCGGTCCTGCCCCCTCCCTGCACGGTGTCCTCTCCCCCCAGGGTCTCCAGCAGGAGTTAGGGGCCCCACAGGCAGGGTCCCTGGTCCTCCTTCCACTGAACCAGCTCACCTGACCTGGCGGATGAGGTCGCCGGCCCTGCCCGCCGGCCCCTGCACGTAGCCCTCGGAGCAGAGCAGCTCCAGGGGCACAGCCAGGCTCTTCACCGCCCGCAGCCAGGCCTGGGGGCTGGGCTTCAGCAGGTCCCGCGTCAGCAGCTCCGTGCAGGCCACGGCGGCCCAGGCGTCCAGGACCTGCGGGCGAGTGGGGACTCAGCCGCTGCTCGGCCCCTTTGCAGCTCTAGGCCCCACACTCCGAGGCCTGGCGGGCACCCCTCCTCGCTGCCCGAACGCAGCAGCTCTCGCTCCGCACAGGTGGACGTTCGGAGCGGCCGCCCCGCCTCCCGCTTAGGCCTCCCATAGCGGCCCTACCATCTCGGGTCCGGCCGGGTCCTGGCTCTGGGCGGCTGCAGCCAGGCTGTGGAGAACTGGGGGGTGGATGGTCAGGATCCTGGAGAAGTTCTGCAGCCGGACCCTGAAGTGCTGGTAGGCCCGGTGCACCCACGGGAGGGAGGGCTCCTCGGGGCTGCCTGCTCTCAGCTGCTGGATGCAGGACCACAGGGCCATCTGTAGGAACTGGGGAGACAGGCCTTCAGGGGGTGTCTGTGCATCACACACAGTTACACACACAGTTGCACACACACAGTTACACACAGGACACTCAGACACAGGACACAGTAACACACACACAGTTACACACATAGTTACACACACACAGTTACACACAGAACACTCAGTTAGACACAGGATACAGTTACACACACACACAGTTACACACACAGTTACACACACACAGTTACACACAGATACGTGGACACACTTTATTTTGTTTCAATATATTTTTTATTGATTTCAGAGAGGAAAGGAGATAAAAACATCAAAGATGAGAGAATCATGGATTGGCTGCCTCCTGCACACCCCCCACTGGAGATCAATTCTGCAACCTGAGCACATGCCCTGACCAGGAATCGAACCCTGACCTCCTGGTTCATGGGTCGACATTCGACCACTGAGCAACACTGGCCAGGCATAACTTTCATTTTTAAAAGTAAGAGGATTTCCTTGATTCCTAATCATGCTGTATTAATTTATCACATCGGTCACGCGTGCTCCTCAAATAGGTCCTTTCCTGCTCGATGCACTGAGGTTTAAAGGAAGCCCACCTTCCCGCGGACGTTTCTGCTGCTGTCATTACCCCGTGGTGGCCGTGAAATGTTACTTAGCTCCCTGAGACACTGAGCACAGAGAAGCAGCAGTTCCAGGGGGCCCAGCGGCAGCACTCACCTCCAGCTCCGGCTCCGTGGACACCCGCATGGTCAGGAGCAGGAAGTCCCGCAGGTAGGACCGCAGCAGCTCCCGCCGCGCCTCCGCAGGCAGCCGGGCGAGGAAGCGGCCCAGCGGGGTCTGCCGGAAGATCTCCTCCAGCTTCCCGGCCGGTCCGGGTCCCGGGCCTGCGAGGGCCCAGAGCGGCGGGTGAGGGCCCGCCACGCGCCCCTCCCTCTGCTGGGGCATGACCCCTGAGGGGGTCCCACCAATCCATGGCAATCCCTTAATTTTAAAAAAAGTATATTTTTACTGGTTTCAGAGAGGAAGGGAGAGGGGGAGAGAGATAGAAACACCACTGATGAGAGAGAATCATGGACCGGCTGCCTCCTGCTCTGGGAATAGAGCCCACAACCCGGGCCCGTGCCCGACTGGGAATCGAAGGCACATGCCCTGACCGGAATCGAACCCGGGACCCTTCAGTCCGCAGACCGAAGCTCTGTCCACTGAGCCACACCAGTTTTGGCTCGATCTGTGTTTCTTTTTCTCTTTCTTTCTTTCTTTCTTTCTTTCTTTCTTTCTTTTTTTTTTTTTTTTTTTTTTTTAATATATCTTATTGATTTTTTTACAGAGAGGAAGGGAGAGAGAGAGCTAGAAACATCAATGAGAGAGAAACATTGACCAGCTGCCTCTTGCACACCCCCTACCGGGGATGTGCCTGCAAGCAAGGTACATGCCCTTGACCGGAATCGAACCCGGGACCTTTCAGTCCGCAGACCGATGCTCTACCACTGAGCCAAACCGATTATTTTAGGCTGGCCGGCGTGGCTGGGTGGTTGAGCGCTGACCTATAAACCAGGAAGCCCTGGTTCGATTCCCTGTCAGGGCACAGGCCGGGGTTGCGGGCTCGATCCCCAGTGGGGGGCGTGCAGGAGGCAGCCGATCCATGATTCTCTCTCCTCATGGATGTTTCTCTCTCTCTCTCTCTCTCTCTCTCTCTCTCTCTCTCTCTCTCTCTCTCTCTCTCTCTCTCTTTCTCTCCCCCGTCACCCTCTGAAATCAATAAAAACATATCTTAAAAAGGAAAAGGAAAGCAAAGATGAGGTCATTAAGAGGGGAATGCCGGTTTTCCTGAGCGCTGACAGCTGACCACTGGGCTCAGGAGGGACACCTCCCCAGCTCCGGCCCTCGCTGGGAAGTCACGTGAGGACGGAGCGGGCTCGCCTGCCGCCCACCAGCCCGCGCACCTGCGGCCGCCGAGATGTACTGCGCCTGCACCCACAGCTCCTCCACGTAGTCGCGGATCCGCCAGCTGAACGGGACGGCGCCGCGGGCCTCCCCGGGGCGCTGCGCGTGGCTCTGCACCAGGATGTGGGCCATGTCGCTGTTGGACCTGCAGTCGGAGAGAGAGGCACTGAGACACCAACAGGAGCCACCCACAGCCGGCCTCTCCGCCCGGGGGCCTGGGCTCCAGACACCCCAAACAGAACAGGGCAGAGGGGGGCCTGCGGGCCTGCTGGGACCGGCTGGGCTCGCTGGGAGAGGGTTAGTCTGGGGACCTGCAGTGTCTGTCCCCTCTGTCTCTCTGGGGTCCCAAATTCCACTGCTCTGCTCTCTTTACTAACCCTGCACCCCAGAATCTAAGCCCCCAAAGTGCCAATGGGAAGCTTAGGGGAGCCTGAGCGGTACAGGGGTGGGCCTGGCCGGGCTGAGCGGCTGCATGTGCAAGGGGCACGGGGCACCGTCCGTGCAGCCGCGCTAGCGACACCTGCCATGTCAGTGGCAAAGGAGGCAGAGGTCTCAGAATCACGGCTCCCGGGGCCTGTCGGCTGCGAGGAGCGACCATCTGTGGCTCTGAAGTCAGCGCCTGTGCGTCCCATGCGGGACAGACATTCGGCCACCAGGCAAGGGCTCTCCCCTCCCCCCGCCCCCCCCCCCCCCCCCCACGGAAAGAAAGCCGCCACTCACCGGGCATCGTTGGTCACCAGAGGGATGCTCAGCAGGTTAATGTCATTGAAAATGAACATCCAAAGCTCTCGGACCCAGGCCGGGGCGTCGGGCGTGGCCAGCAGCTCCAGGTTGCTGTCCCTGTCGATGATGGCCACCATGCTGGCCAGCAGAGGGGTCACCGCGCCCTGGACCCGCTTCCAGAGTGTGTGCCTGCAGCGGGCAGAGGGGCCGTCCAGGTCAGAGGGCCACGGGCGGCACATGGCCACCAGGGCTAGCATCTCCCCGTGGCTCCGTACATGAGACGAGGCTCGCCATGCATGTCGGGTTGTTTGTACAAAACACGGCGGAAAGCTGCCCTCTTCCTGAACATCTCCCGGACGCCGAGACCCTGCTTCCCGGTGCTGTCAACAGTTTGGCTCAAACCCACAAAAATGCTTTTTAGGTTAACATGGGGGCAGGGCCACATGAACACACGTGAGAAATCACGTGAGGATGGAGGAGGGCCACGTGAAGATTGAAGAGATGCGGTCAGGAGCCTCCAGAAGCTGAAGAGGCAGGAAGCACCCTGCCTGGACCCCCTCCCCCGGAGGGAGCACAGCCCCCGACACCCTGATTTCAGACCCTGGCCCAGAGCGGAGTGCCCCTGCTCCTGTTGGGCAGCCAGTCTGCAATCATCAGGAAACGGACCCTCTGTGCACCCCCTTTTGGGGCTTTGAGCGGGTTCTGGGAGAGTCAGGGCTGACGTTAACTAATGGCACAGGAGGGCTGCAATGTTTCCAGAACCGCGTGTTCGTGCCCGTGGGGCTGGGCCAACGACCTCCTCTTTCCCGGCGAGAAGCCGTCTGTACCCCGGGCTGAGCACGTGCCCGGGAGCAGCCAGCCCTGCCGCTCTCGCTGAGGGAAGCCCAGGGCACGGAGCTGTGGTCTAGGAAATGTCTGTGAGCTCAGCGATCATCGGCTTCTTTTTCTTTTGTGAAATTCAAATTAAATGTGAATGGCCACGGCTTTATGAAGTCCCCCAGCCCTGGGCTCCTCGCCCGGCAGCCTGTGCACAGGCAGGTTAGGTGAAAGGCGGTTCTGACCTGCCCGCTGCCTGCCCGCCCTCACCTGCCTGCCTGCCACCCACTGCCGTGTGACCCGCCTGCCTGCCACCCACTGCCGTGTGACCCGCCGGCCTGTGACCCGCCGGGGGCTCGCCAGCCGCCCGCTCGCAGCCCGGGGCCGTGGTCCGTACCTGAAGGTGCCGGCCTCCTGCAGGGCGTCAGGGTTGGAGGCCTCCTGCGCCACCCAGTCCTTCCTGCCGAGCACGCAGCCCTCCTCCTGCCGCAGCAACAGGTGGTGGAGGCGCACCTGGGCCGCCCGCGCGAAGGAGGCTGTGGGGCGGCAGGGGGACGTGGTTGGCCTCACGCTGGCCCCGCAGCCCGGCCAGGACCGGAGGGGGTGGGGGCCTTCCTGGGGTTGCTCGGAGAGGAGCTCACCTTTGCCTGTGTTGCCCGCGTCCTCGCCCAGGAGGCCGAGCAGGATCTCCACGCGCCGCACGTTGCGCTGGCCGCGCTCGCCCGGGTCCCGCAGCAGCCCCACCGCGCTCTGGATGCAGCTGCGCAGGAGGCTGCCGCAGTCCAGCGCCGGCCTCTGGGGACACCACGGAGCCGCCGTCAGCCACAGTCCCCCCCACCCCGTCCCCCTGCCCGGCTCCCTTCTGGACTCGGTGTGCTCAGGACTCGGCCGGGAGACGAGCCCAGTCGGGTCCTGTCCTGGGGTGTCGCCCGCATGCACAGCGGGGAGCGAAGAGCGAGGCAGACCTGCCACGGGGTCTGCTCCTCAGATTCCTGGCGCCCGCAGCTCCCGAGGCCCAGGGAGCGAGCTGCACTCACGTGGCCTCTCTGGGCCTTGGAACCGTCCACCTCCCTGCCCGCCTTGGCCCCGGGTTCATCTGTGTCCACTTCCATCGCCTCCTCCTGGTCGCTCCTGGCCTCGAGTCCCTCCTCAGCTGCTGCGGAGGCAACCCCGTCAGGCCACAGGTGGCCCAGCAAGTCCCCGAGTGGGGCCCAGGCACACAGCTCAGCCTCGGGGTCCCAGGTCCTCCACGGGAGGCCGCTCTTGGGTCCCTCGCGCTGAGGGTGTAGGGACACCAAATGCCACTGGCCATGGCGCTCACCGCTGCGCCTTCTGTACCCACAGACCCCCCATCTCTGGGGAAACCGCCTGCCACGGCCCCCAAGGCCCGCCGTGCGCCCAGGGCATCCCGGCACGTACGCTGGGGGTCAAACAGCTGGCTGATGGTCATGTCCTGCAGCTGTGTCACGTCAGCCACCATGGTCGTGGATCTCCGCAGGTCATCGATGTGCACGGATCGCCACAGCCCTGCGGAGGCAAAGCCACGGGTCTCTGCGCCCTGAGCGGGAGGCAGGGACAGGCCCCGTCCCGCGGCTGACACAGCCTCGAGGGAGCCACTCGTGTCCTGGAGTCTAAACTCCCAGCCAGCCTGGCCGTCGTGGCTCAGTGGCTGAGGGTCGACCCATGAACCTACAGGTCACGGTTTGATTCCCGGTCAGGGCACAGGCCCGGGTTGCGGGCTCTTGTGGGGGCCGTGCAGGAGACAGCTGGTCCATGATTCTCTCTCATCATTGATGTTTCTTCCTCTCTCCCTCTCTCTCCTTCCCTCTCCAAAATCAATAAAAACATACTTTAAAAAGGAAATAAATAAAAATGAAATAAAATTCCCCCCTGACCCAGCTAGCATTTCAGCTCCTCGTCCGGACATCCGTGCCAGCCGGAGACCCCCTCACGGCGGGCACGGCTGGGCCTCTCCGCTGCCTGTGGGTCACTAGGTGAACCGTTCTGTGCCGGTTCTAGAACGCCAGCCTTCTCACCTAGAAAACACTTGGTGAGCCATGAGGGAGGAGGGAGCCAGAGAGGGGGTTTAAGATAGCACCCCCCGCAAAAGCAGGTATAAAGTATCAGCGTGTCCCTCACTGGTGCGTGGGGAACGCTTTCTCTGCACTTCCCCATGTGGACACGGTGAGGCCCTGGCCGGTTGTTCAGTGGTTAGAGCATCTGCCCGAGGACCGCGGGGGCTGATTCCCAGTCAAGGGCACAGGTCCGATCCCCAGCCCCAGGGTCCAGGCCAGTGTGGGAGGCACCAATCGATGTGTCTCTCACTTATGTTTTTCGCTCTCTCCCTCTCTCCCTCCCACTCTCTCTAGAAGTTAACTGGAAAAACATGTGCTTGGGTGAGGATCAACCAAAAACGGAAACATAAAAAATACTAAACGGGAGGAGCCCGGGCACGGACGCTGAGGAGCGCTGTGCGCTGAGTAGCGAGTAGGAGGTGGGTGCTCGGAGCGGGAACCAGCGGCAACAGACCCAGCCGCATCTGAGATGACTACTGCGGAGCCCAATACCAATGTCCCAGCTCAGACGTGCACCCGGGGGCCCCCAAGAAAGAACTCCACGTAACCGCAGTCACAGACACGTCTGCCCTACCTCCATGGAACCCCACGTAGGACGCGCCACTTTCCATCCGGGACAGCTTCGTGATGAAGTAGACAAAGATGCAGGCCTTCTTTCCTTGTATCTTGTTGATTTCATTGATGGCAGAATACCTATTTTTTTTTTAAAACAAATAAGCAAAACCAAAACAAATTTAGAAACAAACAAATGCTACCAATCGATGCAAAGATAAAGCCAGTGCCCAAACTGAAGGTGGGAGTGGCTGGAGGGTGTCCTAGGAGCTGGCAGGTCCAAGCGCAGGGTCTCCCTTCTTCCAGTTTTTTTTTTTTTTAATTGGTTTCAGAGAGGAAGGGATAAGGAAAGAGAAACATCAATGATGAGAGTCACAGATTGGCTGCCTCCTGTACACTCCACACTGGGGATGGAGCCCACCACCTGCGTGTCAGCCCTGACTGGGAAACGAGCCCTGACTTCCAGGTTCATAGGTTGACGCTCACCACTGAGCCACGCTGGCCAGGCAGCCTTCTTTCAGTTTTAAATGAATGTGCGCCCTGGTGGTTATCCCTCTTCTGGGCGTGCGGGCCATCCCCGAGGCCCTCGGCATTGAAGAGGCATTTCTTCTGGATCAGAAACCCTCCCCAGGGCTCCGTGATGGCGTCGCTCCCCTCCCCAAGGGCATGGCCATCGGGACTTTGCATTTCCAGCAGCGAGGTCCCAGGGAAGACAGCCTGGGGCCAGAGAGCCATGACGCGAGGGACAGGGACCAGGGTTCTGAAAGCCTCGCATGTCCCGGACAAACACTATCAGCCAATCAAGAAATACAGATGAAATCACCTACGTCCTGGCCCTGCCCCTGGCCCTGCGATCATCCAAATCGTATCCTTTAAAACCAATCATGACCCAAACAGGCCTGCAGAGCCCGGCCGGCAGACATCCCTTCACATCCTACGAGGGGCTAGCGTTTCCACTCCCTGCGTGTCTCCGTGTTGGTGTTCTTAGCCTGCCTCCCTGCTTCTCTTTCTCCCGTCCCTCTAGCCGCCTGGGGACGATGGGGAGGGAGAGCCGCTTATTCTCATTTCCCCGTGAGCCACCATCCTGTCCTGCCTCCAGGGAAGACACACACACACACACACACACACCGGCGCAGAGAAAGAACCGAGCGCACCTGGCCGAGGCGATGAGCTGGGCACTGTGAACTCCGTCCTCGAAGTCCGTCTGGATGATGAGGACCTTCCGTGTGGCCGTGCTCTCCAGGCAGCTTCTGGAACAGGAGGAAGCACACATCCTAAGCGGGTGAGAAAGCCCCACCCCGTCCCCATGGGAACTGTGAGGCTGCCATTAAACTATTCAGGTGGCTTCTCTTCCAAAGTGAGTGGGACTCAGCGGGGAAAGAATAACCCCCGTCAACGCTGCCTGGTGAGGCCGGGGACCAGGACTTGGAGCAGATGCCCGCCCAGGAGACAACAGCGGCGACAGGGACACACTGGAGGGTTAGCAAGTGTCCTTTTCCGTGTCCCGGGTCCTCACGTTTGTTACCCAACGCTGCTGACAGCTCCGTGGTCACTCCAGCCACACAAACGACAGGATGTGGCCAGGGCTGAGGACAGAGCCTGCAGGAGGGACAGCGGGGACAGGGCCCGGAGGAGGGACAGCGAGGACGAAGCTGAGAGGAGAAACAGAGGGGACGGGGCCTGGAGGAGGGACGGCGGGACCTCACCGAACTTCTTTGAGGAACGAGTGCTCGGTGTCAAACTGCTGCAGCGACAGGATGGTGGGGTTCAGGGCCCTGTCGTTCACTTCCGATCCCAGCATCTCACAGTCGCGACAGGTGAGCAGCCTGGAGAAAGTGGTGACCTGCGGGGTCGGGAAACGCAGACTGTTTGCACGTCTCCGGGGATTAGATCCCGGAAACGTGCGGACGGTCAGCCAGCACCTTCCATGGGCCAGAGTTTTTAAAAACGAGGCCGTGCGGAGGGGAGCAGGACCTGGGACAGAGGCAGTGGAGGGAAGACCCCCTGTCCCGAAGATGGGGTCTCCTTCCCAGGCTCGGCGTCTCCGCCTGCTTTGGGCCCCCCTGGAAAGCCTAAGTGTCCCTTAGGGCTCACACACGTGGAGGTTCCTCCCTGGCGATCTTGCTTCACGTCCAGATGGCGCTCTCTGCCGCCACTGGGTCCCTCGGCGCAGTGCAGCCAGAACACTCCTTATGGGCGTGCTGCCTGGCTACTGCCGACCCCGCCCAGGGCTGGTCTTCCCACTGAGCTCCCGATTCCGACACCCAAAGGCATGACAGTCACATCCTCCAGGGTTGACAGGGGCACCGAGTGGGATTTACCACCCTCCCTCCCCCCCGCCAAACTCACTGCTCATTCCAGGATCCTCCATGTGATGGACTGGACCTCCAGCCATCCAGGAACAGCTCGGGAGTCATCCCCAGACTCCTCCATCTCCCGCGGCCCTGACCCGGGACCAGGCGTTCTCTCTGCCAGCGTATTGCTAACTCCTTTCTGCCCATCCTCACTTACTTGGCAGGTTCCCAGCTGCCTCCTCGCTGCTGTGCCCGTTCTACGCCAGTCCCTCACCATCCCATCCCTCCCTCCACATGCCCTCGCTGGAGCCTCCGGGCCGCTCACCCCGCCTGGAGGCACTCTGGCTCAGCGCGTGAGGCTCCATTCCAGCCCCTCCTGGTCTCCTGCCCGGGCGCTGCCGTTTCTCGACACTGTGATACTTTCCCAACCGCCCTTCCCAGTCCCTGTGGGGCCAGCTCTTAAAGATCCTGCCTGGCCCGGCTGGGTGGCTCAGTGGGTGAGCATTGACCTCGGAACCAGGTGGTCATGGTTCCATTCCCAGTCAGGGCACTTGCCCAGGTTGCCGGCTTGTGGGGCATGTAGGAGGCAGCCGATTCGTGATTCTCTCTCATCATGGATGTTTTTCTCTCTCTCTCTGCCTCTCCCTTCCTCTCTGACATCAATAAACGTATTTTTTAAAAAGTCTCAACCTGTCCTTTTCTGATTCCTAGACCCGGACCGGAATCGACTGGGGAAGAGCCTTTGACTTCAGGGACCAGGCCTCTGAGGCGGAAGGTGGTGAGGGTGGCAGCGCGGGGAGACAATCACCTCCGTGAAGACAGGGTGGTGCTCCGGGCCGGGCCCCCGGAGGTGAGCCTGCAGGAAGTCGGTGAAGGAGTCGTGCTGCTGCCCGGAATAGTATTCTCGCGACAGCGCCTGCGCGGCGCTCTTGCCTAGCGCGGACGCGCTGAGCCGGACGATGGCGTCGGGCGTGGCGCAGTCCAGCAGCACCAGCTTGGCGTCCTCCAGGACCTTCTGGTAACGCTCGTGGCTCAGGGCCTCAGGCCCGAGCCGCTCGATGACCTGGAGCACCACCGAGGCACAGGTGTCGGCGTGGTAGCCGACGAAGACGTCGGAGGGGCTGTACCGGGCGTGGGCCCGCCCCGCGGAGACGTCGGTGAACTTGTCCACCCAGCCCTTGAGCTCCTCCACCAGGCGCCGCTGCCGCGGCTCCAGGACCGTGTTGAGGTCCAGGTAGTGCTTCTCCAGCCGGTTGATGAGGGGGATGGGGAAGTGCTCGCACACCACGTCCTTCTCCTCGATGACGATGAGGCGGAAGTCGGGGTGCACCCGGCACTTGACCCGGTGGGTCCCCAGGCCCAGGTCCACGTACTTCTGGCCCCCGAGGTAGACGTAGTACTGGTTGAGGGCGTCGTAGAGGCTCTCGTAGAGGTTCTGCAGGTTGAGCAGCACCACCATCTTGCCCGTCTCCATGCAGATCTTCACACGGTTGATGTTCCTGCAGACCTGCGCGTACTCCTGGTCCCGGGGGAAGCTGGACCCGAAGATGATCTCGGGCTGCTGGTCCTCGCCGAAGAGCGTCCGCTGCAGGATCTGCAGGGCCACGTAGTTCCTGGTCAGCACCAGCAGGTAGCGGGACTCGGGATCTCCGGGCCCCGCGCCCGGCGCCCTCCGGAGGTCGCTGCGCAGGTTCTGCCGGATCAGCTGCGGGGTGCTGACTTCCGCCGCGGGGAGCTTCGCCTCGGGCAAGTGGACGGCGAAGATGTCCAGAGCCTGGATCTCGTCTTTGCCACTGAAGTTCCGGAGCACGGCCTGCGCGATGTCTCGCGGGGAGAGAGTCCTGTTGGCCTGGGCGGCGGCGAAGACCATTTTGATGAGGCTGTAGTAGTCTCGGAGCCCGAAGAACTCCTTGTCCTGCTTCGCGCACACCGCCTCGTAGGCTCTGGCCAGCGGCAGGAAGTACCTTTGGATCCGCCGCTGCACCAGGGGCTCGGACGCGCAGATCCCCAGGGCGCTCTCGATGAGCTCCTTCTGGCTGGGGCTGCCGCGGGACACGAAAATGCCCCGGTTCATCTTGGCTGGGTCCAGGGCCCAGTTGGAGATGCCGATGAAGCCCACCTTCTTGTGGGGGGCGGGGTCGTCTTCGATGCACCCGTCTTCCAGCAGCGGGTGCAGGGCCTTGAGGGGCATCTGGGGCGAGTCTTCGGCCAGGCCCACCTCGTCCAGCACCACCACGGACACGTACTGCTCCAGGTCCCGGCCCTGCTGCAGGCGGGCGCAGTGCTTGAAGGTGCCCACGATGCCCTGCGGGGTGGAGTGCGGGCTACACTGGAACGACACCAGGTAGACCTGCTTCAGGCGCCGGAAGAGCTCCGAGGGGGCGGCCGGGCCCTGCATGGCGTCCGCCACGATGGTCTTGGCGAGGGACTTGGAGCTGCCGGGCTTGCCCACCAGGAAGAGCGGGATCTTCAGCTCGATGCAGATGACCATCATGAAGACGTTCTCCTTCAGGGCCAGGTTCTTGGCGACCGTTTTCCTCAGAGACACGCCCTCCAGGAAGAGGTCCTGCGTCCGCGTGATGGCGTCCAGCACGGCCTTGCTGCTGTCGAAGGGCGGCGGGAGGAGCCTGCAGATGGCTCTGCGGTAGGCGTCCTGCTTCTCCAGAGAGGCGTGGTAGCACACGCCGACGGCCAGCACCAGCGACCAGAGCACCGGGTCGCTCCTGGGGTCGGAGTCGGGGTCGGGGTTGGAGTCGGGGTCGGAGTCGGGGTCAGGGTCGGAGTCATCGGGCCTGGCGCCGCCGGGCTCGCCGGCCAAGGCGGCCAGCTGGGACAGGAGCATCTCGCTGTGGTCGTAGAACCAGCGGAAGACCCGCACGCAGCGCTCCACGTCCCGCAGGCTGACGAAGCTGCACTCGTTCTCCCGTCTCCGCATGAAGCGCTGGGAGGCGTAGAGCACGTTGGCGATGATGATCTCCTCCGCGGGGCCGATGGGGGTGCCGCCCACCAGCCTCCGCACGATCTGCCGGATGTACTGCCTCTCCGTGGCGTCGTTGAGCTGCCCGAAGTCCCACACCAGGGGCACCAGGCTGGGCGGCAGCGCGTGCACGCGGTACACCAGCTGCCGCAGCGGGGTGGCGCCCAGCCGGTCCGCCGTCTCCTCCGCGCGCACGCGGTAGCCCAGCCCGGCCGCCTCCAGGCGGGCGATCATCTCCGGGGAGTGCTTGCGGTAGGGGTTGCAGGCCGCGATGACGTGCAGGCCCGAGTCCTCGGCCAACGGCTGGCCGCCCACCGTGCGGTCACACAGGACCTCCTTGATGCAGCTGATGGCGCCCGTGGTGTTGGCCTCGTCCAGGAACAGGACGGTGTCCAGCCCGTGCTCGCTCCTGTTGAGCTGGGCGAGGGCCTCTGCCGCCAGCACTTTGTCGTAGATCATGTCGGCGCTCGTCCCGCCGTGGACCTTGACCAGCTGCAGGGTCTCGGCGTCGGCGCCCCCGCGCCGCAGCTCGCTGAGGAAGCGGATGAGCCGCGTCTTCCCGCAGCCGGTCTCCCCCATGACGATGACGGGGATCCCGCAGCGGAAGCGCATCTCCACGGCCAGGATCTTCAGCATGTTGTCCGTCGTGAGCTCGTAGGTGTCGTCGGGGTCCACAGGCCACTGGATGCCCAGCGCCAGGCAGAGCCACTCCAGCTTCTTGTGCCGGGGCAGCGCGTCGAAGTCCACGTTGAAGGGCACGCCCTGCAGCCGCAGCCCCTCGTACAGCTCCCTCGTCAGCACGTCCCTCTTGATCACCCTCTTGCTCTCGGGGTCCACGGCGTCGAAGGTGCCCGTCTGGTTGGGCTCCAGGTGGAAGCCAATGAAGGTCATGGAGACGCGGTCCCCGTTGAAGAACAGGTACGGGTGGGGCTCCGACTCCCACCGCCGGCGGAGAGAGAACGGGGCGATGTCCTCCTCGGTGACCCCGTCCATGGCGACCGCATGCGCCCCGGGGCTCTGGTCCGACATGCGCAGCGTCGGGGTGGCGAAGTCTCTCGCCATGCAGATCATGAAGGTCACCACGAAGTCCTTGAAGCCCTGCAGCGTGTCCCCAACCACCTCGGGGTTGCAGAAGACGGAGGCCTCGCAGTCCCTGAGCTGGTAGTTCAGGAAGCGGGCGAAGTTGCACAGCTCCGCCCAGGACGGGTCGAGCACCCCGCAGTACAAGAGCAGGTGCTGCAGGCACTCCTGGGGGGTGCCCTCCACCCGGTCCTTCTGGTACGTGAACGTGTCCAGGTTCCGGTTCTGGCTCTGATGGAACCGCTTCAGATACTGGAAAGGTCTTTGAAAGGTTTCGCTGCAGAACTCGGTGGGGTCCATGCCCGGCTCCCTTGAGTGCCGCTTGAGGCTCAGCTCCATTTCCATCACTTCTTTGGGGGGCCGGCAGGTGACCTTAGGGAAGACGTCCAGCAGACGAAACTGGGGGGCACGTGTCCTCTGGGAAGGAGAGAGGTGAAGAAAACCGTTACAAGCTGGACTTCCAACAGATGCTTCTGCCGGCTGGGTTGCTCAGTGGTTGAGTGCTGACCAATGAACCAGGAGGTCGGGGTTTGATTCCTGGTCAGAGCACAGGCCCGGGTCACGGGCTCCATCCCCAGTGGGGGGTGTGCAGGAGGCAACCGGTCCATTGTTCTCTCTCCTCATTAATGTTTCTCTCTTTCTACCTCTCTGAAATCCATTAAAAAGTATTTTTATTAAAAAACAAAAAGGGGTGCCGTAACCGGTTTGGCTCAGTGCATAGAGCATCGGCCTGCGGACTGAAAGGTCCCGGGTTCGATTCCGGGCAAAGGCATGTACGTTGGTTGCGGGCACATCCCCAGTGGGGGGTGTGCAAGAGGCAGTTGATCGATGATTCTCTCTCATCGATGTTTCTAACTCTCTATCCCTCTCTCTTCCTCTCTGTGAAAAATCATTAAAATATATTTTTTAAAAATCTAAAAGTGGAAGCTTAAAACATTAAAAAATAATTTAAAATAAACAAACAAACAAATAAACAAACAAAAAGGGGAAAAAAATAAAAAACAAACACATGCTTTGGTGTTTGAAGCTTTCGCGTGCTCTATCGCACAGGCCTGCGTGAAAAGCCATGTTTCTGGAAGCAATGCCTGCAGACGCCCGGCTCCGGTGGCTGCCCCGCACACTCAGGCTCTGTGGGAGCGGCCGTCCCACGAGGAGGTGCTTGCACCCGAGCCCCCGAAACGAGAGCTCCCCCTTATGCATGAGTGCGCAAGCATCGAACTCCCTTTTGCTGAGAAATCGAGGCAATGGCCCTGGCCGCTGTGGCTCAGTGGGTTGAATGTCGTCCTGAAAGGTTGCAGGTTCGATTCCCGGTCAGGGCACATAGCCAGGTTGCAGGTTTGACCACGGTTGGGAATCTGTGGGAGGCAACCGATCCATGTTTCTCTCTCACATAGATGTTTCTCTCTCTCTCTAAAATCAATAAAAATGCCTGGCTGGCATGGCACAGGGGTGCCCTCTTCCTTCATCTCTTCCTCAATATAAATATATTTTAAAAAATAAAAATAAAATAAAGACATATCCTCAGGTGAGGACATAAAAAAAACTTTCATTCCAGGCATTTAAAGCAAAGTCGGACTTTTCTTGTCTCACCCTGCACTCAGCCGCCTGGCTAAGGCAGAGGTGGGGGGTGGTGAGGATGCAGGAAGGAGCCCATCCCCCGACGGGACAGGCCCTGGGTGCGCACCGTCTTGGAAGACCTCGTAGGCAGCGCCGTGTGCCCTTCCAGGATCTCGATGATGTATAAGTGGCTCGGGCTCCGAAGCCACATTTTCCCGCTCGAGTCCATTAAGTACTGCAGCACCAGGAGCTTGAAGAGAAACGCCCAGACCCCATCCTGCACCTGGAGAGAGAACCACACGCGCTGTCAGTATTTACTCACAAGCCCTGGCTGGTGTGGCTCAGTGGGAGAGTGTTGGCCTCCGGACTGAGGGGTCCTAATTTCAATTCCAGTCGGGAGCACAGACCCGGGTTTTGGGCTTGATTCCCAGTGGGAGACGTGCAGAGGCAGCCAATGATTCTCTGTCATCATTGATGTTTCTCTCTCTCTCCCTCTCCCTTCCTCTCTGAAATCAATAAAAATACATTAATATATATATATGTGTGTGTGTATATATATGTATATATATACATACATATACATATATACATATATATATATATTTTTTAAAATTTATTTATTTATTTATTTATTTTACTGAAAGACCAGCCCCTGCCCTGAGAACCTTGTTATTCTGTTATTGGGCATAATGGGACTGAATATCAAGTCATGCTAAAGAAATTCTTTTCTTTTTCTTTTTTTTCTTTCTTTTTTTCTTTTTTTTTTTTTTTTTTTAATATGTGGGGTTTTTATTTTTTATTTCAGAGAGAAAGGGAGAGGGGGAGAGAGAGAATCATCTATGACGAGGGAGAATCAGGATCAGCTGTCCCCTGCACGCCTCCCCCTGGGGGCAGAGCCTGCAGTCCAGGCCCTGACCGGGAATCCAACTGTGACCTGGTTCACAGGTGGACGCTCAGCCCCTGCGCCACGCCGGCCGGGCGATAGAGACACTTTTATGATGGGAAGGAGGCGGGACGGGACAGAGGAGCCACTGTGTCTTTCCCGCCGTGGCCACTGGTGGCGACCCAGGCCCTCACCGAGGAGGTCACGTCCAGGTGGAACATGGCGGGGCTCGTCTGACACTTGGGGTCCAGGAAGGGCAGCAGGGAGCCCAGGACCTGGCTCTCGTCCACCTGCGGGTCCAGCAGGCGGATGACTTTGAGAGGCACCTGCTTCCCGGGAAACTTTTTCTGCAGAGTTCTGTGCAATCGCTTCACGTAGAGAGACTTTCCTGCAATAAAAGTGAGCGCGTGGAAATCGGGGCCTGGGCCTCGGGCCACGGAGGAGGGGAGATTTCGTGCAAGCTCTCTGCGTGCACAACTCCACACGGATGCCACGTGGCCTGGGGCGGAGGGCCCTCGGTTTCCTCGCTGTTTCCTGCTCACGTCCCCGTTTCCCGGGACCAGCGGCGCGAGGTGAGCGTGCCCTGCGTGTGCCGGGGATGCGCAGGACCGGAATGGGGTAAAGTCACTGGGCGGAAACGGGTCGGGACTGAAGGGAGAATAGGCACCTGCTTCCTCTCCAAAGGAGGTCTTACCTCCCCTGCTCACGACCCACATCACCCCGAAGCGGCCAGTGCAGGGTAAAACCAAACAGACAGGAGCCCTGCCGGTGTGGCTCAGTGGATAGGGCGTCAGCCTGAGGACTGAAGGGTCCCAGGTTGCGGCTGGATCCCCAGAAGGGGGCCATGCAGGAGGCAGCCAATCAGTGATTCTCTCTCAACATTGATGTTTCTCTCTCTTTCCCTTCCTCTCTGAAACCAATAAAAACATATTTAAAAAAGAATATAAATCAAAAAACAAGACAAACAGAAGCCCTGCTGGTATAGCGCAGCAGTTGGAGCACAGACCTGCGCACAGAAGGGTCTCAGGTTTGATTCCCAATCAAAGGCTCGTACCTGGGTTGCAGGTTTGATAACCTGGCCAGAGCAAGTGGGAGGCAACCCATCCCTATCCCTCTCACATCGATGTTTCTCTCTCTCTCTCCACCTCTCTCCTTCCCACTCTCTAAAGTCACTGGGAACAAGCGAACAGGAAGAGGCTGCTTGGAGAAGGGAGGTGGCTGGCTGTCAGTGTCCCCTCCACCCCGGGGACAGGGGAGAGCCGTCCCCGCAGCCGCTGTTATTACCGACACCCGCTCTCGCCGAGGCCACGATCCCCACACACATCCGGTCCTTGAAGGCGGCGGCGGCTGACGGGGGCCCCCTGGGGACCTGGTAGTGGCGGGCCAGGTAGTCCTGGGCGGCCGTGAGGGGCGCCTGGGGGGTGGCGGGGACTCTGTGCTGGCTGAAGGCCGAGGGCAGGTAGCAGTGCTCCCGCTCGCAGTCGCAGACCAGGACGAGCTGGAAGTCCTCCCGGTGCGGCCCAGTGCACAGGCCCCGGAGCAGCACCTCCGCCCGGCGGGCCACCTCGTAGCTCAGCTGGTCTGCGAACAGCAGGCTGTACACGCGGCGGCCGGGGGCGCCCGGGCTCAGGCAGCGGCGCAGCAGCAGCGCCACCTCCTCGAACGCGGTCCCCGGCGCGCACAGCAGCACCTCGTCGTAGGTGGGCAGCGGCTGCTCCGGGCTCTGCATGTACAGGGCCAGGGCGGCCGGCAGCACCTCCGAGTGGCCGCAGACGATGAGGTTGGGCTGGCCGGCCTGCAGGCCTTTGGGGAGCCCCCGCATTACGGGGGGCCCGCCCATGGCCGCCAGACGCGCCAGGCCACGGCCCAGGGCCTCCAGGTCCAGGCAGTGGGGCAAGAAGGCACGCGTGCACCCCAGGAACTGCTCCATGATGACCCCCAGCTTGTCCACCAGGCCGGACGCACTGAGGAGCAGGATGGGCAATCTCTCCATCACTGTCCGCAGCTCATGCATGGCAGCCCGGCCATTGCCATCGCCATCGCCATCGCCATCGGGGTCCCTGAAGGCCTCCGCGACGTCCCGCGGGGTGCACTGGCGTTTGATGAAGGACAGCATGGCGAGGGCGGTGGGCCCGGGCGGCTGCCGCGCCAGCTCCGTGCTCAGGTGCACCAGCTGCTCGGCAGTGTAGTAGTTGAGGTAAAAGTGCTCCGCTCGCTTCTGCGCCACAACCGCCTCCCACTCGTCCAAGAAGCGCTCCATCCGCCGGCACAGCGCCTCCAGCAGTGGGACCAGGGGCTCGCCCCCCCGCAGCGACAATGGGGGCAGCCGGAAGTGCATGCGGACGGGCTCGGGGTGGCCGCAGTGCACCTGCACCTTCCAGGCCCGAAACAGAAAGCTCCCGGCAGAGTACAGGTTCAGGAAGGCCTGCACCAGCCTCTGCACATTGCAGAACACCTGTCACCGAGGGAAACGGGAGGCGGGCCTCAGGGGCTGAGCCAGACAGAGGCGGCAGCAGACCCTGAGCCAGAGGGCGGGGGCGCTGCGCCCAGAGCCTGACTTCCTCCCTACAGACCCTCTTCCTCAGGCCACCGGGCAGGAAGTGCAAGTGGCTCCGTGGCTGAGCATCACCTGGGAACCAGGAGGCCATGGTTCCATTCCCCGTCAGGGCACAGGCCGGGGTTGTGGGCTCGATCTCCAGTGTGGGGCCGGCAGGAGGCAGCCGGAGCATGATTCTCTCCCATCATGAATGTTTCTCTCTCTCTTCCTCTCCCTTCCTCTCTGAAATCAATAAAAATGTATTTTTTTAAAACGTGCAAATGAACTTTAAAAGAAAAGCCTTGTAACAAAATGGAGAGGCTGTTCCTATAGGCCTCCTCCCACGGTCCCTTCCAGCACCCGCGCAGGCCGCCCACCTGCGTGTTCACTGGATTCTTGCTGATTGGGGGACTCAGGGAGGCAATTTCAGTTTCTTTCTAAGGATTGTGTCCGGGTCCACGCCTCTCGGGGCAGCAGATTTAGGGACAGTGGTCTCTCAGGATATGAAGAAGGGATCACTAACCACAGGGCCTGTCACAGCCTGGCCGGCGTGGCTCCGAGGTTGAGTATAAACCTATGAACCAGGAGGTCACAGTTCGATGCCCGGGTTGTGGGCTTGATCCCCAGTGCAGGGTTGCAGGAGGCAGCCGATCAGTGATTCTCTCTCATCATTGATGTTTCTCTCTCTCTCTCTCCCTCTCCCTTCCTCTCTGAAATCAATAAAAGTACTAAAAAAGCAAAACAAACAGAAGGACCTGTCACACCTGAGTCGCCCCTCCGGGCCCTGAGTTTGGGTGACACGCACCCTGTAGACCCTTGGATTTCAGGGCAGGGCAATTCCTAGTGATCAAACCCAAACTCAAACCCTTCCGGCCATCCTGGGGACACTCGGCAGGGAGTCCCCCAGCCCCGACTGAGGAGCTGGACCCCACGGCTGGCCGGACGCAGACCCACCTCAGAGAACTCCTCCACGCCAGCGCTGTTGTGGTCTTTCTTGCCCGACATGAGCATCAGCTTGTTCATCAGCTCCTTCAGCTCTTCCAGGGAGTAACTGCGCAGCTCCTGGCGGCCCTGGTGGCTCTCGGGGAGGAGTAGACATAGAACAGTGTCTGCGGAGACCTGCGGGACAGGACAGGTGGAGGGTGGTTTTCCAGGGGGAGAAACCCACCCCCATTGACAGCAGCCTGTCTAGCCCACTCTGGGTGTGGGTGTTCAGGGGAAGTGGGCATGCCCAGTGTGTCTGTGGCCACACTGTGTGTGTGGCCATGATGTGGGCGTGGTCAGATATGGGTGTGTCAGGTGAGCGGGTATGTCCAGGAGTGGGTGCGGCCAGGGTGTGGGCATGGTCATGATGTGGGCGTGTCCAGGAGTGGACATGCCTGGGGAATGGGCACGGCTGTGGTGTGGGTATGCCCGGGAGTGGGCGCTCACCTGCTGGCCCTCGGCGGGCGCCTGGATCACATAGGTGCCTCTGCAGTTGATGGCTCTGGCCAGTGACAGCGACGAGCGCTCCACTGAGCCGTGGCTCTCCTTCACCGTCTTCAGCCAGCCCAGGTTCCGGGCGGAATCCCGCTGTGGGACGGGAGAGAAAGCGGGCTGAGTTCTCTCCCTTCTCAGGTGTGGTCACCCCAGGCGTTGGGGGTGCTTCCTCGTCCGCTTACTCCATTGCCCCCCGCCCCGCGGATGCAGCTGTCCGGCCACGGCCACAGGTGTGCCCAGGAGGCCAGTTACGGAGAGGGCTCTCCTCGGACCCGGAGGAAACGAGCCTTCAATCAGGGGTGGGGAACCTCTTTTCTACCAAGGCCTATTTGGATATTATGACATCATTCGCATAATATAACTCATTTAATGTAAATTTACGTTGTTATGAGAAAACTTCTAGATTTATTGAATTTTGAGTGCCGCCTGAGGTTGCCTAGTAAAATTCCTTGTATTTCCATGTGGTTTGGATCCGACTTTGGGACACAGGTGCCGGAGAAAGCGTTTCCATATGCGTGCACCACCTGCCCCACGTGGGACTCGACACGTGGTGCGGGTGGTGCACGGCCGTGGCCGAACCCCCAGGAACCGAGCCGCGCCCTGGGAACGAGACTCACCAGCTTACTGGGCAGGTGCGGGTCGTTTTCCAGCGCCTTCCACAGCTCCTTCAGGTGTCGCTCAAACTCTCGGAAATCTGCGCTAGCGTCCAGCTTGTAGAGCAGAGAACTGTAGCCCTGGACGGCATCATGGAAGCAGGCCACGCGGTCCACGTCCATGTCATTCTCGCCCGCGAAGATGAACGCCAGATCCACAAACACGTTCAACTCGTTGACCCCTTGGGGCAAGAGGGACAGGTGAGCTGGGGCCATGCGGGGGTGGCACGAGGCTCCCACCGTGGACAGCAGTCCTGCGAGGAGCTTCGCACAGACACCCGGGGGGCCCCGGGGTGGATGCGCTGTCTGCTTCCCGCAGGATCCCGGGCGCCGCTCCACTGGCTCCTAACCGGAATGCCGCAGGCCAGGCCTGACCTGAGTGGCCGCGGGGCCCGGGCGCCGCCGCGGCTGTGTGTGCCTGGCCATCTGGTCCACGCCCCGTCACCATTGTTTTTTTTTTATTCTTTAATTCTCACCTGAGGACATGCCTTTTAAATTTTATTTACAGAGGGAGGAAGGGAGAGTGGGAGGGAGAAACATCAAATCGGTTGCCCCCACCCAAAAAGGGGCTCGAACTCACAACCTCGGGGTGTGCCCTGACCAGGAATGGGACCTGCAGCCTTTTGCTGTGCGGGACGATACTCCAACAAACTGAGCCGCACCAGCCAGGCAGGGCCAAGGTTCTAAAGAGAATGATCCCCCTTGTCCAGCCGAGGTGGCTCGGTTGAGCATTGACCTATGAACCAGGAGGTCACGGTTTGATCCCTGGTCAGGGTCCATGCCCGGGTTGTGGCTTGATCCCCAGTGTGGAGCGTGCAGGAGGCAGCCGATCCATGATTCTCTCCTCATTGGTGCTTCTCTCTCTCCCTCCCTTCCTCTCTGAAATCAATGAACTTGCATAGAAAAAAAGAAAGAAAATGATCCCAGGTGTCAACACAAACACACAACGTGGGGGGACAGTGGCCAAAAACACAGCGCTTACACCAGAGCATGGCAATAGCTGACATAAACTCCCTGCAGCCACACTGGGCACCCCCCTTTCCCCAGTCCGTCAGCTTGGGATGGTCACCCAGCGCCATCGGGCCCAGGCTCTCCCAAATCACAGTCCCGACCGTACCTTCGACAGACTCTCGGACCCAGTGGACAAGCTCCCTGGCCAGGGCCAGCTCCTGCAGACATCGGCACCGGGCCTCGTCCAGGCCCTGCAGCAGCTGGATGGCAGAGACGACCTGCCTGTCGATCTGGCCCAGGGTCTCATCGCGAGAGTTCTCGAAGGCGTCCGTCTGGAAGACACGGCTCTGCTGGGGACTGGATGGAGCCGCTCACCCGGAGCCCCAGTCTGAGCAGGAACAAGGACCACCTCACGGCCCTGGACTCCTAGGTTTGCGGTCGCTTCGATGCAAACGGGCACGGGGGATCTCATCCCAGAGCTGGGCGCTGTGCCCCGGCCCCCAGTCAGGAATAAGCACCCTGCTCGGTGCAGACACTCAGCGTGCGCAGCAGCTTCACCAAGAGCCGCCAACAAGAGCCCCCTCCTGAGTCCTGAGCAGAAAAGCGGCCCAGACCCGGTCCCGCCCCAGCGCCGGCAGCTGGAGCTCATGCCTGTGTGTGTGTGTGTGTGTGTGTGTGTGCGCGCGCGCACACACATGTGTGTATATATGTGTGTGTGTGTGCGCGTATGTGCATGTGTATATATGGGTGTGTGTGTGTGTGTGTGTGCCGGTGTGTGTGAGTGTGTGAGTATGTGTGTGAGTGTGTGCGTGTGTGTGTGTGTGTGTGTGTGTGTGAGAGAGATTCCAAATCCAGTGCCAAATTTCCCTCCTCTTCCCACCTGTCCACACTGCTGTGCGAGTCCCACTCTGTCTCCTAAACACTCGTCTTCAAAGAGCAGAAACCAAAGATCCATTTCCCAGGGGCGCTCAGACACCGTCCCCCCCTTCCAGGGCCCGGCCTCCGCTCTCCGCAGACACCGGGACGAGAGGGCCGCGCGGCCGCCCTGCCCCCTTGACCCCCACGCAGGGGCGGTCACACCACAGGCGGAGGGCCAGGCAGCCCCTGCGCATTCAGCACCGGGCGGAACGCACACAGGCAACTCCCATCCCAGTCTTCAACGCCAGAGCCCGGGGCTGCCGGGCGCCTGAGCTGGGACCCCACCGCACCCAGGGGTCCCTGGCCAGTCACTCACCATTCTCAGCACAAAGTCGAGAAGACTGAAGTCCCCAGTCAGGCCCAAGGTCTCTTTGACCTCCAGGATGACCCTGGCCGCCCTGGCAGACCGATGCAGGTGGTGGTATTCCCTGACCTGCTCCACTCGCTCCGGGACCCAATAACCCGGGTCGCGGGGGTCCAGGGCACACATGACGCGGAGATCGGAGGTGAGGTCCTCGTATTTATCCACAAAGACGCTGAAGGTGTCATGCACCTCCCCGAAGGTGACCTCGCCGGCCTTCAGGTCCTCGTACAGCTTCCTGAACTTGCCGAGGCAGGGAAGGTACAGGGCTGCACATGCACCCTCCAGGTCCAGGAGCGGCTGCGGTCTCTCCCCCTCCCCCTCCTCTGCCTCCTCTTCTTCCTCCTCCTCCTCTTCCTCCTCCTCCTCCTCCTCTTCCTTCTCCTTCTTCTTCTCCTTCCGCGTGCCCCACGCCCAGGCGGCCTCAGCCCAGAAGGTCTGGAAGACGTGGCTGTCCTTGAGCGAGTCTATCCTCGTGGCCATTTCTCGGACGCGGGCGCTCAGGCGGTAGTGCGTCACCCGCTCCATGGCACAGGAGGTGGGGCACAGCTGTACCATCACCGCGTCGTTGAGGCGCTTCCCGCCCAGGTCCTCGGCGTGTCTCTCCGCGATCTCTCTGCAGTCCACTGCGGAGCCAGAAGAGGACGTCACATGGCCCGTCCCGGTGGGACTCCCCCCTCCCCCTCGCTGCTCTTCTTCGGTTTTTAAAATATATCTTTTTATCAATTTCAGAGAGGAAGGGAGAGGGACATGGAAACATCAATGATGAGAGGATCATGGACTGGCTGCCTCCTGCACGCCCCCCCAAGCCCCCCACTCCCCACACTGGGAATGGAGCCCACAACCTGAGCATGTGCCCTTGACCAGAATCGACCCCTGACCTCCTGGTTCACAGGTCAGTGCTCAGCCCTGAGCCGCTGGCCGGGCCCTCACTGCTCTTGAGTTAACTCCAGGGAACACACTCACTGGCATAAGAATCCAGACTCCCCCTCCTGCTCACCAATTTTCACGACAAATAAAACCTGTTGTAAGTTCTGGGTGAAGAGGACGGTTTGAAGAAAGGCACCCGTCGAGTGCCCTCCCCACACCCCACTTCGACACCAGAGCTGCCTCACAGGACAGGGCGCGGGGAGCAGAGAAGCCCCGGGAGCCACGCCCTGCGGGATGTGATAGCGGGTGGGCCTGTGGGAAGCGGGGCCGAGGCCTGGAGCGTGCAGCCCCAGCCGCTGTGGGGGCGCTGGAGGCCCGGCGGATTCCTGCTAGGGGAGCTGGACTGTGGGGGCGCTGCTTCTCACCTCACCCCTTCGCTATGGCCGCCCTCCTCTCCCTCCGGCAGCCCAGTAGCAGCAGGAGGTCATATTCCCACCAGGACACAGAAGGTTGGGGACCCAGAGGTCTCAGGTCCTTGAGGAATCAGGGCATCTCCAGACATGCACGGCACTGAACTTGGGGAGTCAGAAAGAGGAGGGCAGAAGACGGGGGGAGGGGGTCGGGAGGGGGGTAGTAGGAGGTCACGGTCTGATTCTGGGTCAGGGTACATGCCTGGGTTGTGGGCTTAATCCCCAGTGGGAGGTGTGCAGGAGGCAGGTGACCAATGATTTCCTCTCATCATTGTTGTTTATATATCTCTCTCCCTCTCTCTTTCTCTCTGAAATAATATATACACTGGCCACTCAGTGTATATCCTATATAATCCTATATAATAAAAGGCCATAATGCAAATTGTCCCCTTGACCAGGAGTTTGACCAGCAGGCAGACCAGCCAACCATCCATGTCCCCTGGCCAGGCTGGCCAGAGCCCAACCATGCACAAATTCATGCACTAGATTTCTAATATGTATCCTATTTGATAAAAGAGCAATATGCAAATTCACAATCACTCCTCTACATTCACAAGCCAATCAGGAACAAGTATGCAAATTAACCCAACAAAGGTGGCTGCGGCCATGGACACCCTGTTCAGCCCAGGCCTCCACTCAAGGCTACAAAGTTTCAATTATAGAAGACAAATAAATCCCAGATACCTGGGCCTCTGATTGGGTCACTGAGGGGCGTGGCTTGCCTGCAAACTACCATAGGCCCCTTACCCAGGCCACCCCTCGCCCCAGGGGAACCCCCAATCTGATCCAGGACACCTTTCAGGGCAAACCAGCTGGCCCCCACCCATGCAGCAGGCCTCTATCCTATCTAATAAGAGTAATATGCAGATTGACCTTCACCCCAATACACAAGATGGCTGCCCCCATGAGCTAAACACCAAAAAGCACAAGGCGGCAGCCCAGCTTTGCTTAAAGTGACCACCTTGCAGAAGCCGCCCTCGGAGAGCACGCCCAAGGGCACATTCTCATCGGGACCTGCCCGACTCATCACCCGGTGGTCGCAGGTCGGATGCGAGTCACCTTGCACCCAGGGCTTGGCCGCCTCGCACAGCTTCAGCAGGCTGTCCACGCGGCCCCGCTCCTCCTGCAGGAATCGCAGCTCCTCCAACCTGTAGTCCAGCACTTTCCGCATGTCCTGCTGCTTCTCCTGCGGCGAAAGGCTTTTTCTCTCTGGCAAAGAAAATAAAAGTTACCCAATAGAACAAACGAACCGATCCTTCTCCGTGGCAACCGTCTCTTCCCTCTTCCTGGATGCACTGCACGCTCAGGGCCTCGAGCCCAGCCCCTGTCTGGCACTGCGCTCAGCAGCGTGGGCTGGGCCGGTGAGCACCAGGACTTGGTCACGGTTTGATCACTTCCCTGTTCTATTTTCCCGAGGATTAGACACCACGTGACACAAAATGCCACGTCTGATTCCACTCGGAATCCCGCTGCTCTCCACAAGAGTCCTGGGACCACTGACAAGACCCGGGGGGTTCGGACATTCCAGGGAGCCACCTGGCGAGGTTCACTTCCTGCCGTCGGTGGGGACTGGGCAGCCTCGTGGGGCAAGGCCTGACCTACGGAAATGCACGCCCCGGTCCTCAGGATGACGGGCATCCGTCTGGCCAACTACTCTCCACCGGCCGCAGAGGGTTTTTAGAACATTCTCGTCAATGTAGCTCCCGTTTTCTTAGAACGTTGGGATTGTTTTAAAAAATAATAAATTAATCAATCTTTTGTTTTGTTTTTTTCCACAGATAAAAGAAACCATCCTGTCACTCTTGTGGCAAAAAGAGCCCCTCAAAGACCAGCCTCTGGGAACCCCTGAGTACCCCCCCATCGCGGGGCCCGCCCTCACTCAGCTCCCAGATGTCCAGAAACCGCGCCCCGTGGCTCCTGATCAGCTCCAGCTGCCCCACCAGCACTGCGCCGCTCAGCAGGTCCTCGGCCACCTTGGTGAAGACCGAGTGGGCCGTCGCCATCAGCTTCTTGCCGTCCTCCGTGATGTGTGCCAGGATCTTCTCGTCGGTGCCTGCCCAGGTGGAGGACAGAGTCTAAAACCGGTGGGGCCCCTTTCTAGCCGGCTCCCCGCCAAGCGGAGGGCTCCTGGACCCTCCCAACCGCCCGGCCCCAGCGCCCAGGCAGCAGGAGCAGAGGTCACACTCAGGAGGCGTTGGTCTGAAACGCACTCCCACGCACCGAAAGGCCTCCGGTTCCATGCCCGGTCGGGGCACATGCTCGATCCCCAGTGGGGGCATGTAGAAGGCAGCCAATCCATGTGGCCCTCTCATACGGATGTTTCTCTCTCTCTCCCTCTCCCCTCCGTTCTCTCTGAAGTCGATGAAAACATTTTTTTTTTTTAAATGAAGATCTATTGCGCTGGCCGGAGTGGCTCAGTGGCTAGACTAGAACCGTGGTCAGCAAACAGCGGCTCGCAACGCCACTTCTTCAAAATAGACTCGCCCAGGCCAAAAACTGATTCTGCGCCTGGACCACAAAGTTCCAATCGCACTGGATGTGTGCGCCCGCACGTGGTGTTTTGTGGAAGAGCCACACTCAAGGGGCCAAAGAGCCGCATGTGGCTTGCAAGCCGCAATTTACCGACCATTGGCCCAGAGTGTCAACCCCATGGACCACAGTAGCTCAGGTTTGATTTCTGGTCAAGGGCATGTACCTGGATTGCAGGACCCTGGGAGGCAACCAATCGATGTGTCTCTCTCACGTCAACGTTCCTCTCTCTCCTCTCCCCTCCCTCCCTTCTCCTCTCTCTAAAAATCAATGGAAAAATATCCTCGGGTGAAGATTCTCAAAAAGAAAACAAAGAAAGAAAAAGGGGTCCTTCAGGGGGACTTTGCTTCCAGGCCAGCTGGGAGGGCACAGCAGCTGGACACAGCCGTGTGCCAGGGATGGCCATGGGCGGCCTCACCCACAGACAGGGCCCTGCCCTTGCTGGGCCCTCCAGCCAATCGGCTTCCTCGCCGGACATCCGCCCGCCCTCCCCGCGTCAGGTCCAACGCCCACCCCGCGCAGGTCCGAGGGACGCGAGTGGACACCCGCGGACGCACCGTAGAGCTTGAAGAGGTGCGTGACGTCCGGGCCCGTGAGCAGGTACCGCAGCACCTCCGCCAGGTCGTCCACGGCCTTGCCGCGGCGCCGGGGCCAGGACTTGGTGACCACGGCGGACACGAGGGTCCCGAAGCGGTACAGGTCGCTGGGGGAGAGGCCCTCCAGGATGCTGACCTGTGCCTAAGGGGAAGGGGAGGGGACGGGAGTTCAGGAAGGCGCGCGTGTCTTTAGTTGGTTTGTTTGTGAATGACAGTTGTTACCCAGTCGCGCTTCAGAAATGGGTTGTGACTGTCTTACAGGCGCCAAAGAAAAGCTAAAGAGAAAAATGCTTCCCTTTCCTTAGGGACTTGGCTTCGCTGTGAACTGTGTCCTTGAGCGGTGACCCCTGGAGACAGGGAGATGGGGGCCCGCAGGCAGGCCCACCGCCGCTCCACCTGCACTGACCTGTCCTGTCCTGTCGTGAGAAGCACCGCATGGAGCCACAGTAGACAGGGCACCTGCGCTTTGCATCCCCGACCCCCCATCTTCCCTCTGCCACACACACACACCCCCCCCCCCCCCCGCCGAACACATGCCTGAAGCTTCCCCATCAAGACAAAATGCTTTCCTTCTTTAGCTGCAAAGTTTTTATCAAAAGTTTCAATGGTTAGTAAAGGGGGAAGGAGGAGTTTATAACAGGTACTTTCTGATATTTAAAAGGATAAAAGGAAAAAAGTAAATAAAAGGATAAAAGGGCCCTGGCCTGTGTTGCTCAATGGTTAGAGTGTTGGCCTGCACACCAGAGGGTCTCGGGTTCGACTCCCAGTCAAGGGCCCATACCTGGGTTGCAGGTTCCCTTCCTGGCCACAGTCAAGGTGTGCGCAGGAGGCAACCAATCGATGTGTCTCTCTCTCATCGATGTGTCTCTATCTTCTCTCTCTCTCTCCCTCTACTTTCCCTCCCGCCTCCCTCCCTCTCTTCCATTCTCTCTAAAATCAACCGGAAACGGCTGAAACCGGTTTGGCTCAGTGGTAGAGTGTCGGTCTGCGGGCTGAAAGGTCCCAGGTTCGATTCCGGTCAGGGGCATGTACATTGGTTGCAGGCACATTTCCGGTAGGGGATGTGCAAGAGGCAGCTGGTCGATGTTTCTCATCGATGTTTCTAGCTCTCTATCTCTCTCCCTTCCTCTCTGTAAAAAATCAATAAAACATATATTTAAAAAATAAATAAAATAAAATCAACCGGAAATGATCCTCAGGTGCAGATTAAATAAACAAACAAGAGGATGAAAGAAAGCCTTCTCCACTGACTTGTAAAAAGAATTAAACACCAAGTGGGATTTATCCCAGGGAGGAGATGTGTGTTGAACATAAAGAACAGGTAACGTAACACTTTGTCTCAATAGAAAGAAGTCACACGGTGGTCGCAATAGGCTAAGGAAGGCACTGGGCCCAACCCAAGTCCTTTCCTGAAGGGTCCCCTGGGGGCGGAGGCACTCCCTCCGGGAAGGGGCCTATGGTCTCCGGCCCAGCTGACCCCCACCCCCTGGATGGGGAGAGAAACAAGACAAGGGCCCTCCACTCCGCTCAACGCGGCCTGGAAGGGCGTGACGGGCGCCAGCCTGGAAGGAAGAAAGGCCATTCACATGTGACATGAGCTTCTGAGAGAGAACCCCAAAGAGCACACACAAGCACACACACACATGCCTGCACACACACATGCCTGCACACACATGCCTACATCTACACACACACACACCCGAATGCCTACATGTGTAGGCATGTCTACAAACATATCTACACATGCCTACATGTGTGCACGTGTCCATACACATAATCACACCCATGTGCCTATGTGTGTGTCTAAATATATCTGCACGAGCCTATACATGTGTGCCTACATGTGTGTGCGTGGCTACACAAGTGCGTATGCCTGCACGCACACACAGCTACATCTCCCACGCGTACAAAGAAGGAGGGTTCCCCGAGAGGCGGTGTGGGGCAGACGACATCCCAGTTTTGCAGAAAAAGCCCCTGAGAGATGGGTAGGGTCCCTTTTCTTAGTAATGTGCTGTCAATCTTGGGCGACTCTCACTGCGCAGGTGCGGTGTCGGGGACGGCACACACCAGGAGCGTTGGGGACACCGCCGGACGGGAGGCCACACGTCACAGCGGCGCGCTGCGGGCATCTGAGTGGCATCTCCAGGAGCTGGCCCAGGTCCCGGATTCCAGAACCGGCTCTGCCCCGGCTCAGAGGCAGCGGGCCGTGCCAGCCCTTCCCGCCGATGCCCCCGCCGACCTCGGAGGCGGCGGGACCCCGAATGCACCTGGTGGCGCTGCTCACCTGGCAGGCCGAGCTGACGGCCTCGATGGCGCAGTTCTCGAAGCACCTGGACACGCTGTCGTCAGCGCCCGCGGCCGCCCAGGCCGTGCTGCAGTAGGCGGCGATCTGCTCGCGCGGCGGCTCCTGCGGGGCACAGGGTTGGGGCTGGGGGCGCGCTCCGAGCCCGGGACACCCATGCCCAGAGGTTCTCACTTTCCTGCTCCCCTCCCCGTTCCCCCCTGACGGGACCTTCCTCCCCCCACGCTCAGTCGTCCTCACTGCCCCAGCGCCAGGCCAACAGCAAGACCCCATGCAGGCGCCACGCCGCTCAGCAGAGGAGGCGCCAGGGCTGCCATTTGCAGCAATGGGTGAGTTTTGCCTGGCTGGTGGGGCTCAGGGGCTGAGGTCAGGGGTCGATCCCCGGTCAGGGCACACGCACAGGTAGTGGGCTGGATCCCCAGTGAGGGGCGTGCGGGAGGGAACCAGTCGATGTGTCTCTCACATCCTCTCTCTCTCTCTCTCTCTCCCCCCCCGCCCTTTCACTCTTTCTGAAAATCAAGGGAAACATCCCGGGTGAGGAGCAACAGCAGCAGAAAACCAGCCTGGAACTTCCGAGGGCCGTGGAGCTGAACTACCCCATGAGCGGGTCCGGGCCCCCCACCCCCGCCCCGTCTCCGGGTTTAAAGGCGCCTGTCACCACCGGCCTCTCGGGGCCTGCATGTGCCTGGGGCTCCCCTGGTGACAACCCCTGCCCCCCGTCATTCTCTGGAATTCCATCTGGGAACACGACGTGGCGGGCACGGGTGTCGGGTCCCCTGACCTGCCTTCGCCCCAAGAAGCATGGCGCCCACCGGTACCTGCTGGATCCGCCCCGCCAGGTCCCCCAGCAAGGACGCCTTCCAGCCGTGCTCCTCGGGGAAGGGGAGCTCCACCAGCCGCCGCCACACCTGCAAGGCACAGGCCAGGGGCAGGGAGCGCCGCGGCCCGTCCCCCATCGCTGTGGGGACGCGGGCGCTGCCCTGCGGGAGAGGGGGCACCTGCAGGCAGAGGGGCCGCTGTCCCTGGGCCCAGGCAGGGCAGCCACCTCTGCCTGGAACACGAAGGCCTGGAGCCACACGGCCTTCGCGTGCACCTGGCTCTGACTGGGGACGAACCCCCCTCCATGTTTTGTTCTGAAAAATGTTGGGTTCCCGCCCGCCGCGGGGCTCAGGGCCGAGCGGCAACCTGTGAGCCAGGTCAGGTTCGATTCCCGGTCAGGGCACAAGTGAACGGGTTGCGGGCTCGGACGCATTGTGGGGTGTGCAGGAGGCAGCCGATCCACAATCCTCTCTCATCATGGATGTTACTCTCTCCCTCTCCCTTCTTCTGGGAAATCAATAAAAATATGTTTAAAAAAAATAAATAAAATAAAAAATAAAAAATAAAAACCCAGCCGGGACCGGTTTGGCTCAATGGATAGAGTGTCGGCTTGGGGACTGAAGGGTCCCGGGTTCGATTCCGGTCAGGGGCATGTACCTTGGTTGCGGGCATATCCCCAGTGGGGGGTGTGCAAGAGGCAGCTGATCGATGACTCTCTCTCATCGATGTTTCTAGCTCTCTATCTCTCTCCCTTTCTCTCTGTACAGAATCAATAAAATATATTATAAAAAAATAAAAAATAAAAATAAATAAATAAATAAAAACCCAAAGGGGAGCGGCAAAGCTTCCCCTGCAGGTGCCCTGCCCAGCCTGGCGGAGGCCCTGCCCGCAAGCCCAAGGTGGTACCGTGAGCCTGAAGCCCAACCCATGGCCACCCTCCCCATGGCCGCCCTGCCCCGCCCTCCCTGTGGCCCATGGGTCCGCCCACCCCCGCCCCATCCTTTGCCACAGCCGTGATTCTATTCCACGTCTGTCACCCTGGAAACCCCAGGGCCCACCTTGGGGCTCAGGTCTCTCTCACTTCAGATGCCATTCTGCCCAGCCTCCCTTCAAGCAGCACCTGCTTACACTCTTTCCTTCCCTGTCCAACGTCATAAACTTCATTCATAACCTCAGCACGGAGTCAGGCCCAGAGTCCAGCCCCGCCCCAGAGCGCCTCCCCACAAGTCTGCCCCCGGGGGCTCCGGCTGGCAGCCTGACCAGCTCAGATCCCGCTGGGGGGAGGGGCCTAAGGCCTGGGCCCAAGACAGATCCCCACTGAGGTCCCCCAGGATGGCCACCGCTGAGGCCCGGTGCTGGGGTCGCCGGCTCACCTGGATCTCCTGGCTGTAGGTGAACGTGACGGATGCGGCATAGAAGCTCCTAAACATGCTCTGCTTGAAGGTCCTCACGAGCCACGCCCTCGTGGTGGTCAGGGCTTCCTGGACCACGGCCTCCACGGAGGCCCTGGTCCCCGTGTCGCTGCCCTGTGCCTCCGTGGTGTCCTGTGAGCAAAGAGAGAGACTCGTCCTGGTCCGGCCTCTGCTGCTGCTAACATTCAAGTGGAGGGGTGTCTGGCCGGCCTGGCTCAGGGGCTGAGCGCCAACCATGAACCAGGAGGTCAGGGTTTGGTTCCCGGTCAGGGCACAGGCCCGGGTTGCGGGCTCCATCCCAGGGGGGCGTGCACCAGGCAGCAGGTCCATGATCCTCTCATTGTTGATGTTTCTCTCTCCCCCCCCTTCCTCTCTGTCAATAAAACTTATATTTTTCTATAGCATGGGGATAAGCTCAGTGGAAAAGACGGCCGTGGACAGGCATTGGGGGTGTCACCTGCCGCCCGGCCCCCTGCTCTGCTCTGTAACTGCCCATCGACAATCTGCACGGCGACTCCCTCCCACCACAGGAGCCGGGCAGGTGCATGGCTCACTGGCATCCTCACGCAGAGCCGCGGGGAGCCGCGCGGAGCGGGTGACCAGGGGCCACTGGGCCACCCCAAGCCCCGGCGTCAGCCCAGCCCCTGTGAGCGGGGGCGCTGGACGCTCCGCGGCCGCCCGGGCGTGCCCACTCACCGCCACCGGTTTCAGCCTGATGACGCGGCAGACGATCTCGGCCGACGAGGCGGGCAGCTCATGAGTCTTCCAGTCATGGTTGAGTCCGCAGACGGCCTCGTGCAGCTTCAGGCACACGGTGAGGTAGGAGGGCACCGAGGGCGCCTCGAGGACCCTGCGAAGCAGAGTGACGGGAAATCACGGGTCCCGGGAAAGAGTGCCCGCCGCCAAGGCACGCTGCTCCGGGTGAACACCCCAGGGGAGGCACCTCCTGGGCACAGCGTAACCGCAGGGCTATGCCGCCCACCGCCAACTTGTGACCAAGACAGAAAGCAAACAGCCCGGCCGGCCTGGCTCAGTGGCTGAGTGTCGACCCAAGAACCAGGAGGTCTGGGTGTGATTCCCAGTCAGGGCTGGGCCCGGGGTGCGGGTTCAGTCCCCAGTGTGGGGCCTGCAGGAAGTTTCTATCTCTGCCCCCTCTCCCTTCCTCTTTGAAATTAAGAAAAACATATTTAAAAACAACAAAAAACCAGGATGATCACATCAATAACTCCAAGAAGGGGGATGTGTGTCGGGGGGCCCTGGGATGGCGGCGGCGGCTCTGGGACACCCGGGGGCACCATGCGGCGATAGGCGGCCTGGGCTTCGCCACTTACTGGTCCTGAAACATGTCCAGCAGGTGCAGCAGCATTTTCAGCGTCGTGTCCACGTCCTGGGGGAAGACACAGCAGCGATGACTCGGCACCGCAGTCTCCGCTGAAACCGACGCCCACACGAGAGCAAAACCGAGCATGCACCCTGTCCTCTGGGTGTGTTTTAAGGTGCTCAGTGCTCAACTTGACCTCCCACGAATAAAAGGCGGGGCTTAGTGTTCTACAGTTCTTCCCACCCCCGGAAAGGGAGAGGAAGATGGCAGCTGTGTCCCATGCGCCCCCCGCCTGGCACGGGCATAACCAGGGACGGCGGGTTTACTGAAGCGGAAGAAACAGGCAGCCTCCCAGGGCTCGTTTCTTCCTTTAAAAGATGATTTGTCACTGACTTTTACAGAGCAGAGGGCGCGGGAGGGAGAGACATCCATCAGCTGCCTCCTGCACGCCCCCCTGGGGATTGAGCCTGCAACCCAGGCCTGTGCCCTGACCCGGAGCCGAACCATGACCTTCTAGTTCATGGGTCCAAGTTCAACCCTGGACCTATGCCCCCGGGCGCAGTGCTCGGTTTGTAAGAAGCCCGTCAGGGTCCCGGGAAGAGGACGCAGGGGACAGACCTCCAGGTTTCCGTGGGAGACGTTCTTGAGCCCCTGCAGCCGGTAGCGGGTGCCCACCAGGCAGTCCAGGACGCGCGCCGGAAAGCACACCAGGTAGTCGGTGAACTCCTGCAGGTAGGTGGCCAGGCTGCTCAGCGGCAGCAGGCTGAACCAGGAGCGGAACAGGGCCTCGTCCACTTCCAGCAGGTGCTTCTTGCCCACCATGAACTGGAGTAAGTGCGTCCTGCGGAGGGAGAGCAGGGGCGGGAGAGGGCGCTGAGTGCCACGCAGACCTGGAGGAAGCCCGTGTTTTAAAAGCAGCCGGCCGGCGAGGCTCAGGGGTTGAGCGTTGACCTAGGAACTGGGAGGTCAGGGCACAGGCCTGGGGTGCGGGTTCGATCCCCAGTGAGGGGCGTGCAGGAGGCAGCCGATCCAGGATTCTCTCTCATCCTTGATGTTTCTCTCTCTCTCCCTCTCCCTTCCTCTCTGAAACCAACAAACACACATTAAATAAAAATAATGTTGGTGCTCAAAGGTGGGCTGAACAGAAGGGATGCACCTTGAAAACTCGGTGCGGCCAAAGCTGGTTTGGCTCAGTGGTAGAGCGTCGGTCTGCGGACTGAAAGGTCCCAGGTTCGATTCCGGTCAAGGGCATGTACATTGGTTGTGGGCACATCCCCAGTAGGGGGTGTGTGCAAGAGGCAGCTGGCCAATGTTTCTCTCTCATCAACGTTTCTAGCTCTCTATCTCTCTCCCTGCCTCTCTGTTAAAAATCAATAAAATATATTAAAAGAAAAGAAAAGAAAGAAAGAAAGAAAGAAAGAAAGAAAGAAAGAAAGAAAGAAAAAGAAAAAAAGAAAGAAAACTCGGTGCGGAATGCAAGGGACCCCCATGTGGTTCCTGGACAGGACGACCTGGCTGGTCCCGCCCACGGGGACAGGACGCAGAAGGAGGCGTGGGGTGGGGGGGCAGTGAGCGCCTCACAGGGACGGCGTTTCCATTGGGCGAGGAGCTCGGGTGTCCTGTGAATGTGCTTAATCCGCGGAGCTGAGCACGGAAAGCGGGGAGCCTGGTAAGTTCTGGGTTCTGCCTTTTTACAATAAAAACAGAGAACTCAGCGTTGCTTCCAGCTCCATTGAAGCGGTTGATAGGTAGCATGTGCCACTGGGGGGGTGGGAGCGGGTGGGTGTGATACCCTTGTGCGCTGCATCGTGTACGAGCCTGTCCTCATTCCCTCTCGGTGGCGAGCACGTCTGAGATCCGCTCCCTGATGTAACGCAGCCCCACTGTCGCGTCCCCCTGTGCAGCTCCCGGGACGCCTTCCAGCTGGAGGTCTGTACCTCTGACCAACACCCGCCCCTCCCCCACCCAGCCCCCGTAACCAAATTCTCTCCGTTTCTCCAGTCGGGCGTTTTAGATTCCACAGATGGGTGAGATCACACAGCCTTTGTCCCTCTCGGTCTGACTCTTCAACCCGGCGTCACGCCCTCGGTCTCCTCCGGCTGCAGCCGTTGGCAGGCGGCCTCTCTCGGGACTGAATGACGTTCCGTTTCCCACCGACACCTGGTCCTCCTGACCGCCCGGCCCTGCACAGCCAGGGGCCTGCACCCCACGGCGACGCACACTCCCGTTTCAACGGGGCCTAATCGCAGCCAGGAGCCCACTCCCTCCGGTCACTATTCACTCCCCATAAGCCAGGGCCGGAGCCCCTCAGATGGGGGTGCAGTTTCTCGGACAAAAGGCAGCGCCATCGGCGCTTTGGTCTGCCTTTGCGTTTTCTTTGACTTCAACTCAATGTCTGCGCTTAAACGGGCTCCGCCATCTCCCCTGCAGACCGCTTCCCCGCTCCTCTGAGCAGCTGCTCGGCACCCCGGAGGCTGCGTCCCAGAAGCGGGGCCGCGTGCCAGGGAGGTGCGCCGAGACCGCGCGGGGAGGGGCGCCCACAACTTACTCGTGCTCCCTTTTCCGCCGAAACTCCGAGAAGGCGATTCCTTCCAGGGCCGCCCAGACGTCCTCGGTCTGAGTCCCGGGCTGCCGTGCGGGGGCCCCGGCGCAGAGGTGGAGCACCGGCAGGGTGCCCACCCAGGAGCTCACGGCCAGCTCCATGCTCCTGCGGCACAGGTCCAGCAGGGAGTCTCGCCACCTGCCAACAACAGAGGCCCTGCTGCCTGACGCCCCGGGAAAGGCCAGCGTGCGCCCCGGGCGGGCAGGCCACTGGGAGTGGCTGAGCGGAGTGTCTAGGCACGGGTCCCACGGGAGAGAGGGCACCCTCAGTGTCACCCCTAATGCCTTGGGCACCCAGCAAACTCCCGATGGTGCCAGTTCCACCTCCCTGACGGCGGAGGCTCTGGCAGCTGAGTGATCCCACCTGGGCCCGGGCGTCTGGCGCCAGTCTAAATATAAAGCAAGTTTTTAAACGGGAAGGGGCTCAGCCAGTGTTGCTCAGTGGTTGAGCATCCACTTCTGAACCAGGAAGTCACAGTTCGTTTCCTGGTCAGGGCACAGGTTGGGTTGTGGGCTCCATCCCCAGTGGGGGGGTGTGCAGGAGGCAGCCGATCCATGATTCTCTCTCATTGGTGTTTCTATCTCTCCCCCTCTCCCTTCCTCCCTGAAATCAATACAAACATTAAGTGGTTATAAAATTATAATTCACACACACACTCACACACATTCACTCACACACACACACACACGCTCACACACACACACACTCATTAGTGCACACGCACACACACTCGCACACTCACACACACACACTCATTCGCGCGCACACACACACACTCGCACACACACACACTCACACACTCACACACATACTCACACACATTCACTCACACACACATACACTCACACACGTTCATACACACGCTCACACACACACTCACTCACACACTCACACACATTCACTCACACACACACACACACTCACACACGTTCATACTCACACAGGCTCACACACACACTCACACACACACTCACACTCACACTCACACAGACACACACTCACATAGACACACACTCACACAGACACTCATTCCCACGCTCACACACACACTCGCACACTCACCCACACATTCACACACACTCGCACACTCACACACACACTACCTCGGAGACGTTTCAAAGATGAGGCTGAGGTCGTCCAGGAGGTCGCGGGGGGAGCTGGCACTGGCGCTGGCGCACAGGAGGCTGCACAGGGCGCCCAGGTGGTCCTTTGAGAGGTGGCACTTCAGCTCCTCGGCCACGTGCAGGACGACCAGGCCCATCCTCAGCTTCCTCCTCACGGGCAGGTCCTCAGGCAGAGCGTCCTCGCTCCTCTCCAGGAACGGCTTTATGTGCTTTTGCAAACACTCCCACAGGTGCGCCCGCACCTGCCGCAGGGGAAACGGACAGGGCCGTGGGGCGAGGCCATCCGGGCTGCCCCACCTCACCCGCAGAGCCCACGGCCCGAGGGGCAGGGACAGCTCCGTGATCCGAGCAGGCCCCCTCGGGGCACAACTGCTCTGGATTTCCGGGAGCCGCCACCGATAATGGGATCGGAGACCCCGCACGGGGGAGGGGCTTTCCGGTAGGCCTGGTGCTTACAGTGGTTCAGTGTCATCTCAGGTGTGGCCCAGGTGTAACTCAGAACTGCCCAGGCCCCACCACAGAGCTGGGGGAGAGGCAGGAGGGAGGGCCCCACCCCTGTCTACTCCAAGGGTGGGGCCAGTGGTGGGGGTGGCACCAGTGTTAGGGATGGGGCCAGTGGTGAGGATGGGGGCAGGTGGGTGGGGCCAGCGGTGGGGGTGGGGGCATGTGGGTGGGGCCAGTGGTGAGGATGGAGGCAGGTGGGTGGAGCCAGTGCAGAGTGGGGCCAGTGTGAGGATGGGGGCAGATGGGTGGGGCCAATGGTGGGGGTGGGGCCAATGGTGAGGATGGGGGCAGGTGGGTGGGGCCAATGGTGGGGGTGGGGCCAGGAGGAAGACAATGGGAAGAGCAAAGGATTCCCAAGAGGAGGCATTCCCAGAAAAGGGGCTGAAGGACCCTGGCTTCCCGCCCACCCGCACCTGCCCTCTGCGTCCCAGGGTCCCCTGGCCACGAGGCGGTGGGTGCCGCTGCTGCAGAGGATGGAGGAGGGGTGCCCATACCTGCTCCTGTGAATAGTTCAAGGCAGTCCAGGCCTTCTCCTGCTCCTCGAAGATCGTGGGCTCGCTGAGCACGGAGTGGAGCTGGCGGAACTGCGTGAAGAAGCTGCGCAGGTTGACGGCGCTCCAGGTCTGCAGGACGCTGAGCACGTGGTCCAGCATGATGGAGGCCGCCAGCTGCTTCCCTTGTACGTTCTTCTTCATCTGGTCCCTGAAGTGGTCCATGAGGTAATCCCGGATCTCCCGGAGCTTCCCGGTGGGCCGCTTGCAAATGATGTCATCATACTGATGCCAGTCTAGGGGAGGGCAGGCCCGGAGTGAGCTCAGCGGGGAGGGAGGGCGGTAGAGGGCTGGCAGGTGGGCAGGGCGTCGCTCCCGGCAGGTGCCCCTCGCAGGCAAGCAGCCGGGGCTGGCCCATGAGGAGCCAGCTGGGTGGGGGACAGGCCACACAGGGGAGGCGAGACGGAGGCCACGCCGTCCAGGCCTGGCCGCATAGGGCGTGCCCTGGCAAGCTTGGTGGCTCACAGACCTGGCAGCCGAGCCCCTAGGGAAACGCCCGCTCGGGGGTAACCCTTTTATCCTGGAACTGCGTCACTCACCAGCCTACGGGCACCCAGCTGCCCCCACCCACCCTACGAAGGACGGTCCAGGCGACAAAGCAGACAGAGCCCTCGGCCCCGGGCTGACCGCCACACCCACTCACGCACTGGACGGCATGTGGCGAGTATAAACACAGCAAAGAGGAACACGGGAGAAAGGTAAAGATAGACAGGAGAATGGTCCGCCGGCGTGGTGTGGGGTGGAGCATCGCCCTACGAACCAGGAGCTCTCGGTTCCACTCCCGGTCAGGGCACTTAGTCCCCGTGGGGGGCGGGCAGGAGGCAGCCGGGCAATGGTTCTCTCTCATCGTTGATGTTTCTCTCTTGCCCTCTCTGAAATCAATAAAAATGTATTTTAAAAAGAAAGAAGAAGACAAAACGGAGACTAAGAAATGAAGAGCAAGCAGAGTGGCCCGACCACACAGGGGGGCAGTGGGCGGGGCTCCCCACGCTCCTCCCCCTGCTCACTCGCAGCGCCTGGACATCTCCAGGAAGGGCCCGCCCCCGCCCGCCCCCGCCTGCCCCTCCTGCCCCACTCCTGTGCCTCTGTGCCCAGCCCCTCTCCTCCCTTCACGACAAATCCCTCCCTGGTTTCCTCTCCTCGGTGAGCGCTCAGGCTGCACAGATGGAAACTGGCTCCCACCCCAGGTTGGTTCGCCCTGCAGGGCGCGGTGGGGCCCGCCAAGCAGAGAGGACCCGCCAGGCCGGAGCCCCTGCCCGCGGAGGCCTGCCGCCTGCGGCCGCCCGGGACCCACCTCCGGAGCCCAGCAGCGCCGAGCGCAGGTGCAGGGAGCGGTTGACGTGCTTGCCCTCCCTGTCCTGCCGCTTGTAGATGAACTCGTACAAGGTGGACTCGGTGCCCTTCACCACCACGTACTTGTAGGGCACAGGCCGATCCAGCAGCTGCTTGGGCAGCACGGTGCTGCCTTCGACGAGGGCCCCATGCGAGCCCAGCGTTCTGAGAACAGAGGGGACACACCCGGAATCTTAGTTCTTCTGCAACTCGGTGTGGAGTGCAGGGCGAGAGCTACGCCTGCACCCCGGCTGGTGCCCCGAGGGGACTGGCGGGCACCCGGGCCTGGGGCGCAGGGCGAGCGCGCCGAGGGGAAGAGCTGCTGGAAACGCTCCTTTTCCGAACGAGCCCACCAGCTCTGCTAGCAGGCACCTCGAAGACCGACACAGGCCGCCCGGCTGCACAGGGCCCAGGACACTCACTTGGTGACGTGCAGCTCGCACACGTTGCGGTGCCACGCCGGCTTCCCCAGCTCCTCACCACCCCGGATGAACAGCCGGTGCTGGCCGGGGTCGAAGTTGAAGTCCTTGGAGAGGATGGCGTGGAAGAACACCGTGACGCCCTCCTCGGGGCTCAGGGGGCTGCCAGAGAGCCGTCAGGAAGCACCGTTACACCCACTGTCTTACCGAGCCACATACACGCAAAGCACGCATGCACACACATGCACACACGTTTCTGCCTAAAAACATGCACTTACATGCTGTGCATACACATGCACAAAAAATGTGCACATGCACACACAAACACACTTATGCAAAAAGACATACATGTGCGCAAACAGGCACATGTGTGCACACATGTAACCGTATATCTTCACCCGCATTAACATGCACCCAGCAAAACTCAAGTGCATAGACACTTGAGACGTACCGCCTGCGGGGGTTCTCTCGCCGCCCTCCGCAGTGGGGGTGGGCACAGAAGGGACAATCTGCCCCGGAAGCGCTGGAGGTGGGCGGGTACCGCTCGGACATCACAGCCTCCCTCCTGAGTCCTGAGGCCGCTGCCTCCGGCCCCCGGGCACTCCGCCGCCTGCCCGGAGCCTGGGGAGCCTCTGTGGGCAGGTGAGCACTGGGCCTGCCTCCCTGGGGTGGGCACCTCTGCACCCAGTACCCTACCTGCTCGGAACCTCCAGCGTGTCAGCTTCCAGCTCCTTCCGGCCCCCCTTGCCCTTTGGGGCAGCCGTGTCGCCCCTGTGGCCCTGGTCAGGCTTCTTCCGGTCTCCCGGCTTGGCTTTCTCCCCAGAAACGGCAGCCTGGCCTTTGGGTTCAGCTTCCTGAGACAAGTCGCCAAGCCCCACCGTGAACTCCAGCCAAGGTTGCCCGCGATGGTCTGGCGCCCCACCGCGGCCTCTCCCCCATCGCTCGGGGCTCCAGCGTCCTGCTGGTCCCTCGGGCCCTGCCCCTGCCATTTCCTCTGCTGGGGACCCCGCCCCCATCTCCCTGGAGCCTGCCTCCTGCCACATCCAGGCGATCACAGAAACCCTCATGGGCGAGGCCTTCTGGGCCATGGCCCCTGGGCGGCACCCGCTGCCCTCAGCCCTCACCCACTTCCCCGCGGCCTCTCTCCTCTAGAGAGAGCCCCGAGGCCTAGCAGGCACTCCGGCTCCAGCCAGCACCTATGGGTGGTAACCGAATGGAAGAGGGGGTGGCAGGACCGGCCACACGGAGCGGCTGTTGGACAGACGGCCGGCCGCGCCCCCAGAACAAGCCCCTCACCTGGCCATGCTTCTGCGAGGCAGGAGGAGAGGCAGGGGCGCCAGGCAGCTTCGGTTTCTGCGTCTCCCCCTGGACCTCAGCCCCCTCCCCTGGCTTCACCAGCTCGGCCGCCACGTCAGTCGCCTGGAAGAAATAAAGACTTGCCAGGAGGGCCTCACAGACAGGGAGACGACTCCTCGGTGTAAGGGTCAGCATCACCTCCAGCTGGGTGACAGGGCCGGGGCTGGGAGGCGGGGCCGGGGGCTGGGTGACAGGGCCGGGGCTGGGAGGCGGGGCCGGGGCTGGGAGGCGGGGCCGGGGGCTGGGAGGTGGGGCCGGGGGCTCAGGGACGGGGCGAGGACCCGGGCACAGGGCAGCTTCTCCCTCAGCCCCGTTCCCAGGAGCAAGCCCCAGAGGAGGATGCCCGCCCAGACCAGGAGGCGACCTCGGCCAGGCGCCAAGGCCTCAGCGGGCCACTGGTCCTCACCTCCCCACAACTCACCCCTGAAGCAGGGGGCGCGGCCAGCTGCCCCATGGCGGGTGGCTCATTCCTTGGCTCCGAGGGGTCCCCCTGTGGCACGGGGGGCGGGAGCTCCTGGGCAGCGCCCTCCTTCCTACTGGCAGAGGCGGGGACCCCGGGCCCCTCTGGGTCCTTCCCTTCTGGGGGGGCACCTCCTGCAGTCTGGTCCTGGGGTGCTGCGCTGCCTGGCCCTGCCGAGTCTGCCTCTGGGGCCCCAGCTGCCTGGCCCTGCAGACACCCTCCAGGTGGCGGCTGGCTGGGGGCCCCATCCTGCTGAGCAGGGCTCTGGGGCAGAGCCGCGTCCTGGACCCCAACATCCGCAGGCGATTCGAGATGACAAGGCACGGAGGGGGGGGCGCACAGGGACTCCGGCCCTTTGGACACGGGCACCTTTTTGTTCTTTTTCTTCTGTTTCTTCCTCTTGCTCTAGACACAGAGAGACACGGGTTCACTCCTCAGGTGCACGTGACACCCATCCGCCTCCCCTCCAGCTCCGGTCAGCTGCTCACGAGCTAAGCTCAGTTCCACCAGCACCTGACACCCGAGGGAACTGCCGTCTCTCTTTTTTTAAAACCCAGAATTTAAATATAAATTGGTGTCAGAGAGGAAGGGAGAGGAAGAGATAGAAACATCCATGATGAAAGAGAATCATGGACCGGCTGCCTCCCACACGCCCCACTGGGGATGAAGCCCACAGCCCAGGCCTGTGCCCTGACTGGAATCGAACCGTCATAGGTCGACACTCAGCCACAGAGCCGTGCCGGCCGGGCACCTGCCATCTCTTTATCTTGGGAAGAATGACGCTGACACAAGAGGAGGGGGGTGGCGGACAGAGTGGGGGACAGTGGGCCTAAGCGTAGCCGACAGCCTCAAGGGGCCTCCTGCGAGCAGGTGCGCGCTGCCGGACTCACTCACGCTGGTGGGGAGCGCACGCCGGGCAGGAAACGAAAACGGAGGCGAGGCTGGGGCTGGGGAGCAGGCAGAGCGCCCTGCCCCCAGTGCCGGGCACACCCTGGAGGCCCTGCCCCGGCGGAGTCCCCAGCTAGGGAAGCACGTGTGACAGGACCCACGGGGCCGAGGCTCCGGGCCGAGGGCTGAGCAGTCCCTTCGGACCAGTGACCTGTGACCCCAAAGGCCGGTCACCTGGGTTCGGGGGAGGGGAGAACACGGGTGCATCTGTGCATGGGGTGGGGTGGTCGCTCTGGGTCTGCTCCTGGAACCCTCCGAGAACCTGAGCAGCTTCTGCACATCTGCCCGGGCAACCTGAGGGCATTTCCAGGCTTCCCAGCTGCCACTGCTTTATGCCACCATGGGCACAGTCACGCACTCGCACGCACACACTCACGTGTGCACACCCACTCGCATGCACACACTCGCACGTGCACACTCACAAGCACGACATGCCCGTGCGCTTGCTTCCTGGCCCCTCTAGAACGGAAGTCCGTGTGCTCTGCTCGCGCCGTGACGGGACCCAGAACGATCCCCGGCACACAGGCGCCCAGTGTGCCTACGCTGAGGCCGCCGCTGGGAAGGAAGGCCCCGCGCTTCCTCCCCGGGGGCCGGCGGTCCGAGTTCACTGGCTGCAGTTCCTCGCCGCCTCTGACCTGCCCCCCTTCCTCTTGTCCCTGCTCCCGGAGCCCGCAGGCCCGATGGAACCAGGTGGTTCTCAGCACACAGCTGTGGGGAGTGTGCAGGCCTGGGAGCGGAAACCTAAACCTTCCTTGACCAAAACCAAGATTTAGTATGGTTGCTATGTGTACATTTTGTATGTACACGATCCTCATGATGTGTACACACGTATGTTTCCTAACCAGCATGGTCTTCATTTGACCATTCTGATTGTGGCCACTTCCCACAGGAGCTAGAAATGCACACAGTGGGAGCGCACACCCCAGAGGGGCCATGCCCAGACAGTGGCCACAAGCGTGGGCGTGGGGGGAGCTGGGGTGGCCGGGAGACCCACAGCTGAGCGGTGTTCGTGCCGCAGGGAGGGGTGGGCATTGGTCTCACATTCAGTTAACAGCTTCTTTTTAGCGAAGAGACTTTTGATGGAAGAGACAGGAGGGAGCCTTTGGGGGCTGGAATGTTCTCTAGGTCTGGGGGGTGGTTACGAGGCTGAACACAGCTGCACACTGTGCACATGTCACATGGCTACAGTTGTGCACGCTATAAACAGCTGCACAGGGCTACACAGGTCTGTACATGGTTGCACACAGCTGCATGCAGCTACAAAGGTCTATACACGGCTACACATGGCTGCCCACATCTATCCATGTATACACACCACACACTCTCACACAAACACACACATCCCCAAAACAACCCCCACACTCACACACAGCACATACATACACTACATATGCACACCTCTACTCACATATACACCCCCACACCCCACTTACACACATGGACCCCAACACGGCCTCCTGCAGCGGGTCCCCCCCAGACACCAGGAGCACCCACCGAGGGCCAGACAGGAAGCCTGCCCTGGGCCGGCGGTGGACGTGGCCCCCGGCTTCCCCGAACCTGACCAGGAGCCCTCGGCTCTGGGGCTTGTTGGGAGGCAACTGTCTCCCAGGTATTACCCCAGCGCCCACCCTGCCCCAGAGCTGCCCTGCCCTGAAGCCACTCTGCCCCGGAGCCGCCCTGCCCCGCAGCATGGAGGCACTGGGGTCAGCACCATCAATGCAAGAGGACAGAGGGGGCGGGCACTCAGGGGCGGAGCACAGCTGCCAGCCCGGGGCGGTGGGAGGAAACGGCAGGTGGAGGCCAGAGCTCTGCCACCCAGCCTGCGGGGCGATGGGCGGGGCTGCAGTGGGCAGCTCCGGGGCTGGCACCGAGGGGCACCGTGACCAACAGCTGGGGAACCAGGCGGGAAGTGGCACCGGCGGCAGAGCCTGGACGCCCGGGGCCAGCACTCACTTTTTGGCTCTTCCAGGCCTGGGGGCTGGGCTGGGCCAGCTCTGCCTGCGGGTCACTGGAGCCCAGAGATGAGGGGGGGCCCCCGTCCTCCTCCAGCTCCTGTCCGCTCGCCTTCTCCCCCTCGGGGACCGAGGTCGTCTGGGGGTCACCTTCCTCCTCCAGCTCCTGTCCGCTCTCCTCCTCCTCCTCCTCGGGGACCGAGGTCACCTGGGGGGCCCCGTCCTCCTTCAGCTCCTGTCCACTCTCCTCCTCCTCCTCCTCGGGGACCGAGGTCACCTGGGGGGCCCCGTCCTCCTCCAGCTCCTGTCCACTCGCCTTCTCCCCTTCGGTGACCGAGGTCGCCTTCAGGTCGTTCTCGGAATCTACAAGGCAGGGAAGGGAAGGGAAGAGCTGTCACCCTCTGGAATGTTTGTGTGTGTGTTTTTTAATCCTTACCCGAGTATCTTCCATTGATTTTGAAGAGTGTGGAAGAGAGAGGGAAGGAGAGAGAAACACTGATGTGAGAGAAACATCGATGGGTTCCTCCTGCACGTACCCTGACCAGGGCCTGGACCAGGGGAGTTGGGGAGAGGGCAGGGGAGGGAGTGGGAGTAGCCTGCAACAAGGTACTTGCCCCTGACTGTTATCCAACCCGGAACCCTTTGGTCCACAGGCCGACGCTCTGTTCACTGAGCCAGGCGGTCAGTGGCCCGGGCGCCCTGAGGGCAGAGGGCAGGCCTCTCTGGGGGACAGTGCCGTGCGGGGAACCTGCGTTGGTAAGGGGCCCGCACAGCACAGGAGGAGGGGACTTCCTCTCCCGGAGCAATGACCAGAGCTGCAGGCCCCGCGCCAGGCGGCATGACGGCTGCCTGCAGGCCTTTGGGTCGCCGAGCCCACCCGCACCGTCTCCGCCGGGGACAGAGCTTTCAGGGTGGCCTGTGCCGGGCCCACGGGGGGAGGGTTCCTGCTCTCCCATGCGGTTTGCTTCGCTAACCTGACTTCTGTCGCTTTACTTATTGGATCAGCCTAGGAAGCGGGGGACTTGTTTCCTTGGCCCCCCAACCCTGTGTCTTCACACTCTTCCCTGCACACCTGGGACTGGCTCTGGACGAAGCCCACCTGAGTGCCCGGGGCAGGGGAGAGGCCCCCCTAACTCCCTGCCCGTCAAATGCTGACTCACTGGCATTCGAAGCTCTCCGCTGAGAGCAGCCCAACATCACGCCTGGCAGAGTCCGCCCTCCCCGCAGCCCGGGGTGGCCTGAGACGCTGCCCCACATTCCCCTTCTGTGAGCACCCCCTCCTCCCCGCCCCACAGACCCCGGGGTCCTGGCAGGTCCCAGCCACCACCCCACCACCCACCGCAGCTCTCCCTCTTGCTTTCACTTTCTATTCTGTGAACAGCCAGGCCGGGGGCAGGAGGGGGGAGTAAAGGCGGCGGGGGGGGGCGGGGGGGGAGTAGACAGGAGCCAGCAGTCAGGAAGTCTGTGTGTTTCCTGGGTTGTGGCCCTGAGCCCTGGCCTGAGGGATGGGTGCTCAGAGGCCAGTGGAGCCAGGCACATGCATCTGGCTCTACTGTGCGCCCCCGTGGACTGCCCAGGACCAGCACTTGCCACTCCCAACAGCAGGGGAGACACACACTCACACACACACACACACACACACACACACACACCCCGCCCAGAGTCACCCTGCAAAAAAGGTCAATGGTGCCCGGACAGCGTGGCTCAGTGGTTGAGCATTGACCTATGAACCAGGAGGTCAGGGTTCAATTCCTGGTCAGGGCACTTGCCCTGGTTGCAGGATTGATCCTCAGTGAGGGGCGTGCAGGAGGCAGCCGGTCCATGATTATCTCTCATCATTGATGTTTCCCTCTCTCTCTCTCCCTCTCCCTCTCCCTCTCCCTCTCCCTCTCCCTTCTTCTCTTACATCAATAAAAATATAAAAATAGTTTAAAAAAATAAAAGGCCACTGTGCTCGGAGGAAGAGGGTTAGGCGAGGGTTCTGCGGGAGTGGCGGTGCCTTGCGGGGCCCGGGGCCCGGGGCCCGGGGCTGGCTGGAGAGAGCAGGGTCTGGACCCCCCAAGGATGTCTCTGCCCCGAGCGTTATTTTAGGCCGATTACCTTTCGGAGCCAAAGACCCAGGCGGGCTTCTTCCTCCCCCTGGACCGCCAACAGGGACTTAGAGGGCCTGGTCCAGGCCATGGAGGCATTCACAGCGGCTGTGAATGTGTGTGTGTGTAGCCAGCACGGCCTGCACCTCGTCCTGTCCGGGTCCCACCGTCTCTGCAGCCCCAGCAAACACCTGCTTGCCTTCCTGTAAATTGTCCTGCACATGCCTGACTGGGAACTGAACTGTGACCAGGTTCATAGGTCGATGCTCAGCCCGAGCCACGCGGACCGGGCAGGGTTTGCTTCTGTTTTGTTGAGTCTCTGACGCCCCGGGGCCCTGCCGTCCCAAGGTCCCCGCGGGTAGACGTTCTCCTGATGAGGGGTGGGGAGCCCTGCGGGCAGAGTCCCACTGGGACCCCAGGCGCTCAGCCACGCCATGACCGGGCATCCGGACAGCGAGGAATCAAGGAGGGAGCGGACACTCACTGACCACCTAGGGCCACTGGTCTCTGACCCTCAGGGGCCCCCAAGGCTGACTGTCACTCAGAGCTTCTCCCCAGGGGTTGGCAGCAGAAGCAAATCAATAGAACACAATGCACAGCATGAAGCACCGCCCCCTTCCCCCTACCCCCCTACCCCGTGCCCTCTTCCTCACCCCCCCTCCCAGCCCTCAAGCCCAAGCACAAGTCTGCAACCTGCGTCCCTGACACACCCGCCCAAACGGAGCGACCGCAGGGCACATCCTTGGAGGATGTCCACTATGCACACACACTCACACACGGGTGCACATGTAGCGGTGTGCTTACAAAACACAAAGCTCATGGGACTTCGCTGAGTCCCACAGCAGCTGTCTATCAAACACTGCCAGGGACCTGGTCAAGCCACGACCCAGAGAGCAAATCTCCCGGAAGCCACAGGACAGACCGGCTGGCCGCAGGCTGCTGCTTCAATGCGGGTGGGGGCCGGTGCCTGGGGAGGAGACAGCAGAGCAAAGGCTGAGGGAGGGGAGGCGTGTCCAGGCGTCCCAGGGTCAGAGCCAGCAGGGTGTCCCCAGAAGGCCAGGAGGCCATCGGGCGGGGGAGGGGCTGCAGAAGAGGAAGTCAGAGGGCACTGGGGGGGGGGGCATTCAGGCAGGACTTGCAGCTTTTACTCAGAGGCATGGCAGGAGGGGGGCACCCCCTGGGCAGGCTCTGCCCATGCAACCAGTGGGTCCTGGGAGCAGCCGTGGATGTGCAGAAGAGAAGGAGGGGAGGTCGGCGCTGGGGTTGTTCCCGAGGCGCTGGAGGGGTGGGTCACCCAGCTCAGGGCAGGTGGGAGGCCTGAGGGGTGGGTTTGGGGGTGGGTAGGAGCCGGGCTCCATAAACAGGAAATGGAGAGGCTCGTCAGACTCAGTGGGGAGAGCAGCTGGTTAGGTGACAGGTCTGGGAGAGAAGGGCTAACCTGGTGCTGCCAGGGCATGGGCCCCACGGAGCGGGTGAGGGCCCCACAGAGCGGGTGAGGGCCCCAAAGAGCGGGTGAGGGCCCCACAGAGCGAGCGGGTGAGGGCCCCACGGAGCGAGCGGGTGAGGGGCTCCACGGAGCAGGTGAGGGCCCCACGGAGCGGGTGAGGGGCCCACGGAGCGGGTGAGGGGCCCACGGAGCGGGTGAAGGGCCCACGGAGCGGGTGAGGGGCCACGGAGCGGGTGAAGGGCCCACGGAGCGGGTGAGGGGCCCACGGAGCGGGTGAGGGGCCCACGGAGCGGGTGAGGGGCCACGGAGCGGGTGAAGGCCCCACGGAGCGGGTGAGGGGCCACGGAGCGGGTGAAGGGCCCACGGAGCGGGTGAGGGGCCCACGGAGCGGGTGAGGGCCCACGGAGCAGGTGAGGGCCCCACGGAGCGAGCGGGTGAGGGGCCCACGGAGCGGGTGAGGGCTCCACGGAGTGAGCGGGTGAGGGGCCCACGGAGCGGGTGAGGGGCTCCACGGAGTGAGCGGGTGAGGGGCCCACGGAGCGGGTGAGGGCCCCACGGAGCGGGTGAAGGGCCCACGGAGCGGGTGAGGGGCCCATGGAGCGGGTGAGGGGCCCACGGAGCGGGTGAAGGCCCCACGGAGCGGGTGAGGGCCCACGGAGCGGGTGAGGGCCCCACGGAGCGGGTGAGGGCCCACGGAGCGGGTGAAGGCCCACGGAGCAGGTGAGGGGCCCATGGAGCGGGTGAAGGGCCCACGGAGCAGGTGAGGGGCCCATGGAGCGGGTGAAGGGCCCACGGAGCAGGTGAAGGCCCCACGGAGCGGGTGAAGGGCCCCACGGAGCGGGTGAAGGGCCCCACGGAGCGGGTGAAGGGCCCCACGGAGCGGGTGAGGGCCCCACGGAGCGGGTGAGGGCCCCACGGAGCGAGCGGGTGAGGGCCCCACGGAGCGGGTGAGGGGCCCACGGAGCGAGTGAGGGCCCACAGAGTGGGTGAAGGGCCCACGGAGCAGGACAACAGCCCAACAGGGAGGAGGCATCAGGATGCCCAGTGGGAAAGTCAGCGGGTGAGACCCACCTGCCGGGGCTATGACACCCTGAGGCGCCACTGGCCACCCTCGTCAGGCGACCCCTCACTCAACCCTGTGCCTGGGGTCCCACTTCCATGCAGCATCCTCTGAACACCCCATCCCTGAGCTCAGCCACGCTTCCCACTCCCAAGGGCCAGGGAACCTCCTTCTCTCCCGGAAATGAAATGGGATTTCTGAAGAAGCGGCAGGTGCCTCCAGCAAAAGCCCGCGGAGCTGCTCAGGGCGGAGCTGCTCAGGGACGTGCCTCTGCCGGCCCTAGGTTTTCACTCCAGGAAAGGAGGCAGGACCAGGCTGACATGTCCCCCCCACCATCGGCACCCCAGCCTTACCCGGGGCGGGGGCGGCAGGGGGCAGCCTGCGCCCACACTCGCAGCAGAACTTGGGCGCTTCCTCTTTGGAGACATGGCCGCAGGAAGGACACTCCATGCCTCCCTCTGGCTGTGCCCTGCGAGCTAGAAGCGCTGTCCTAGGAAGCCGCTGCCTTTATTCCCAGCCGCCGGTCACGTGATCCCCGGCCCGCTTCAGTTTCATTTTCTGGGAAGTGAAATCGCAAACAGCTCAGGAGGTCCCAGCTTCTCGAAACTCAGCTGAGTCCCTCCCCTGCAGCTCACCGCCTGGCCTCCGTCCGTCCTTCCGTCCAGGTCCCTGCTGTCCGCCACCCCCACCCCGGCTTGGCACCCACTTCCTTTGCTGCTCCCCCGCCCCCGCCCCCCAGCCCGACTCTGCACTCTCCACCTCCCAGGGAGGCCGCCCGGCTGAGGCTGAGACTGAGACTGAGACTGGGGCGGGGGGCTGAGGAGGGGCGGGTAGGAGTGGGGAGGGCCCCCGGAGGGCACAGCACACACAAAACCCCCAGAGTTGTGGGCGAGGTGCCCACTGCGAGGCCAGGGCAAGGTGCCGAGAGGACAAAAGCCCTGGCTCCCAGGTGAGGCATCCAGGCGGAGCCCCCGGCGGGACAGCACCAGGGACGGGACGTGCTGGCGGCCACACGGAGAGCTGGCCCCAGGGACGCCTGCACGGGCTGCGGGGCCCCAGCCAGGGGCCTGCTAAGGGGCAGGGGTTGCCACCTACAAATCCCAGTCTCCCTCGCTGTGGGGGAAGTGGGGGCAGCGTAGAAGCATGGGCGGGGCCACGTTCGTCCAGGCCAAGGCCAAACTCAGGTCAAGGGTCCCCGCTCCCAGGGGTCACAGGGCATCCCAGGGGGAGAGGACAGGGTCTCAGCCACTGGAACCCAGGTCCGCCTGCCCCAGGCTAGTCCTTCCCGCTGCGGCCCCGCCTCCCTCACTGCTCTGGGCAGGGCGGCTGCTACTGTGGGCGTGGTCTCCAGCAGATGGTAATCTGAGGGCAGGGCAAGGCCGGGAGACCCTTGATTGTGGGTTGCCCCGCATTGTCTGCCACAACCAAGCCCTGGCCTCCACCTCGCCTTCCCCACCACAGCACGGAAGCCACCCCCACCGTGGCTTGGGCACTCTCACTCCAACACCTTCCATGGCTCCCACAGCCCAGGCCTCTGCACTCCCCATGCTGTCCTCCTCGGGGCTCTTCCTCCCACAGCCCAGAAGCCCCAACGGCCTTCTCTACCAACCAGCTGCCAGGCCTTCCTTCCCCTTTATTTCCAACTGCTGAGCTGTGCCACGCTCAAGCCCCCCAACCACACCCGGAAGACCAGGGGCTGAGTGGGTGGGACTGCAGTGGGTGCAGACCCTACTATCTTGCCTCTCCCTCATCCTGTGCCCCCTCCACCTGCTTGGCTCTCAAGGCTGCCACCAAGCAGGTGCCCCTGGCCCTGAGCCCTGCCAGGCAGCTGTCCTGTTGGGAGAAGCTGCACTCTGGGCGCTGGGGGAGGTGGGGAGGCTGCCATTCTCGTGAAGTTACTATGTTTCTGGGACAATTCTTCTCTGTCACTGCAGTTAGCCAAAAGGCAGGATTCCTGGGGAGGCGCCGCCCAGTTCCTTCCCCCCCTCCCCCGCCCCAGGGTCCTGGGGCTGGGCCTCCAGGGGTGTTGTGGCCCTGGAATGCCCGCTGCCAGCGCTGCCCGAGGGCGGGGAGGGGCGGGGCCTGGGCTGTGAAACCGAAACCTGCACCCTGGGAAGAGGCTGCTGGAGGAGAGGGGACAGAGGGGAGGGTGTGTGTGTGGGGGGGACAGACATCTGGACGCAGGAGCCACTGCCCAGCTCACCCCTGCTGCAACCAGACTCTCTGCGGGCCCCCAGCCCCCACCCCTGCGCCCTCCTCGCTAGGCCACTTGGTTTCGTTTCAGGCTCAGTCCCGCCCTCCTCACGCCTCTGGCAGTGCTGCAGGGTTCCCGTGGGTGTGGCCAGAATGTCCCGGCCGGTGGCGCCCCCCAGTGGATCTGTGCCGGGGCACTGCCTGCCAAGAAGCCTCAAGGGCAGCACTGACTCCAGCCAGTCTGCACCCCGGTGTCCCCCAGCCACCCTGCCTCACTGACCTGATACCAGGCCCTTGGCAGCAGAAGTGGGGGATGCGCACAGGTCCCCAGCCCCGCACCCTGAACGGTGCCCACACCCCTGCAGAGCCAGTGGCAGCGGGAGAAGGGCCACGCTGCCAGGCGGGTCATTGAGCCAAGCTTCAGGCCACCTGGGTGCCAAAGGGAGATTGCAGCCCCATCCTATGGCAGCCTGGTGCCCAGTGAGTGAACCAATATGGCAGTGACGCCTGCCGCCCTCGCAGGCCCCCTGGTCACTGGTACCCAAGAGGCTGGGGGTCTGTCACCCCACCCTGCTCTGCACCTGTTTCTTGTCTGTGAGCATGTGGTCCCCCACCCAGGGCTGAGTAATAATAATAATAACAGCAACAACAACACAGCCAGCGCCCAGCCACGTGCGCAAAGCTCTTCCTCAGTCTCACCTTCCTCTCCCGCCAACCAGCGCAGCCTGAGGGCACTCGTGGGGGGCCTGGCACCCCCTGCGCGACAAACGCTACTTAGAGTGATTGTTACTGCCCAGCCACGGAGTGACTCAGGGGTTGAGCATCGACCTGTGAACCACAAGGCCAGGGTTCAGTTGCAGACTGCACACTGTTTCGGGGCCCCAGCAGAGGTCGTGGGGCATGTTCTGCATTCACGCAGCCTCCGAGGACGTGGACTCCGGCGTGTACCCAGGCACCTCCATCTAGCTCACCTGGCCCAGTCAGCGCCCACCCTGTGGCCTCCCTGGGGGCCCCAGCAGAGCTTGCCAGAAAGAAAGGGCGCACAGGTGGTGGTGGTGGTGGGAGGGGCCACCAAGCTGTCCGTCCTGGGCGGGAGCGGACTGAAGTGGGGCGGCCTTCTGGTCTTAGCGGGAGAGGCCCTGTGGGGACTGTGCTCAGCCACACTCGACGGCGGGGGGCCAGCAGGCCAAGGGAAAGCCCGGACCTGCCCGCAGTGTCCAGAGTAGCGGGAGCCGCAGCCCGGACCTCTGCTGGCTGGTGGCACCCCCAATGAGTGTCCGGAGGGCGGTGGAGACTTATGGACAGGCCATGGAGCTGCAGAACCAGCTCAAACTGGTCCTGTCCTGATTCCAACGAGATCCGGAACCCAAGTTTATCCCACTTATACAGGACATGTGTGATCATAACCTATGAGTGACATGTGTGAGCCCTTAACTGCTTCTCCCCCCTCCCACCCCAACCATGAGAACAGACGCCACAGGAACCTCAAGCTGGAACCCTGGGGGGCGCTGTCCAGGGAGACCCGGTGCTGTGCCCCCTAGATCCCGCCCAAACCGTGGATGGGGAGGGATTTGAGCCCGCCCCATCTCCTTGCGCTCATCTCTGAAATAACAGCTCTTTCTTCTCCCCAAAGCTGGTGCCAGTACCAGTTCCTCTGCCTGGTGACCCCCGGGGGCCTCAGGCTCTGGCCGTCCCGTCACAGGTCCCTCCAGAACAGCAGCCACTACCTCAGTGCCGGCCACACGCGGTACTCCTCTGCTCCCTCTGATCTGTGTGACATGAAGGGTCAGGGGCAAGGGATGCTGGGGCGCCACAGCCGTTTGCGCAGGGACCCAGCTGTCCGTCTGCGCGGGGAGGCAGCTCCCAGCTGCCCAGGAGCCCAGCGGCCCTGGTGTGACTCCGAAGGGGGGATTTCCAGCCTGCCCTGTCATGCTGCCCGACGACAGTGCACGGAGAGGCCCAGAAGGGAAATAGACACATGCAGAGCCCCAGCCAGAAAACCACAGTAAACGCACCGCAGGGACTGCAGGGAGCCAGCACAGAGCACCGTGGGGGTCCCCCACGCCCCCCCTTCCCCCCCCAGGCTCACCCACACAGGCCAGGGGAGGGCTCCTGCAGCTTTCACAATAGGCATTTGATTGTTACAAAACCATTAAGGTTATTACTTTTCTTTAATTAAAAAAAAAAACAACCAGCAAAAGTGCCCTGGCTGGTTTGGCTCAGTGGGCAGTGTCAGCCCGAGGACTGAAGGGTCCAGTTAGACTCCAATTAAAGGCACGTCGCTCCGTTGCAGGTTCAGCCTGGCCCTGGTCGGGTTGCGTGAGGAAGGCAGCCAGCCGACCTGTCTCTCTCACATGGCTGTTTCTCTCTCCGTCTCGCCCCTTCCCTTCAACATGCTCCAAAAGTCAACGGGAAAATACCTTCCCAGGAGGATTAACAACGCAGTCCAGTCTCCCCGCCTTCAGCAGGCACCAGGCACCGCACACCTGCTCCCCCAGGACAGCACCGGGGGCGGGGGAGGGGGGCGATGGGGGCGCGCAGGATTAGCACCGCCCAGGAGATGCGCCCCACCCGACCCCCAAGCCAGGAAGGTGCTGGGCTGTGGGGACTCTTCCTGGCCCAGACTGACATCCGTCTTTCTAGAAGTCTCTCTCCAAACAAAGGCTCTGCCCCAGGTCGGTAGGAGGTCAAGCTTCCATCGTCTCGGGGGACGCCAGTGAGGCCGTGTCCGCCTTCCTCCAGGTCCCGCTCCGGCTTCCTCAGACCCTCGGGCCAGCGCAGCTCCGACCTCGCACCACGAGAACCTTCTGCGAGGCTCTCCGAACTGCAGCCGCCCTGCCCGCGGCCACTCGGCCTTCAGCAGGGCAGCGAGGGCTCCGGGACAGAGTCGTCGCTGAAGCTGTGGGGCTGGGTGCCCGGCTCCTGACTCAAGTATCTCTCTGCAGAAAAGTCAACAGTTTTTGCCCAGCCGGCGTGGCTCAGGGGTTGAGCGTTGACCTATGAGCCAGGAGGTCCTGGTTCGAGTCCCGATTAGGGTACCTGCCCAGTAGGGGGTGTGCAGGAGGCAGCTGATGCGTGATTTTCTCTCATTGATGTTTCTATGTCTCCCTCTCCCTTCCTCTCTAAAGTCAATACAAGTACATTTTTAAAAACAAACGCACATATTTCTAAGTGCTGAATGAGCACCAGTGAGGGTCAGCTCACAGGATGGGGTTAAAGGTCTCACTCATTTCTGGGTCCCTGGGCGGCATCCACGCCCTTGTCGCTGCATCCCTGTCCACACCACAGTGGCCCTTTCTGAGTGGTGGCTGCACCTGCCCATCACCCCCGCCCCTCCCCCGGGACCCCCTCCTGGGGAGGGCCCTCAGTGCTGCTCCTTCTCGGTGCCACACGGAGCCAAGAAACCAGACACGACCAGGGTCCTGGCCTTCCATGGTGCTCGGAGCGAAGGGCAGAGAAGCAGGGCAGCTCGGAGGGACAGCCTTTCCTGCGCCCACGGGCGCCCTGCAGGGCCCTTCAGAGCCCAACTGGAGTCTGTGATCTCTGCGGCTCCCTGTGCCAGCCGCACCTCAACCTGAGCCTCGCCCCGAAAAACAGAACCCCCGCCCGGAGGGCCCTACATCACCCACCCTCGCGCCCCACAACCGGACGCAGCGTCCGAGCCCAGAGTCCACGGTGACCTCGCCGGCACCCACCTGCCTCCTCCAGGCTGGGGAAGTGCTGGACACTCAGGTCGGCGGACAGCAGGACGTGGCGCACAGGCTCCTGCGGGGACGGAGAGGTCAGTGCCAGGTGGGACCCCACGCTGTGGCCACGGGGCAGGCCACCTGGCGCCCATAGGCGAGCACGGTCTCTCACAGTCCCCGGGTGGGTAACGGAGCACAGACCAGGCCTCCGTGGACGGGGACGGTGTTAAGAGAAAGGCTGGCATGCTCACTGGTTGAGCATCAACCTATGAACTGGAAGGTCATGCTTCAATTCCAGGTCGGGCACATGCTCCAGTTGTGGGTTCAACTTCCAGTGGGGGGTGTGCAGGAGGCAGCCGATCAATGATTCTTATCATTGATGTTTCTATCTCTCTCTCCCTCTTTCTCCCTCTCTGAAATCAATCCTGTGTAATATAAGGGTAGTGTGCAAATTGACCAGGAGTTTGACCAGGGGTGGGGCCATCCAGGGGAAGGGAGGGAGGTCCCAGCGATGGCAGCAGCGTCGGTGATCAGGGGAAGAGAGGAAGTATCCAGTCAGTGGCTGGCAGCCGGTAGGGACCCTACCAGTGCACAAATTTCGTGCACTGGGCCTCTAGTAGAATTATTATTTTAAGAAAAGAGAAATGTTTCTAAGTAAGCACAAAGGACACAGACAAGTGCCTTGCAAACATGACACAGAATCTAACAGTCACGGGCAAAACCCTGAGGCCAGATGCCTGAGTGGGATGCGTGGCCACCACCCTCGCTGTGTGGCCTTGGGCAGGTTACTCAGCTTCTCTGGGCCTCAACGCCCTCATCCTGACGTGAGGAGCGGTGACCCGGCCTCAGGGCTGTGAGAGCGGCGGTGCTGGCTGGCTGGGACACCCACCTGCAGGCCGACGAGGGCGAGGGTGAGGCCCTGCCGCCGGAAGTCCTCCAGCAGCTCCCGGAGCCCCAGCACCACTGTGTAGTCGAGGCTGCAGACATGGCTGCACTCCAGGACCGCGCAGCGCGGCGGGGATACTGTGGGGACATGCGCGGGCAGTCACACCTCGAGGATGAGGCACGGGCGTGGCCTGGCGGAGGAGTCAGGGGGCCCGCCGACAACAGCAGCTTCCCTCTGAGGGAGAACTGGCCCCTCTCCCCGAACCCCAAGTCCCAGAGGGAGCAGGTGCTCAGGACAATGCCAGGGAAATGCCCCCCTCACTGGGCGCCGGGAGTGAGGGGGCTAGGCCTGGGGGACACAGCTGAGACGCCCAGACCTCCTCCCTGACTGAGGGCAGGGCCTGGGGCCCGGGAGCAGGCTGGGTGTGGAGGGGACACAGGGAACTCCGGGTCACACGGAGTCATCCCTGCCTGGCCCACGTACCTCCCAGGGCGCGGCTCACCACTGCCTCCCGTAGGGCCTCGACAGCGGGGAAGTGCAGGCCGCTGGCTGGCTGCACCACCAGCACCGGCCACTCAGACACCTGGCACAGGGCGGGGGAGCCGTGAGTCCTGGGGGCACCTCGGGTGGGGCAGCGGGCCAGGCTGGGGGTCCGGGCAGAGCTGCTGGAGCCCGCACCGCACCCCCACAGCCCCTGCGCAGAGGAGCTGTGGTCCCTCCCGCAGCCGGCAGAGCAGTGCCTGGGCCACAAGTGCACAGGAAGCTCCAGCGCAGAGCAGCGCTGCGGGCAGGGGCGGGGGCGGGAGCGGGGCGGTACCTGCATGCTGGGCCAGGCCGCGGAGTGCAGCAGGATCAGCAGGGACACCAGCGTGCCCGCCAGGATGCCGTACTGCACCTCCCAGAAGCAGAGCAGGAAGGTCACGCTCAGGGGCAGCAGGTCCAGCCCTGGGGAGAGGGGTGTGCTGAGGCTTCCTCCGGCAGGTGTCGGGTCGGGGGGAGGGCAGGAGGAGGGGAGACCCCGCTCCCCTGCTGGGGCTGAAGGCACTCTGGGGCCTAAGGCAGCCTGACCCCTGACCCCGGGGTGACACCTCCCAGAACCACGTGAGCCTCCAGCTCCGGCGGCGCTGTGGTCGGAGGGGTGGCCTCACGCCGACAGAGGAGGAGCCACGTACGTACTCCTCACGCGCCACAGCGTCCGGGCGACCCCGGCGTCCAGCAGCGGGGCCACGGCCATGATGATGACGGCCGCCAGCGCGGCCTTGGGGATGTAGTAGAAGAGCGAGGTCAGGTAGCCCAGCGACAGCAGCACCAGAACCCCTGGGGGGACACCATTGACCGGGGCCTGAGTCCAATGGGGACGCAGCAGGAGAGGCCGCCTGCACCGCGGTCCTCCTGCCCCTTCATCCCATGTCCCGGCCTCAGCACATGGGGGTGCAGTGTGTGCGGGCTCACCTGTCACCAGGCCTCCCGCAGGGGTGCACACCCCCGACTGGGCGTTCACGGCCGTCCTGAAGGCGACATGGAGGCCATCAGTGGCGGCCAGAGCATGGGGAGCCGGTCCACTTAGGCAGCTGATCTCCAGGGACAGGGCTGCCCCTGAGGCTTAGGAGCACAAGGAGCTTCGGGGTCCCCTTAACAAAGGGGAACCACCCCAGGGCACAGCGATCCGCCTCCCACTGGCTGCGGTGCCCTCCCTCTGAGCCTGCGCAGGCGGCCGCACCCGCAGAGGCCATAAGGGCTGAGCCGCTAAGCAAGGCCCTCATCCCGACTGCTGTCCTAAGGAGACGGGTCAGGACCGACACGGGGACGGCCACGTGGGGGACGCAGCAACACGGCACCTGCCAGCCATGAGCGCAGCCCCAGGAGAAGCCACGCTGCCAGCCCCTGCCCTCGGCTCCGGGCCTCCTGGGCAAGGCCACGCTGGTTGGGCGTGTCTGCCTGATGACACGCCCACCCCGGGGTACCGGGCCCTGGGGAAGGGTGGGGGTGTTGCTTTTACGGAGAAAAACTGACGGAGCTGGGGCGGGGGGGTCACACTTAACCCACACACGGCACGTGTGCGGACACACAGTACACGTGGTGCATCCTGTGAGCACAAGCACCCGCGCAGACACCAAACCCATGTGGGCTCCTGGGGCGGGCCTGGCGGGAACAGGCCTCCTTCTTGGCTCAGCCACGTGGCCTGCTGGGAGCCCCGCGCCCACCCCCAATGCAGGAGCTCTCCTCCCAGAGCCCCGGCACCACCCACGGCCGAGCCCAGCACAGCGCTGCCTCGTCCACCCCCAACGCCGAACGCGCCTCTGCCAGCTGCACCCCTTGGGACTAACCTGCTGTGTGCGCCTGGCCACGGAGGCCCTTCCCGGCCGCCGGCCGCACCAGGGAAGCTGATCGGGGAGCCGACAGGACCCTCGGCCAGGACCTCCCAGGGACTCAGACAAGCAGCGCGGGCACTCACCGTCCGAAGCTGCCGGTGACCGGGAAGGAGGAGAAGAAGGAGCCCAGAACGTTGGTCAGGCCTGCGCACAAGCGGGAGAGGGTCACCGGGAGGGAAGGCGCATGGCATGGAGGGAGAGCAGGTGGAGGGGACGGGCACAGTGAAGCCAGAGGAAACAGGAGCCCACGCTAACGCTGCCGCCACGACGGGCTTCACCACCATCCGCCCAACTGGACAGGGGCCTCACCGATGGACAGCAGCTCCTGGTTGGCGTCGATGCGGTAGTTATTCTGAGACGCTGAAGGGGAGGAACAATAAGAACCCGTCACCACAGAGAAGACCTCGCTAGGAAGACGTTTAGGAAACGAAAAACTGGCCACACATTCCCGCCCGCAGCACTCGGTCCGGAGACGTAAACATAAATGTAAACACACGTAAACATACGCATACACGCAGGGGCACACGGTGCCTGTCTGTGGGTGCCAGGCGGAAGCGGCATCTTACCGAAAGCCTTGGCCACGGCGATGCTCTCCAGCAGGCCTATCAGCGGCACCACGGCCAGCCCGGCCCCCATGTCCTGAGGGGAGAGGGAGGGAGTGACCCGCAGGGCAGGAAAGGACCCTCAGGAATGTCCGTTCCAAGGACCCCCCTCTCCCGCTGGCTGGAGCAGCTCAGCGGTTGATCATCTGCCTATGAACCAAGAAGTTGCCGGTTCGGTTCCGGTCAGGGCACACGCCTGGGTTCCAGGCACATCCCCAGTGGGGGGCGTGCAGGAGGCAGCTGATGAATGATTCTCTCTCATCATGGATGTTTCTCTCTCTCTCTCTCTCCCTCTCCCTTCCTCTCTGCAATCAATGAACATTGAAAATAATAATAAAAAACAAGGGCAGGAAGGGGCCGAGTAGGGAAGAAGGGGAGCATACGCCCGGAGCCAACACAGGCTTTCAGGGCAAGAAAAGGGGCGTCCCCTCCCGATGCCGCCCGCCCGCCCGCCCGCCCGCCCGCCGCCGCTCAGGGTCGCACCACCACCGCCGGTTGTAACAGGTCCAACCCGGCTCCCTTCCGTTTGTGTTTCTGATGACCTTTTTGTTGTCTTGTTTCTCTTGGGGGGGAGGGGCAGAGGGGTATCTTGGAATCCTGCCTTGTGAAGCCAGCGCAGACACGGCTCCCGCAGGAACGCACACTGGGCGGAGGGCTGTGAGCTCGCACAGGCCGGGTGCGGACGCAGCACACTCCTGCCACCGTGTGTACGCGGCAGAAACACCAACGTGAGGCCCTGAGGCTGTGCCCAATCTGGCTGTCCCCACCAGTCCCTGCTCCCACAGACACCCCTTCCCGAGGACAGGCAGTCCCGCCGAGCTCAGGGCCCTGCTACCAGCAGGTGCTTAGGGGACAGAACCAGGCCCCGAGACACCCTCCCTACCCACCTGGACCATCTGGGTGAAGGAGACCGTCCCGTTGGCCGTGGTCAATGAGAAGGGGGGGACCCGCACCGCAGGGAGCCCCTGGACGATCTCCCCAGTGAGGACGAAAGGCCGGTAGCCGGCCACGTCGCAGGAGTACGCCATCAGGGTGGCGCCGGACACCACCAGGGCATTGCGGGCTGCGCGAAGGAGGGGGACGTGTGAGGAGAGCTGGCTCCTCTGGGTAAGGAGCGGGAGCCGCCCAGCCACACCCCCTCACGCTCCACCCTGGGGACGGACAGGGTGTGGGTGGAAGACCCCCAAGGCAAAGCCGCTCCCTCCACCCCACTGCACAGCAGGACCACCCGAGGAGCTTAAGGCCCCAGGCCTGAGCCACGCCCGGACGGGGCGAACCTCCAGGTGGCTCCACCCAGCACCTGCCCCCAGGCGCCGGTCAGGTGGGGGGGCCCAGCTGTGGGACTGGCCTCCACAAGGTCCTCACCGGTCGTGGCCGTCCAGACCAGCCCGAGGCTGAGCCGCACTCCGGGGGGCGTGTTGGGGTGCACGGGGGGCACGTGGGCCCGCATCAGCCGCAGCAGCAGCAGCAGCAGCAGGCAGACCAGCCCCAGCACGGCATCGCCCACCCTGCGGACAGACACCACCACGCTGTCACGGCCGCCAGCCAGCGGTCAGCGCCCTGGCCCACAGGTGACCGCCTGCAGGGAACCTCTCTGTGGCTCTTTGTGCTTCTGGGGATCAGCCCGAGGCCCCATCAGGAAGGAAGGAGAGGACGGCCACAGCGCTTCCCGCGCCTCCAGCCTCAGCACCGCTCCCCGCCGCCCTGCACATCCCTCCTGCCCTGCTTCCCGCAGGGGGTCCCGGCTCCCAGCTGGACTCAGCGGGACGCACTCCTGTCGTCCTCTCACCTCCACCCCCTCCGCACTGAACTCGGCCCTTCTCAGAGGGGGCCTGGTCCTGCTCTATCTCACCGTCTCTTCCCACTGTTGCCCAAGAGGGCACGGCATGGGTCACACTGACCTCAGATTGCTGGAGCTGACCTCTGACCCCTGCAGCGCCCCTGGCTGACTCAGCAGCTCTGGGTTCCCGGTGAGGCTGACAGGGCTGCCCTAGGGAACCCTGTTTGAGCAGCAAGCCCCAGAGTGGAGGAAGGGGGCTGGGAGCAGGGTGTGGGGGGCCTTCCTTTTGAGGGACACAGAAAGGCAGGCAGCCTACCTGGTCTCCCCGAGGCTGCGGAAGGTGTGATACAGCTGCAGGAAGAACTGTCTGGGGACGCGCTGCAGTCCCAGCAGGTTCTGGTCAAAGAGGCGCTGGTTAGACTCCCCTCCCCAGTGAGGCCTGAGGCCCCGCCCACGGGGGGCCTTTCTGGGGACACATCTCATGAGTTCCAGGGACCATCTGTCCATGTCCACACCCCAAAAACAGATTAAAGTGAACCCCAGGGGAGAGTACTGCACAGCCTTCGGGTCACTGTTTTCAGATCCCAGGAAAACCAGTCTGGAGGACCTCAACCTCGCCCATCGTGCAGGCCCTGGTATAATTGGCTTGCAACTGTGTCCGTCACTGAGTGGCCCGCCCCCCGCCACACAGACTCCACCACCATTGGCCCAAGGCCGTGTCCATTGCTCAGAGGCTTACCTTGATCTGCCCAGCGCCAATGGTGATGGCAGCAGCGGAGGTGAAACCTTTGATGACGGGGCAGGAGATGAAGTCCAGCAGGAACCCTGGCGGCCAAGGGGGACACAGAGCTGGTCCCGGAGGCCGCGGTGCATGGAGGCCGGGTGGGGTGGGGGGGTAAAGAGGGAGGGGCTGGGCTGAGTCTAGGGCGCACACCGGGTGGGAGGTTGGGAGAGCAGGTGGCCCAGCTAGGGTCCGAGGCCTTGGCCCTTCTCCAAGCAGCCTGGCTCCTAAGCAGAATAGGCAGTGCGGGGGACTGAGGGTGCCCCACCCGGGTGCCCCACCCACCCTTACAGGGACCCTCACATGGATGGCCCCTGAAAGGCCAAGAAGAAAGTGTTGAGAGCTGCCCAGCCACGTGGCTCAGGGTTGAACGTTGACCCATGAACCAGGAGGTCACGGTTCAATTCCCTATCAGGGCATGTGCCCAGATTGTGTGGTCCATCCCCAGTAGGGGGCATGCAAGAGGCAGCCGATCCATGATGCTCTCATCATTCATGTTTCTCTCTCTCCCACCCTCTTCCAATCTGGAATCAATAGAAACATGTATTTTCCGATGCTGGGGGCAGGACACCCCAGGAGACAGGTGCCTCAGTTGTTTGCCCAGAAAGAGAACTGCAGCGCACCCCCCCCTCCGCCCAGATCGCCCCCACCAGGAAGGCCCGGAGCCTTACCCAGGCACAGGAACCGCATGGCCAGCTGCACACAGCCGGACAGGAAGGCGAGCAGCACGGCGTAGGCAGGCTCCCGGAAGGTGTAGGAGGAGACGAGAAGGGACATGATGGCCGTGGGGCCCAGGGTCACGTCGCGAGAGGTGCCCAGGAAGAAGTACACGAAGCACCCCACGAAGGCAGAGTAGAGGCCGTACTGTCGGGGGGAGAGCGATGAGCACCAGGAGGCACATCACAGGGTCATGGGGTCACGGGGTCCCTGGTGGCCATGTCTGAGCGAAGGGGCCCGGGCACTGTGACTGCCCTCTCAGCCGCCACAATGAGGGGCATTTCCCAGCCGCCTACGAGCACCAGCTCCTGGGCTTGTGTCCGGGTCCGAGTCGGAACCGCTCTTCCGAAGCCATCTGCCGACCCACCGCGCAGCCCAGGACCTGCTGGTGCCACGCGGCCATGTGAGGCGCCCAAAGGCAGTCGCAGGCTCTAGACTAACCCTCCACCTCTCCATCCCCCACCTCCCACCCCCATCCCCCAGTCTGGGGGCAACACCAGGCACTTCTGCTCTGCTTCCGGCGGGCGCTGAGGCCCAGAGAGGGGCCAGGCGGTGGGGATGTGGGGACAGCGGCGCAGACACCTCACCTGGGGAGGAAGTCCAGCCACCTCGGCATAGGCCAGCGCCTGGGGGATGACCGTGAGTGCGACCGAGAGCCCGGCCACAAGGTCCATCCTCAGCCACTGCGTGGAGTAGTGGGGCAGCCAGGCCAGGAGGGGCAGCCACCTCCGCAGGGCGGCAGGGGGGCAGCTGCAGGCCCTGGGGGCAGGGTGGGGGGCCCAGGGCATGGCCCGCTCCATCACCTTCCCAGACGCCATGCCTGTGTGGGCGTGGGGGGCACAGAGTCAGGGTCACGGGGCGAGGGTCCAGAGTGTTGGGAGAGACACTGTCCGTCTCCCCTCCCTCAGTGTTTCAGCTGGTCTGAGGCGCAGGCAGCCTGTGCAGAGGGCCCCCCCCGGGGGCTCTGAGTGCCACAGGGGCCTGTCTCACAGGAGGGGGAGGGGGCGGCGGGGGCGACATCCCTGCCCAGCACCCCTCCCCACCCCATTCCTCCCCCTCCCATTCCTTCTCCCCCCCTCCCATCCCATTCCTTCCTAGCCCGTTCGGAGTTCTCCCTGGAATCCTCCCTCCCTGCAGGGCGCTGGCTGAGAAGCCTAAACACCGCTCAGGGCTGGCCCCGGGGAGAACTTTCCTTCTCACTTCCCTCCCAGGAGCCCTCTGGCAGGAGAAGAGGCAGGGGCGGGGGAAGGGGGAGACAGGGCACCCTGAGGCCCAGGCTTTCCCACTCAGGGGGCTTCTGCTTGGGCTGAGGGGGGTGTCTCCACCTGAGGCTGCCCCAACCCTCACTTGTGGCATTAGAACCCCTGGAGGGACCCCAAAAGTTCTAGTTGGTTCTGGAAAAATGCCAGAGGCCCCTCCTCTAACTCCAAGAGCACAGCACCCTCCAGGACCGCCCCTGCCCCCGCCCCGAAGCCCCCGCCCCGAAGCCCCTGCCCCTGACATCTAAGAGTGAGGCCCCCACACCAGCCCCCACGACACCAAAGGTGGCAGGAACCTGGGGAGGGACGCGGTGGGTGGGGAGCGAGGTCCCTGCGGGAGGCGCCCGCACCAGCTCGCCCACCCGCCCACCGCGGACTCACCCCACGTCGCCCCCACGGGTCGCAGACCTGCCGAGCAGCGGGGATGTGGGCGGAGCCGGTGTCTCGTGACCGGCGGGGCGGCGCTGGCATCACGTGACACAGGGAGACCAGCACGGATGGGACCGGGACAGAGAATGGGCGCAGCCGCCATGCACCGCCCCGGGCCCGGGCCGGTCTGCTGGGCGCTGCTGCTCGCCCTGGGGCTGTGCCGCGCGCACCGGGCGCGCCCCCGCCACGTGCTGCTGATCCTGGGTGAGTGCGCCCCGCCCCGATGTCCCCTGCCCCGCAGTCGCCCCCCAGCAGCGGCCAGCGCTGCCCCAGCCCCGCAGCCTCACTGCCGCCCGCCCGTCTCCCGTCTCCCGCTGCTGCCCCACACCTGTGGTCGCTCCTAGGAGAGGGAGGCGGGCAGTGTCGCTCCCTGCGGGGTCTGCTGAGATCCCCGCGTTCAGCCCCCCACTCCTCGGCCGGCTGACCCTGCACCTCTCCTGTGTCCAGAGCCCCCACCTGGGGTCCACAGATGCACAGGGATGCCAGAGAGGGGCGGATGCCCACATCCACCGAGGCCAACGTGCCCGGGGGCTCCCGTCTCCCCAGCGGCTTCTCTGACCCCCAGAGCTCTGAGGGTCAGCTCTGCTCCCCGCTCAGCCCTTCCTCAGCCCCATCCCCTCCCGGAATCTCCCAGTCCCGCTGCTGTTGGACTTCCCGGTGGGCGGCCGGCCGGGCTGTCACAAGGCAGTTCTTCCCCTTTTCTGAGGGCTGGCCGCGGGCCAGGCGGCTCTGATTAGCCCTGTGGTCTGTGGCCAGGCCTCCGCTCATTGGAACCTGGCGGCCCTCCCTGGGGGCTCCCTCAGCCCCACCCAGGGGCACCAGTGGAGCCCTGACCACGGATCCCTGTCCTTGTGCCAAACCCAGTGCTGCCCCACCACACCTGCCTGCTAACGTGCCCACCCGAGCTCCATGCCCACCCAACCTCCATGCCCACCTGAGCGCCCTGCCCACCTGAGTGCCATGCCCACCCAAGCACCCTGCCCACCTGAGTATCCTGCCCACCCGAGCACCCTGCCCACCTCAGTACCCTGCCCACCTGAGTTCCATGCCCACCTGAGCGCCCAGCCCACCCGAGTGCCATGCCCACCCAAGCACCCTGCCCACCTGAGCGCCCAGCCCACCTGAGTGCCATGCCCACCCACGCACCCTGCCCACCTGAGTGTCCTGCCCACCTCAGTACCCTGCCCACCTGAGTTCCATGCCCACCTGAGCGCCCTGCCCACCTTAGCACTGCCTGCTAACATGGTCACTGGTTTTCACACTGGGCTGGTAACATTGCCACTTGAGTATCATGCCTGCTGAGTAAAATGCCCACCCAGGTATCATGCCCACTTGGGGATGCCCATCTGGGTAGCTTGCCCACCTGGGCATCACTGGCCAGGCCACGGCTGCAGGACCCAGCTCTTCCCTCCCACATGGGCTGCCCCTGAGCCCAGCTCACCGTGCCCGTGTCCCCCTCCTAGCGGATGACGGGGGCTTCGAGAGCGGCGCCTACAACAACAGCGCCATCGCCACGCCGCACCTGGACGCCCTGGCCCGGCGCAGCCTGGTCTTCCGCCACGCCTTCACCTCCGTCAGCAGCTGCTCGCCCAGCCGCGCCAGCCTCCTCACGGGCCTGCCCCAGGTGAGGCGGGGCAGGAGCAGGGCCCGGTGGGGTCCCTCCCTGCCCCCTAGGTGTGCTCACCTCCCATGCCCCACGCCCCACGTGGCATCCTCTGGTGAGCAGCTGCACGCTGTGGTCCCCGAGGCGGAGGCCGTGAGGCGGCGCCTCTGTCGAGGGGCCTGTGGCCTGAGCAGACTCTCCGACGGCTAACAGGCCGCTCTGTGAGGGGGGAGCCTTTCGCGGTCAGCGGGCATCTTTCTGGTCGGAGTGGTAACACCCCCGAGTTCACAGCGCAGGGCAGCGGGTAACAGGCCTGTGCTGTCCCTTCCCACGGTGTGAGCTCATGCAGAGGGGGCAGTCCAGGGAGCGGAGAGGGCAGCGAAAGTCCCGGTCATCCATTTCCTGCCGACGCGCCACTGGGGGTGAGGAGTGAGTGCTGGCCCCTGAAGGCTACACAGCCGTGAAGGGCCGGGGTGAGGAGCTGTCAGGCCCGCACCCCCGGCTCACGGTGTCCCGGCCGGTGTCCCACCGCAGCACCAGAACGGGATGTACGGCCTGCACCAGGGCGTGCACCACTTCAGCTCCTTCGAGGGCGTGCAGAGCCTGCCGCTGCTGCTCAGCCGCGCCGCCGTACGCACAGGTGAGGGCTTCCGCGCCTGCCCGGAGCTGGCCTTGTCCTGGGCCACCCTTAGCCGGTGGCCGCGGGAGTACCGTCCCGGGGCTGGGCAGCCTGCGTGGAGGCCACGGCAGGGCTGGGCGGAGAAGGGCGCAGAGGGCACTGGGAGGCCCTGGGGACTCCGGATGGCCTCTCGCGCCCCCAGGCATTATCGGGAAGAAGCACGTGGGGCCGGAGGCGGTGTTCCCCTTCGACTTCGCGCACACGGAGGAGACGGACTCCGTGCTCCAGGTGGGCCGCAACATCACCAGGATCCGGCTGCTGGTCCGCGAGTTCCTGCAGACGGGGGACGGCAGGTGCGGAGGCCCCCCTTCCCCTCAGGCCGGCCCCGGGCGGTGAGCGTGGCACGCACTCCAGAACCTTTACTGGAGAGGATTCCCCAGACAGTGCAGTAGGGAAGGGGAGAAGGTTCCAGATGCTCAAGTGAACCTGGTCAGAGGAAGAGGGCCCTGAGGAGACTGAGGCACTGAGGTTCACAGGAAACTCTCAGTGACAGGAGCAGGCGAAGCCGAGGGGCTCCTTCCTGAAGGAGGGGCTCCCCAGGGTCGCACACCAGGCCCTGGCACTGAGGCCCCGCCCTGCGCAGGCCCTTCTTCCTGTACGTCGCCTTCCATGACCCCCACCGCTGCGGGCACTCCCAGCCCCAGTACGGGGCCTTCTGCGAGAAGTTCGGCAACGGGGAGCGCGGCATGGGGCGCATCCCAGACTGGACCCCACAGGTCTACGACCCCCAGGATGTGCAGGTAGGGGCCCTCCGCGAGCTCGCAGCCGGCCCCAGGTGTGTGACGGCTCGGAAGTGGCCCCGTGACCTGGGTCCAGGTCCCCTCTGCGGGGCCTGCAGAGAGAAGCGTGAGGGTGACGCACCCAGCATCGTGGACTGGGGGCTGACCCATCCCCAGGAGGAGGATTCAGGCGCGGGAGGAGGCCGCCCCGCCCCTGCCCTGATCAGGCTGGACAGGGCCCGGCCTCTCTGCTGACGTGGACTCTCCACTCACCTGCCTCAGGTGCCTTACTTCGTCCCCGACACCCCAGCAGCCCGGGCTGACCTGGCCGCCCAGTACACCACCATCGGCCGCATGGACCAAGGTGGGTCAGGAAGCCGGGCGTGGGGGTGCCCGTGCGGGCCAGGAGCCTGGGGCCAGGGGGCATGGAGGGACTCCTGTCTCCGGCCCTGCCCGGACTCTGTCAGCCCCACAGGGAAGACCTGAGATTCCAGAACACCCAGGGCAGCGGTGGCAGCTGTGCGGGCTGACACGGAAGTGCCAAGGGGGGGCCAGTGTCCGGGTGGGTGGGCGGGTAGGAAGGCTAGGGAGGCCCTGCACGCCAGCTCCGGGGCAGGGCGCGGGGCAGAGTGCTGGGCAGAGGCCCAGGCCAGGCTGGTGGGAGGGACAGCGCAGGGCCCAGCGGCTGGTGAAGGGGCGAGGGAGGGCACGCACCGGTGGGGAGGAGGGAGTATCCGTGTCCGCCTGCCCTGAGCGGTGCCCTCTGCGCCGCAGGGGTCGGGCTGGTGCTGCAGGAGCTGCGGGCGGCCGGCGTCCTGAACGACACCCTGGTGATCTTCACCTCCGACAACGGCATCCCCTTCCCCAGCGGCAGGACCAACCTGTACTGGCCGGGCGCCGCGGAGCCCCTGCTGGTGTCGTCTCCGGAGCACCCGAGACGCTGGGGCCAGGTCAGCGAGGCCTACGTGAGCCTCCTCGGTACGGTCCTGCGCCTACGGGAAGGGGGAAGAGTGGGGACACGAGGTCCGGGCTGTTCCCAACACTCCCTTCCGTGGTTCCCACCGGCCTCCCGCGAGGCCCAGAGAGGTGAATGAGTGCCCAGGCCACGCAGCGAGCAAGCGCCCCGCTGGCTGCAGCCGGGGCCTTGCCATCTTTAGACTTGCTCTCCCGCCAGCCCACCGAGCGAAGGTGTTGCCGTCCAGATACCCACCTGGTCCTGGCGCAGTAGGCCGGGGCTGGGCCTCCGAGTGCGCTTCCGGCCTTTTCCCGGGTGGTACCGATGCCCTGGGATCCCGCTTTGAGGGGTCAGGGCAGCAGCACCCTCGGGCCCTTTGGCCCCACAGCACCTGTGGGAACACTGTGGCCACAGCTCAGAGCAGGAGCCAATGAGCTGGGTGGGCCGCCTCACTGGTCCGAAGGGTCTTAGAAGGATCCTGAACGTTAGTCTCGCCAAGTGGCAGGCAGGCAGGGAACGGGGACAGGTGGGTGCCGGAGCGCCTCCCTGCTGGTGCTGAGGTGAGAGGCAGCCCACCAGCTTCCCAAGCTCGTGCCTGCCTGGCGAGCTGATGCGCCTGCCTCCCCCGCAGACCTCACGCCCACCGTGCTGGACTGGTTCTCCATCCCCTACCCCCGCTACGCCATCTTCGGCTCCAAGACGGTCCAGCTCACTGGCCGGTCTCTCCTGCCGGCGCTGGACACGGAGCCCGCCTGGACCACCGTCTTCGGCAGCCAGAGCCACCACGAGGCCACCATGTTCTACCCGATGCGCTCCGTGCAGCGCGGGGCCCTGCGCCTGGTGCACAACCTGCACTTCAAGATGCCCTTCCCCATCGACCAGGACCTCTACGTGTCGCCCACCTTCCAGGACCTGCTGAACCGCACGGCGGCCGGCCGGCCCACACGCTGGTACAAAGACCTGCACGGCTACTACTACCGGGAGCGCTGGGAGCTCTACGACCTCCAACATGACCCCCGAGAGACCCAGAACCTGGCTGCCGACCCGCGCTACGGCCCGGCGCTGGAGCTGCTGCGGGCCCAGCTGGCCAAGTGGCAGTGGGAGACCCAGGACCCCTGGGTGTGCGCCCCCGACGGGGTCCTGGAGGAGAGGCTCTCGCCCCAGTGCCAGCCCCTGCACAACGAGCTGTGAGCCGCACGCGCCCCTGCCAGGGAGGGCGAGCCAGCCTCGGGCACAGCACAGCCGCCTCCGCGTGCAGCCCAGGAGGGCGCTCCGGTGCTGGCCTCCTTCCCACCTCTGCCTGGAGGGGCACAGGGGGCGCGTCTCCACCGTGCCATGGGACATCGCCTCCATATCTGAGCCGTGTCCCAGCACAGGCATTCCAAGGTGACCCAGGACAGGTGTGGACACGGGGTCATTTCCTCGGTTGGGTCCCGGGACCCTCCTCATTCTCCGGAGCCACAGATGTCGGTGCCCTTCCCGTGAGAGGAGACGAGGGGCTGTGAGTGCCACGTGGGTGAAGGCGGGTCCAACCCCTCTGGGAGTGCAATGTTGGTTTTATCGGCCTCTGGCCCCGAAGACAGGACGCCCTGGGCTGGTTTCTAGGGGGGGGGGGGGGGGGGAGACTGCTCCCGGCTGGCTCCAAGCGGCAGGTCTGAGCCTGTGGGTGTCTATCCTTTTGCTGCCCAGGGATACCATCCCGTCTGCAGACCGGTCCCTTCTGAGGAGGACACAGGTCTAACACAGACCCCCCGAATGCTCCAGCCTCCCTCCCGGCGTGGAAGCAGAGGCTCTGCCCGGGAAAGCCGGAGAGTGCCTTCTCTCTGGATGGGGCTCCTGTCGCCCGCCCTCCCCATCTCCTCCCTCCTCGGGGCGAGGGTAAGCCACAGGCCAGAACACTGAACACGCTCATTTTAGTAAAACATGCAAGTCCGTTTCTGAGCTTGTTTACAACAGCGCCCCCGGGATTCCCCTGCGGCTTCCTGGGCATCAGATGGGAGCTGCTGTCCAGGACTTTCAGTCTGTGAGGGGTGGCTGGGCCAGGTGAGGGCCTGGGGGGGCCTCCCCTGGGAAATACCCAACTGTGTCACGGTGGCCTGAGATGGGGGAGGGGGAGGCACTGGTAGAGGCAGTCCTCAGCCCTGGAGGAGCCACGGCCCCTGCAGAGGGATCTGGGGGCACAAACCCACCGAAGACACTGTCCGTCACTTGGAGATGAGCCTTAGTGGTAAACAGCCTAAACAGCCGCACGGGCCCCTGCCAGGGAGGGCGCAGCCAGCCTCCGAGTGCAGCCCAGGTGGAGACACGCCCTCTATGCCCCTCCAGGCAGAGGCGGGAAGGAGGCCAGCACCCTAAACGGGAGTCATTGAGCGTCAGCACCAGCAGCGAGAGAACAGGGCTGGTGCTGGTGGCCTGCACCTCCGCCTGGGCAGGGGCACCTGACCCTGGGCCACCAGTGCTGCCGCCCACCACCTCCGTGGGTGTGGGAGGAGCCTCTGACACAGTGAAATGCAGAGCAAAGTTCAGAGGTTGGTCAGATGGGCATTTATCTGAGGTCACCTGGTCCTCCGGCTCTGGGGAGGGTGCCAGGACCTACCCATGGAGCGTCCTTGGGGTGTCAGGTCAGACCATGCCACCCCTGATGAGAGGAAAGGGTTTACGCAGAAAACAGCAGACAGTCTGAGTGCCCATCTGTGACCTGCACATGGCGAGGGTGGTTGTCGGACTCCAGTGAGGGGACCTGAGGGGGCGTGTGCGATGAGCACTCCAAGCTGAGCCCATAGGACAGGCGCGGGGCCCACCAGCCAGGAGGACACAGCATCTGTCACGGGGGGCTCTCCTCCGTCCACACCACCTTCTTCTGCTCGTCGGAGATGGCAAAGCGGACGCAGCTAAGCAGCGTGTCCAGGTCACCCCAGGCCTCGGGGGCCAGACTGCAGCAGGGGCAGGGCACCCTGTTCAGCTCACCCTCCTCCTGCCTGCTGGCCGCCAGGAGCTGCTCCTCCGAGGCGCCCAGCCGCTGCAGGGCCTTCCTGCGGGGCCAGAGGCAGCTCAGGGGGACAGCGCCCCGGCACCGGCCAAGCTCGGGACCAAACACCCCTGGGTGCAGTGGCCAGTGTCACAGGGTCCTGAAGAGACAGGGCCCCAGACCACAAAGCCGGGCGGGGCTGGGCATCTAGTTTACAGCCTCAGGTGTCAAATTATAAAGGGCCCAGGACACCTGGGCTTGTCCCCAGCCATGAACAAGCATGGCCTCCAGCGGGGTCCTCACCACCAGGCAGGCGGGTCCCTGTGGCCTCCGCAGACGGGCCTTAGTCAGTGCAGGAGCCAAGTCCTCGCTGTCCTCTGGGCTGCTTCCCAGGGGGCAGGGAGCCTCTGTCCCAGAGTTGTGGGGGACCCACCCTGTGACATTTCCAGGAATCCTGTCACATGCTCCAGAGGCACGGGGCTGCCAGCCCCGGGCGCACCTACCTGAGTCTCTTGGCTGCCTTCTCGTTGATGACGATGTGGAGGACGATGGGGAAGATCTCCATGCTGTGCAGGGCGCGCACGCTGCCCAGTGGGACGTCCAGGAGGGCGTGGGTGCTCTGGGGGAGAAGAGGGACAAGTCAAGTCTGCCATCGCCGAGGGGACTGGCAGGCTGTGTTGGTACAGGAGACGGGAGAGTCCACAGCTCTCTGGGCCAGCGGGTGTTGGCGGCACAGCCATCGGCAACTCCATCCATCTGCAGGGTGTCTGCCAAGTGGCAGACGTGAGGCCAAAAAAATGAGCAAACAGCCAGCAGGGTGACTCGGGCTGAGTGTCTGCCTATGAACCAGGTCTCAGTTCGATTCCCGGTCAGGGCACAGGCCCGGGTTGTGGGCTCCATCCCTGGTAGGGGGCGTGCAGGAAGCAGCTGATCCACAATTCTCTCTCATCATTGATGTCTCTCTCCATCTCTCTTCCTCTCTGAAATCAATTTTAAAATATATTATAAAACATAAAACAAGCAAAGCGCACAACCCAAAACCCATAGACATGGAACAGAGGAGGAGGCTGGGAGGGTGACACAGGTGAAGGTTCAAGTGTATGACGACGGATGGAACTAGACTGTTGATGGTGAACACCCTAACGGGTACACAGATATGGAATTACAATGCTGACACCTGAAACTCACATAAAGTTAACCAATGTAGCCTCGACTTACAAAGCAGTCATTCTATATACAATACAGCAGCCTCAGGCATGCTTTGCACCTGGAAGCACAGAGCTGCACGCTGGGCTGAGGGGCTGTGCCCGGGCCAGTCCCCAGGAGGCCGCAGTGCCTCCTCAGGGCATGGGGCTGTGGGCACAGGGCACCGCCTCCGCTGGCAGCCAGCCTGGCCGCCTTGTATCCATGTAACACGGTAGCTCACAGTGAGCTCTGCCTGTATCTGAGCCTTAGAACATGAATGCTACTTCCATTTCACTGAGTCACTTCACAGATGATGCTAACCGCTTCCTGCCTTGGGAAACAGGCTCCAGGGAGTTCAGAGACTCCCCAAGGCCACAGGGACCCTGGTCACACCTCTGGCCTCCAACCCTCTGCCAGTTCCCGCTCCCCAAGCAGCCCGCCTGCCAGCCCTACCTTCTCCATGAGGCGCTCCAGGGCCGCGCGGGGCACCCAGCGGCTGCCGGCGGCCTCCCTCTCCTGGACAACGTCCCCTCTCCGGCTGGCGGCCTCGCACTCCTCTGGGCTCAAGCACTCTGAGGGGGACAGTGGACGGAGGTCACACACCCAACCACTGGAGTCCTGAGGGAGCCCCAGGCCGAACCTCCTGCCCCCGGGGCCCCGCCAGCGCTGGGGGAGCTCTCCCTAGCTGCCCTCTCCGGAAGCCTGACCCTGCGCTTCCTACTCAGAGGCTGCCCCTGAGGGCACCCAACCCGGGGGCTGGGTCCTTACAGGAAGCCCCCGTGGAGACAGACACCCAGGAGAAGCCACGTGACGCAGAGGCTGAGGGAGGAGGGTGCACACAAGCCAGGGAGCTGAGGACCAGGAGCCAGAGGGGGGCCCTCCCAAGAGCCTCTGCGCCAGGCGGCCACGGAGACCTGGTCCCATGCCGCCTCAGTCCGGAGGAGGGCCCAGGCTGTACGCCGGTGTGGTGAGATGCTGGGCAGCCCCAGGGCCTCGTGGTGCCTCCCGCTGCTCTCCTGGAGCTCGTCCGGCAGCTGCCCAGGCCTTGCCCACCCCGCACACAGTGGGGCCCCGGGGGAGCGCACCTGCCGGGCATGTCTTAAACCCTTGCAGGAGGCAGAGCTTCTCACTCAGGATCCTCCCGACCAAGCCGGGCACCAGGAGCACGGGCCGGGGCCGGCTGGGCCTGCGGGGGTGCACCCGAGTGTAGGGCGCCAGGGTGACGCAGCTCTCGGCCCAGAAGCCCCTGGGGGAGGCGTCTGTGGGGGAGAAGAGCTGTGAGCGGTCCCAGGCCCCACCCGCAGCAGGGCTGCGCTTTGCACCCACGCAGCCCCCACACCTACAGGGAGGCCACGTAGGGTGCCGGCTCCAGGGCCGAGTCCCCGCCCACCCGGGCTGAACAGCCTGCGTGCCAGTGGCCACGGAGCTCTGTGGCGGCCAGGCCCAGCAGGGTAGTGCGTTCCATCCCACCTGCCTCACTGGCCACAGGGAGGATGGAGAAGGCCTCCTCCCTTCCATCACCCTCTCCTCCCACCCAGCGCCACCTGGTCGCCTACCTCACGCTCCCCTCACTCCAGACCCTGTCTCCCTCCCAACCATTCAGGTTGCTATCCATTCTCACATCCCCCCTATATTATGCACCCAAAAGACCTTTCAAGAAGGAACTAAGCTCAGATGGATGGAGCTTACTCTAAACTCACCCCCACCACCCTCATAGCTCGGTTTTACCCCGTGGCACTGCCGTGCTGACCTCCTCCGGGGCCTCAGACCTCACCCAGCTCACCTCTCCAGAGAGGCACCCAAGCACCAAGTATGGTGCTCAGGATCCATCCTGTTCCCGCTGAGGAGGGCTCCCTGAGCCCCCCCAGCAGCCTGCAGCCCCTCCCAACACCCTGGCCCCGCCTCACCTGACTGGGCCCCGTCAAAGGATGAGCACAGGGCGCTGGCCTTGGTTCTGTCCACAGTGACGATACGGACCAACCTCTGGGAGCCTCCAGGAGACAGCTGGAGGGAGAAGGAACCATTGTCGCCGTCCACACCGGCCAGGCAGGCACCGCCCCACCGGGGGATCCAGGCTGGTCCCTGGACCTTCAGGCTGTGCCCACAGAGCAGCCCAGGCTCCGTGCCAGGGAGGAGAAGGGAGCAGGAGAGGGTCCTGGGGCAGAGGCCCTCACCCAGGGCACAGCAGTGAGGGCGGCCCCCACACCTTGCCCACTGTGATGGAGGCGGGAGGCGGGGTGCGCCCTAGCTCCTCGATCAGGGCACTGAGTGGCCTCTGTGGGGAGGACACCATGTCCCCGCCCTCAGAGGGAGGAATGGTGCAGATGGCCAGACAGGGGGTGCAAGGGCGCTATTGGGTGAGCACGTCCAGCGCCTCTGCTCGAGGTGGATGAACTTGCAGGCCAGGCGCCCTGTGCGGACCCAGGGGAAGGTGTACAGGACACATGGCGCAGGGACTCGCAGGGAGACCCCTCAGATCAGTAGTCTACACCCTCCCAACAGGACCCCTAGCCAGCCCCAGCCCTCTGCCAGCCCAGGGAGGAGGAGGCAGGGAGAGGCAGGGCCAACCCCCTCCCCGTGGGCTGGGCCAGGACAGGCAGCGGCCTCACCTTGCGGGCAGAGCTGCTTTGCTGAGCCAGGTCCCGCAGGAGGGTGATGAGCAGCTGCTGCGCCCTGCGAGGAGGAGACACGCTGCCAGGAGGCTCCACACCCCGCCCAGCGGCACCTCTGAGACCCTGAAGTCCTCAGCCCACGGAGGGGCCGCACCTGCCGGGGCGAGCCTGGGTGGGACGTGG